TATGGAGATGAGAGATTATGTCGACTCTGAAATGAGAAGTCTCTTAGTTTGTACAGCTCGAGGCGATGGTACTAGACAATGAATTTTACCCAACAAAATATGTATTTTATGATGCTGCTGTGGCAAAAAACACCCCTTCCTGGACACTCCAGATCTCCTCGTCACCATTTTTACCAGATCTAGCAGATACTTCTAGCTGCCCTGTAATCACATTTTGAAATGAAAAGCGACTGGAGGTTCCGAGAAAGTGCTTTGTGTTGGCATGCACTAAGAAATCAAAATACAAGTCAATTCCAGCATCTAGTAATAAAATGACAAGATTGATGCAGATGACATACCCAGCTTGATGTTACGCTCTCGACCCCACAACTTTTCCTTTGAGTCGAGACATTGCACTATCCAATTATCTCCAGTTCCTGGTTGGTCGTGACCGGAAACTTCTTGGTTTTTAGACATGGGAGATTGGATACCACTTTGACTATGCAGATACTGACGAGTATTCAAATGCTGTAGCCGGATAGAGTCTCCACAATGCACAGGCTGACCACGAGAACATGAACCACTCAACGCAGCACCAACCACAAAGAGACTGTTTGGATCGTCACCCTTGGGATACCCTGTCACAGATTGCCGACCACTGAGATAGAGTTATGCATAGTGATGAGTTGCAAGGTTCCAAATACAGACAAGGACTTAATGGCTTGACAAGACTGCCAACACAAACCTTCCAGATCCGTAATGAACTTCATGAGAATGCAGACGAGCACCAGTTGCCTTGTTGACTAGTTTGATGCCTGACCCACAAGTGACAGCAGCAAACTCCTTGTCAATAATAAACGGCTCAGATGCCGAGGCTACTCTTGCAATAATAATGGCAATTGTAAGAAACACAATGAGCATAAGTCCAAATGTCAAGAATAGTAAATCAAGTTGACAAGTCGAAGCATGTTTGACTAAAGTTCTTGTCCAAATTTCCACTTCAAACCTCAAACTTGTCTTGATTCTAATCTTGATCGAAACCAGATAATATGATTGATAACAAGCAGAAACTAGCCTCAAAAATATGCCAATTCCTGCAACAGAGTATTGCTGATGGCACAATTAAAGCTGATGATGCTGAAGGAATCGAAGGTATGAGTTGTGGTCATGCACCTGCTTGAATTCTGGCTTGATGGTCTAGTGTGCTGTTCCATAAAAACTAGTCCAAAGAATAGGATCAATCCTATGAATACTCGATTTATACTAACATGGTTCTGGACTGTAGTTGCTACTCAGTGTATTGCAGAGGCATTTGGGATTGATGCCAACAAGCTAGAGCAAGATGAACAAGGCTCCAAGCCTACAAACTTGCTCTCTATTTTCAATGTTTTTCTTGCAACTCAAAAGAAACTGGGAAGCGATAATGTAAATTGCTCATTCTCAGGCATATTGCCTTGTTTTTGCATCCAGATCTGCAAGCATTATGCTGACATTTGTCTGCTTCTGTACATGTATGGTTTGATACTAGATATCTTCTGAACCTCGTTCTGGTCCTACAGTATGTTGAATTGCCAAGATATGCATTGCATTTTGCTTTAAATCTTGCTCATAGTATTGTCAATACTATTTAGGATGCACAAAAGATGCAGGCTGAAGAATTCAAGGCTGCTGGAAACAAATTGATGGCTGGCAAGATGTTCCCACAAGCAATCGAAAAGTATACGCAAGCTATTGCTCTAGATGCAACCAATGCCGTCTATTTTGCCAATCGGTATGCTACCAGTTTACCATAAATCTGTTTTAATGGATTCTAATGACTGGAAATTCAACACCATTCATGTCTGGTTTACATTTATTTTGATCAACAATTATTTTAGTGCAGCGGCTCACAGTCAGGATGGAAACCATGATGATGCAGCTGTGGATGCACGATCCTCAATTAAACTTGATCCTTCGTATAGCAAGGGCTATTCTCGTTTAGGGTTGGTTCTACTTGCATGGTTAGATTTTGTTATTTTTCTAAACTAATATTATTCTAGTCATGCTCTTTTCTGCGTTGGAAAATACTCCGAGTCCATCGAGGCGTATGAAGGTGGATTGAAAATCGAACCAGGAAATGCTTCGATGCTTCAAGCTATTCAAGCTGCAAACGCAAAGTTGGCAACTTCCTCTACTGCTTCTCGTAGTACCTCTGCACCTGGAAATTCGGACTCTGGAGCAATGCCTGATCTTGCTGGAATGGGTGGTTTAGGCGGCATGGACTTTTCTGCAATGATGAGCAATCCCAATTTTATGAGCATGGGTGAGTATTAAGTTTTATGCTTGGTAAACGTGTCTAGTATTACGATTGAAACTAAAGTCTGTTGTTTTTAGCTGCAAAGATGATGAATAATCCTCAGATTGCTGAAATGATGAAGAATCCAGAAATGGCAAAAATGTAGGCTGGTTTGGGTCTTTAAATCTATCACTTCGCTTTTGTAATAGGAAATGTTGACTGATTAACTATCAATTTAGGGCCCAAAATATGATGAGCGACCCAAATGCTTTGAGTGGTTTACTCAATAACCCCAAAATGGCTGCTATGGCCGAACAGTTTGGAAAGAAATAGGTTGCAACCTGTGCATCCAAACATTGGGTCATTGTCTTGAACTTACTTGAAAATCTTATGACCCATGACTTTGGTTTAGTTTGCAGTTGAAGGGAATATACAGATGCAATAAACTCGTGAAATATTGTTTTGTTTACACTTGTATTTAGATAAATGGAACGCTAATAAGCCAAAATACATAATCTCATGAAATGATTGTCAAACTTACTGAGTTTTTTCAAGTGACTGGCATGTATTGTTGCGTTTCTGAGATATGCAATCATTGATTTATTAAACTAAAACGCGAACGTATGAGATTATTGAGTTTGACTAATGACAGTTGAACCTAACACATGGATGGAGATTGTACAATGACTGTTCTAAAAGCGGAGAAAGTGATAATTATCGTTTGAGTTTATTATATAATGAGCGTTGCGATTGAAAGAATTAAGAATTTCTAGTAAGAAATTGATGGTTTCAAAGCAAGTCATTTCAAGATCAATACAAGTGTTTGGCTGTAATTCATTGCTTGACAAATTTTATTTTCCAAAAATCAAAGCACTCGACTAAACTACAAATTCATAATGAGCTCGTTTGGCAGGTAGAACTTGAGTTTTGTTGAATCAATCTATACTTTTCTGTTAAAACATTCATTCACTGATGACTGCTTTCAACTGGATTCATTTATATTATACTTGGCTGGTTAAGCTTCTTTCGTATTTCAACTTTTGGTGAATCTCATTGCAAAGCTGTTGGTGTAATTGTGGATGGATGTCCTCCTGGTCTTCCATTGTCTGAGAATGATGTTCAGCCTTTGCTAGACAGGCGACGACCTGGTCAGAGTGTGCTCACTACTCCTGTACGTATTTTGAAATGCCAGTGCACCAACCCTTGTTTCTGCTGCTCATTCCATTTCAGCTGGATAGGTGATTGCTTTCTATGGAAAGACAAGTAAACCAAACTGTTACCATAAACTAACAGGTTTACTTATGCTGAAATCAAATGTATTTTAGCGAGATGAAAAGGATCGAGTAGTCATTTTATCTGGTACTGAAAAAGGATTTACACTCGGAACTCCAATTGCAATGATGGTGCCTAATCAAGATCAGCGGCCACACGACTATGGCGAAATGGACTTGTATCCGCGTCCATCCCATGCTGACTGGACTTACTTGCAAAAGTATGGGGTCAAAGCAACATCAGGTGGTGGTCGTGCAAGTGCTCGTGAAACCATAGGTTGGTCGTCTTACAAGATTTATTCAACACTCTGAATCCATACTGATAAACATTGCAATTTATATATTTTTCCTTTTCAAGGTCGAGTTGCTGCCGCTGCTGTAGCAGAAAAGTATTTGAAGAGTGCGCATGGCATTGAAGTTGTTGCATTCGTTGCATCGGTCGGCCCAGTCTCAATGGTACCAATCGAGTCATTTGAGTCTGTAGATGATAAAAACCATTGGATGCTTAAATGGCAATCGTGGTGGGATCTACTGAAAAATATCACTCGAAAAGACGTGGATAAAAATGATGTTAGGTGTCCTTCTCCAGAGTTTTCTGCCAAGATGCGAGATGTAAGTTGTGCTTTTATTTGAGTGCATTTTACACAATCAAGTTGATTTGCAATCACAAAGCTACCCATTTCAACCTATTTCTTGTTTATAATCTAGATTATTTTGCAATACAAAGATGCCCAAGATTCCATTGGAGGATCGGTAGTTTGTGTAATCAGGAATGTTCCGGCTGGACTGGGAGAGCCGTGCTTTGATAAGCTCGAGGCTCAGTTAGCTCATGCTATGCTTTCTATTCCAGCTACCAAGGCATTTGAGATTGGAAGTGGGTTTTCTGGCACCAATATTCCTGGGCATGTTCATAATGATCCATTTGTCAAGAAAGGTGATAGTTTGGGTACTACCACGAATTTTTCGGGCGGTATTCAAGGTGGCATATCAAATGGAGAGGACATTTACTTTCGAGTTGGATTTAAACCAGCTGCCACAATTGGTATTTCCCAGGAAACGACATCATACGAGGGTGATACTGGCATTTTAGCTGCTAAAGGACGTCATGATCCATGTGTTCTCCCACGCGCAGTTCCAATTGTTGAAGCTATGGCGTCGCTTGTTGTTATGGAGTAAGTGCTGCTTTTATCAGATTGATCAGTATCAAACGTGTTTAATGTTTTTCATTTTTTAACGGTTTGTTATATATCCTCTTATTCTTACAATACCAGCATGCTGTTGGCTCAAGGATCCCGCAAGTCTGCAGCATCGGTTCTTTCACTTTCTGAAATTCCTGCTCTAATGAGAGGAATAGCCCCTGCAATGGATGTTGAACTTAATCAAGGCAAAATTTAAGCAACTACTATACTACAAAAATATTTGAAATTAGTAGTTTTGCATATTCAGAGTAATAAACTGAGTATTTTTAGATCAAACATATTTGTATTTACCAATGCCATGTACAGCCGTATTTACGTGAAATGGATCACTATCATGCAATAATTGTCTGTTTGGAATATACTGTGGTTAGATATGTGTTGCTCTTGCTGCCATAATCGACTACTTGAATAGCACAGCGTTCATCATACGATGCATACACAATTAAATTATAGTTTTGAATCAATAATGTCTTTATTTGTCACAACCATACGTTGTACAATTACCAAATCCATACATTTTAATTTAGATATTGGTTGAACTGTTGTCAATCAAACTCTAATCACATACGTTTGTGTTGTAGTCTAGAATAATGATTGCACAGATCAGGCATCATGCATCAGGAATGCAACAACTGTTTCCATATTGATCATTTGGATAAAAACCAACCAACTAAAGAGATCGTGTATTTTAGCTAATGTTTTATTTTACGTGAATACGACTGTAATATCATACTATTAACTATCTCTTGTGTGATCAGTGTTATGGCCTAGTTGCTTTCTATTGATTCCTCGTGTATTTAAAATAACGTGTATTCAGTAGTGTCGAACTTGCATTGAATCAATTAGACTACATATACGTGTTTATTGGCTAATAACATATACTAGCATTCTGTTGAAAATCCACCCAGTAGTATTATAAACCAAGTAATCTGTACGGCATGTTAAAGTAAACCCAATTCATGTATCTATATTTCTGACACTCAAACAATTGGTCAGCCGAGTTGAATGGTTTTAAACTACGTGTTGGAGTCGACGAGTATCTGTTTTGCAAATAAACCATCGGGCCGATTTTCTTCTTCTTGAATAAATTGTAGAACATCGTCGACAAATGTTCCCTGTTTATCAATGACCATTTTGTTTTTGTATTCAAAACCTCTTTGAATTGCTTCCAAGAAAATAGCCACCACATTAGATCCATCAGAGGCCGATACAAAATAAAAAGGCAAGTCATCCACACTCCCGCCTCTCTCTTGTCGTCGTTTTTCTACAAATCCAAATGATTTTGATCCTCTTGAAGGGTCCATATCGATTTTGTTGGCAACAACAATTACTGGCATCTGAGAGATACAAAATGATGTAGCTGAATTAGTTTTTGTGAAGCTATTACAAAAATAATACGTTTCGACTGATGACCGTATAAAAATCAGGTTTATCTATTCAACAAATAGCTATAGTGCCAAATTCAAGTTGAACCAACAATGCTCATCACATGCCACTTACTTTAATGCCTCGATGTTGAACCAATTCCTCATACCACGTATCCAAGTTTTTGTAAGTAATTTTTCGAGTTACGTCGAATACCAAGATGCAGCAATGAGCACCCATATAATAGCTTGCATGCATGCTCTGAAACCGTTCCTGTCCAGCCGTATCCCAAAAATCTACAGCAATTTTCTCTGGCGGATTACTTGTAGATTTCGGATGTATTGCATTATGCCTATACAAAGTCAATGCGTATGTGGACTGTTGATGAGGCACATAGTCGTCCAAAAGAAACCGCTCCATCAACTTTGATTTTCCGACAGCACTGTCACCAAGCAATATAATCTGTATGCATATTAGTTGCACAATAGTCAAGATTTTAAATAAAGTCGAGTTTTATATAGACAAACCTTGATATCTGCTGGTTGACTGACGCTTCCGAGTGGTTTGGTAGACATATTAACAGGTACGAAAGAGCGTTTGGCAAAGCCAAATTATCATCGCGAATTTATAAAAAGAAACTTGAAAAAGCAATGCAACTGCGAATCTTTTATAAATCAAATGCCAATAAACTTTGTTCCATTCAATGTTTATTGACAGTAAAATAACTCCTATTTTGTTTAAATCGATCATAAATGCATATTAGATCTTTGTAAATTTGCAACACATTTAATACAGCCAAAACCTTTTACTATACAAACTTGTGTTTATTACAGCCGTATTTATGTGAAATGGATCACTATCATGCAATAATTATCTGTTTGGAATATACTGTGGTTAGATATTGTTGCTTTTGCTGTCAGAATTGACTACTTGAATAGCACAGCGTTCATCATACGATGCATACACAATTAAATTATAGTTTTGAATCAATAATGTCTTTATTTGTCACAACCATACGTTGTACAATTACCAAATCCATACATTTTAATTTAGATATTGGTTGAACTGTTATCAATCAAACTCTAATCACATACGTTTGTGTTGTAGTCTAGAATAAAGATTGCACAGATCAGGCATCAGGAATGCAACAACTGTTTCCATATTGATCATTTGGATAAAAACCAACCAACTAAAGAGATCGTGTATTTTAGCTAATGTTTTATTTTACGTGAATACGATTGTAATAATATCATCAACTTCCAATGCAATTAGCCAGACTAAATATCTGATTGCAGCTACACTGTATTTCAGCTTGAATACGCTACAGAATGTCACATCAACACTATTTAATAGTTGGTTTAAAGCCCAACCATGACATGGGAATAATAATCAATAAAACGTGTATAATTTATTCATTGCTATTTGCAAAGCATTGAACAAGCCATTCAAGATGTTGGTGTGGTCCAAGGCTGTTACACCTGCACTAGGACAATACAGTTCGACTTTCTCAAAGCAATCGGTTAATCATGTCGTAGGCTCTTGCAGTCGTTCATTTTCTAATACTAGCATCTTGTCAAATCTGCGTCTAGCGCATGCAATGACGATGGTATGTAGCAGATTTGCATCCCAAAACAAGTCAGCATTAAAGAGTAGAAAGTCATCGTCGGGACTGTTTTTTGGAGTGTCTAGTCCGTTAGGGTGCAGCACATCACATACATCGACTTCTTCATTCTCCAGTATTGGGCATCCGTCTGGTCTTGCTACCACTCTTGAAAGACTGGAGGGAAAGTGGTGCCAACTCTTTTCTCCAAATACTGTCTTTACTGGTTCTAATGTCGGATCGCTGTTGAGTCGGCATACAATCGCTTCATTCGCTGGTGGGTCTGCTCAGCATGCTTTCACTACGTCAGAGGTATCGCTATCTCCTCAACCCACAAGTACAAATGCTGCATGCATGCAAAAAAATACATACACTACCTCGGCTGGAAGTAACAGTACCGAAGATCAGCACGATAGCAAACAACATAATCACAGCGGTCAAAAAAAGTCCGAGTTTCCAGGAATTAGCCGACCCATTGTCGGATATTGGTATTTGTTTTCTGGTGCCCTTGTGTTTGGGATTGTCAGTGTTGGTGGTCTTACGCGATTAACAGAGAGTGGGTTATCTATCGTCGAATGGAATCTGATCAAGGGAATGTATCCACCTCAGTCTGAAAGCGAGTGGGAGGCCGAGTTTGAAAAGTACAAGCAGTTTCCAGAGTTTAAAATGTAATATCTTGATTTGCGACTGTTGTGTGCTCATGTATGGATTTATTTTGAGATGCATTGAAATATACCACCGCCTACTAACTACTATTTTTTTACAGAATGAACCATAGAATTACTTTGACCGAGTTCAAATTTATCTTTTTCATGGAATGGGCTCATCGGATGTTAGGCCGCTTTATCGGGCTTTCCTTTGTTCTGCCTGGTGTCTATTTTGCATATAAAGGATACATGACCCCTTCAATCAAGGCACGCTCATTTATTGTGGCTACTTTGATTGGGCTTCAAGGATTGCTGGGTTGGTACATGGTTAAAAGTGGTCTTTCGGATACTCTTCTTGAAACCCCTCATACAGTACCTCGCGTCAGTCATTATTGGCTTTGCGCACATTTGGGATCTGCATTTGCCATTTATTCCATCATGTTTATGACTGGTATGGAAATTCTCAGTGCAAATCGTATGCGTGCATTGAGTTATGCTCAAAAGGTATGCCATCTTATTTGATCAGTGATTGTCGGGATTTCATATTTAGATAGCCCCGCTTGTTATAGCTGGCTTGCTGTTGACTTGGGTTTACATATAACATGGCTTCTTACATTTTAAATGTGCGTATGAAATAGGCAGCTCAGTCACTGATTCCGCTACAAAAGTTTCGCAAATATGCAACAGTCACTGCAGGTCTTGTATTTTTAACAGCTCTTTCTGGTGGATTGGTTGCAGGTCTTGATGCAGGTCTTATTCACAACGAATTCCCATTTATGGGAAACGGGTTGATTCCAGAAGAATACTGGACGCTTTCCACAAAATCAGATCGTAACGTTGCACCCATTTCATGGATTCGTAACATGCTTGAAAATCCTTCGGCCGTTCAATTCAACCATCGTGTTTTGGGTTGTACAACAGCTACAACGGTTGTTGCTCTTTGGATCGCCTCTCGTCGTATCCGTCTTCCAAAAGCTTCGTTGATTGCTATAAATGCATTGCTTGGTGTTGCCGTGATGCAGGTGACACTTGGAATCACTACACTGATTTATCTTGTTCCTATTCCTCTTGCTGCTGCTCATCAAAGTGGGTCTTTGACACTATTAACCGTGGCAATGTGGCTCGTACATACACTACGGGTGATGCCAAAATAAATACTGTTTTTTGGTAGCTTACATAGGCATTTGAATATTCCATGATGAGCGGCGGTTGTATATCTTGGAATTTTAAAAATTATACATTGTTCGTCAGTGATATAAAAACACTGGATCGTGTTGTTTTTGATATCTAAAATTGCTAAAAACGATACTATCTAGTGCTCTTGGTGAACTACTGATAAGCAATCCACTTTCAATCATTTTAAATTATATTGTAAAGGTTTAAAACTGCCCAAGCTAATCAGGACTGGTTTCTCTTTTGATCAAGCATTGCAAATAGGTATTCACAGTATACATCTACTACTATAGTAAAACAGTTGAAATATTTTAAACATAGTAGTGACAGCTAGACATAAAAGTCGAGTCAGATTTGGTTTAGTTGAAATGTGTTGAATGGTTCTTGTGGGAAATCATCGAGCAACTCCAAAGATTGACAGTAATTATCCACTTCCTAAAGTAGGTGTATTTGCTGTAGTATGGAGCGACCCTGTTCCAAATTTGACTTTCAGTAGCTCATATCTCTTCAAATCCTACAAACAAATCCGATATCAGCAATTATATTTGTGTAGTGGTGAAAAGCGATACTAATAAACATAAAACCGTACCTTTTTATGAACAGAAGGAGTGACCTTTGAAAACGCAGTGCAAAAATGATCAAGATTAACTAATATATCGCTACTGGCTGATGAAACAAACGGTTTTGAAGAAGGCATGCCGTGAGTGTAAAATGTATCACGCAAGGCCGATACAGCAGCTTCGCGTACAAGGGATGCCAAATCAGCACCACTAAGACCTTCACATCGAGCGTCATTGGAGACTGTTTGTAAATCTAGCAATGGAGACAGCGGGGTTTTTCGTGTTAGGGTTTTGAGAATCTCATACCGCTCGGATGCATTCGGCAAGTCCACGTATAGAGTTTTGTCAAGTCGTCCAGGACGCATCATAGCAGGATCTATCATATCTGGTCGGTTGGTAGCTGCAATCACAAACACTTGTTTACGCCCTTGCATACCATCCATCTCTGTGAGCAATGTATTTACAAGTCTAGAAGCCGATTGAGACTAAATATGAATAATAATCAGCACTGCAGTTGATACCATTAAACAAAAGATAAAGAACAGCAATTATAAAAAATCATTACTTCTGCATCGTTAGAACGGGATGGACATAGTGCATCGAGTTCATCAAAAAAAATCACACACGGGCTTGATGCTTGCGCACGAGCAAACACAGTTCGAACAGCGCGCTCACTCTCACCTACATACTGCATTTAAAAGTTTAAGTATGTAGTACTGTGATGGTGCAAAGAGGAAACAGAATTCCAATCACAGTGTATATTACCTTGTTAAGAAGCTCGGGTCCTTTGATAGAAATAAAATTACAATGAGACTCGTTTGCTACTGCCTTGGCTAGCAATGTTTTTCCACATCCAGGTGGCCCATAAAGAAGTACTCCCATAGACGACGTAATCCCGACTTTAGCAAAATATTCTGGATGTCGAATTGGTTCAACTACCGCCATGCGGAGTTCATCGCGTACATTGGCAAGCGAACCAATATCATCCCAACTAACATCTGGCACTGTTGCAAATCCTTCACGTTTAGAAGAAGGCTGTACTTTTTTCAAAGCCTCCAAAAAATCTGCAAAAGTAATACTTAGCAAGTCAAGCTCTTCTTGTTTCATGGGCTCGGGATGCGAAATCAAAAAGCGAGACATGTAGAGGGTTTTTTCAGTATCATCAAGAGGAGTGTTCATTGTTATATCCATTTGATCTGATTGGTCGTGCAGTTTATACGAAAGAGAGTTGATGATACGATCAATTGCAATCATTCCCGCTTCAGCTGTAAGTGAATTCAAATCGGCGCCAACATATCCTGGAGTCTTGCGCGCAAGATCTCGAAAGTCAAACCCACCATCTAATCGCATTTTCTTGGCCAATTTTTGCAAAATATGCATGCGAGCATTTTCGTCAGGAACAGCCATGCATATTTCACGATCAAAGCGTCCTGCACGACGAAGAGCTGGATCAATCGAGTCTGGCCGATTCGTAGCACCAATGATCATAACATGCTTGTAATCATCCGTTTGAACATCTAAACTACCATCAAAAGATGTATCCTGTGGTGAAAGACTGTCCATGGATGTCAATAGTTGAGCAACAATACGTCTCTCCATTTCGCGCTGAGCAGTTTCTCGCTTGGGAGTAATGGCATCTATCTCGTCAATAAAAAGAATACAGGGTGCTAATGATTTGGCTTCTTCAAAAACCTCGCGAATCTTTTTTTCAGACTCGCCAGACATTCCAGAAACTATAACAGGTGCTGCAATGGAGATGAAGGGTACGCCAGCTTCCTAAATACACATGTTTCATTAAACAAAAATTCAGTTTCTACAACACATAAAATAAGTCTATTCAAAACAAAACTAGTCAACTAATACCAACAGTACACTCGACATAGTTTAAATCAAAACTATCCACTTACACCAGCAATTGCTCTAGCCAACATTGTTTTACCACATCCAGGAGGTCCATGAAGTAATATTCCCCGAGGTAGATCCACACCAAGATGGCGATATATTTCAGGATGACCAAGCGGCATGCAGACCAAATGATTAAGCTCCTACATTTACATATAGAATCAGTTATTGTTCAAAGAAACTCGATCGGCTTGCAGTTTAAAAACAGCGCATCTATACCTGCACAATCTGCTCAATTCCACCCAAATCGGATAGTCTATTTTTTGGAATAACCCATTTTGTATCCACTTGTAAAACAGTCGACATTAGCACAATTCAAGTACGTTTAGACAAGAATTGTAATGGTATACTCACTTGATACTTTAGCCTTTTTTGTATCTGAAATGCCAGATGCTTTCTGCTTTCGTTTAGAGGACTTTGCATCTTTTTTACTGTCTGTAACAGAGCCAATCTGTATGTCAGATATCGGTAATGAATCAGGTGTACTCACAAGAGTAGTACTGAGTTTTGATTTAACTGGTGTTACATCTTTAAAAGTCACAGTTTCAGCCTCGACGAGTTCAGCCAACTCAGTAGCAGCCAATGCTGATTGCTTTTGATAAATATCAATCACTGATCGGTTCATACTGTTTAAATCCTGCATAATCACAAGTTAGCCAATCTGCAGAATTTTTTCAAAACTGTTCAACTTGCAATCGTTATCCGACTATAGCAATGTGACTGGAGCACATACCTGAAAATCTATAAGCGGAACGTCTTGCTCATATTCCATTGACGATTCGCTATTGTTTTCTTCATTTTGATTTTCTATATGCTGCAGGACTGCAACAGCTGTTTAGATTTCAAGCATGCAAATAAAATATAAAATGCAATCAGTCAAGACAGCAATACCAAAATAAATCCTACAACTATTTCAGTAATACAAAGTGTACTGTGAACATTTATCCAACCTTGCTCACAGGCGTCCATCAGAGTTTTTTGTGGTTTCCGTCGAAGTGGGGGATTTGACTGAAGAGCGTAGTCCAATATCAAATCCAAATCCCACTTTGTCCTTGTGTTTCCACCGTCTTTACAGACCTGATCTTGATACTGTTGAGCGATTCGCATTATCTGTTTTCCAAGAGTCCCGAGTTTCCTACGACCAGCCATAATCAAAAGAATTGAACAAGTTGAATTTTGATTCAATAATTTGATTTTTTTAAATAATAATCAACAAGTTGTGAATTGAAGTTTACAAGACTTGTTTATATTGTTAGAATTTAGTATTATTAAAATTCAATTCTGTTAGAATTCAATACTTTTAGAATTCAATTCTGTTAGAATTCGATAATATCAATTCATTGCAAGTTTCTGAATTTCCCCTCAAATTCCAGCAATTTTGTAAATTCACTCGACAAATAGTTAACAAAGCCTGGTCATGGCTTCGACCCCTAGCGACTTCTCAATGTCCATTCATGGTCGACTGGACCAATTATCTCAGTATATATCTACAGAAAACAACCAGCCTTCGTTGTCTTTGGAAGTACTTTTGGATGCATTTCTTGCTGTATACACTGACTGCAAGTCTGCAAACAATACTAGCGAGCAAATCTCGGGCTTCATTCGACAGTGTAAGGTTTCACTAGCATCCTGATGCATTGCATTCAACTTGTTATTGACATGCAGAATATTCTTTGTTATGGCATGAACCTGTACTGCATCTTATACGTTTAGATGATCAATTGGTTCCTAAGCTGCAGACATTGCGAGTTAACACGCGCGACTTTGAGACCATCAAGACTCTTGCAACTGGTGCGGTGGGTCGTGTATGCTTGGTTCGCGCCAAGAAAGACTCAAAAGTATATGCCATGAAGATTCTTAAAAAGTCGGACCTTTTGACACGAAGAGAAGTATGTGTGAATTCGTTCTCTAGTCATCTTTTAAGTAGTATCTCCATTTATGCGCTGCTAGTATTTACCTCTGAATTCATGTTTTAGGCGGCCTTTTTTATGGAAGAGCGAAATGCATTGGTGTTTTCTGAACAATCAAAATGGATCACCACTCTCTATGCTGCATTTCAAGACGAAGACAATCTTTATCTTGTAATGGAGTATGTTTCTGGTGGAAGCTTGCGCTCTTTGTTAAACAACAAAGAAACATCCATGGAAGAAAATGAGGCCAGATTTTATATTGCCGAAATGATTTTGGCTTTGGAAGTTTTGCATAAATACAGTTACATACATCGGTAAGAAACTAAACTGTGCTTTTTGACTGCATTTGGTTTTGAATTTTTAAATATATATATATTTACCTGTAATGCTTATATCCTTTCCAAAACAAGCGATGTGAAACCTGAGAACTGCTTGATTGACTCTGCCGGTCATATCAAGTTGGCAGATTTTGGATCTTGCATTCGACTAAGTGACGCAGCACGGGTTACATCGCATGAAACTGTTGGAACGCCAGGTTTGTAACGCTAATCTGTATTTGTACTATCAAGCATATTCTAACATGAGCATGTTGCAACTTTATTCTGCAAACAGATTATATTTCTCCAGAAATTTTGCAAGCTCACGAAGGAAATGCAAATTATAACCAAAGCGTTGATTGGTATGCTTGCTTTGATTATACAGATATACCTTGTTTTATACAGCGCAATGGTGTTGTTGGTGATAATATACCCGGCTAACATATTTTTGATACTGCATTTGCTAATAATAGGTGGTCACTAGGTATTTTGACAAAGTGTTTTGTTATTGATAATGACTAATCTAACCTTTTTATTTTGTGGTTTATTAGGTGTCATTTTATACGAATTGCTTTTTGACGAGGTTCCGTTCTATTCAGAGTCACTGGTCGAAACATACGGAAAAATCATGAACCACAAGGTATTTGATAATAATCTTTGGTATTTTTTACAGTTTATGTTTTAATGTTTTTGATTTATTAGAAATACTTTGCATTTCCTGATGACATTGAGATTTCAGACACATGTAAAAATTTTATTCAAGGGTATGCCTATGCTTATTTAAAACGACAGTTTGATTTATATAGTAACTGACTTTTTAAATCAGATTGATCTGTGCATCCGAGGAAAGGCTGGGGAAAAATGGTATTGACGAGATCAAGAGTCATCCGTGGTTTGCTGGTATTCCGTGGTCAGATCTACGTGACAGTAAGTCGTGTTGATTATATTTTCTATCCTTTACACTTGAAAGTTTGTGCTGGTCAATCATTTAAATATACTACCTCTTTATATTATAAATCAGGTACTGCACCATTTGTACCAGAGCTAAGTGGTCCAGAAGATACTCGCTATTTCGAAGATGAAGAGAATGAAAGCAAAAAGTTTGCAAAAAAAACTCTGGCCCGAAATCGTGAGTTTTCAGGACAGAATTTGGCTTTCGTAGGCTATACCTACGTAAAAAACGCAACAGCGCTCATTTCATGGCCAGGATTAGACCCTCAAACAGCAAATAGCGGATCAAATTCTTTACTTTCAATTAAAGAAAAGGCTTATAGCACTGGCGCTTCAAATTTTACTGTAAACAATGCAGCTTACGATGCGCTTAAAGAGCAACTGGATAAAGAGGCTCAAAAATCATTGGCATTATCAACAAGCAAGAAACAGTCAGAGGACGAGCTTGCTAGTTTACGAGCTGCTCAAGCTAGAGATGTTGCCCAGCGAGCTGAGCTTCAAAACACGCTTGGTATTATTGAAAAAGAAAGGCACCGCCTTGAGGCCGAGTTCAAGCAGTTGAAGCTAGTACATGATCGTGATGCCCACGATCGTTCTGAACTAGAAGAAAGAATTGGTCAGCTTCGAGAGTCTCTTGAGCGAGAAACCCGGAATAACGCTGATACACAGGAGCTCACAGAAATTCGTAAAAAGTTGGAGCGTGATATTTCCACTCTGACCATATCACTAAAGGATGAGAAAGCTCAAGCAGTAAAGCGCGAAGTTAGCATTCTTGAACTCTCCAAAGAAAAGTTGGCTCTTGATAAAGAAGTTTCTAGATTAGCCGAGGCTTTAAAGGAAGAACGACAATTGAAGCAGGATGCCGTCGTTAATTCGGAAGAATTGGCCAAGCAGGTTGATTCAGCAATAGCCACAGTTCACTCTTTAGAGTATAAAATTAGCCTGCTTGAGCAAGAAGTCTTGCGCCAGTCAAATATGATTACATCCCTAAAAGGAACGCTAGAATTGGAAATGGAGAAAACTCAAACTTCCAACGCACGCATTGCAGATCTTGAAAAACAAAATGCTTTTTTTCAAATAGAAGTAGATAGTCAAAAGTCGCAACTTGAAGAATCGCAGCTCAGAGAGGCCGAGTTAAGAAGTATAGCTCATGAGTTACAAAGTACCAGCAAAGCAACTGCCACTCAGGAAATTGATGGACTTCGAGCACAGTTATCTCAGCAGACAACAGCACGTACCAAAGCTGCTGATGAACTATCCCAACTTACAAAAAACAAGGCATTGCTGGAAATTGAATATACTGATATTAAAACAAAGTACGCATCAGAAGTTCAATCACATGCTGAAACGCAACGATCTTTCAAGGAGCTGCAGGGCTCTGTACACGAGAGAAGTCGATATATAATTACTTTAGAAGATGCAAGAAAAAATGCGTACGCTCAGGCTGGCGCGACAGTATTCAACTCTGCAGCAATGTCAGCTCAAATTTCTTTACTGCAAAAACAAATCAAATCTCTTGAAGAAATTAACACTGGACTTCATCAATCAAATGACTCAGTTCGCACAGAACTTAGCATTGTATCATTAGAGCTTCAAAACAGTCTTCAATCCAACGAAAAACTCCAACTCAAGATCTCAGAGCTCGAATCCACTTGCTCGATTGAGCTAAAATCACGCATCAATATCGATTCACAACGAAATGTACTTCAGCTGCTCAACACTCAACTAGTTCAAGAGTCAGAACGTCTCCGCTCTCGAATTGATGTAATCACTCAAGAGCATGACAATACAATAACAGAGCATCATAGTACCATTATGCAGCTTCGAGCAGAATTCAAAAATCTCGAGGAAAAGCTTGCAGCGGAGCGTGAAAAGGGATATCAGTTGGAGGATTCTCACGCCACAATGAACAGATGGGTTCACGAGCTTGAAGAGGATGCAAAACGGGAAACTGAAATACGCACGCAGACAGACAAGCTTTTGAAGGTGGCTAATAAGCGACTCTGTGATATTGGAGTCGAACTGGAGGCTGGGATCGATAGAGAGCAGCAGCTTCATTTCCGAATTAGTGAATTAGAAAGCGCCTGCGAAGCTCTTAAATACAAACTAGAAGCAGCCGATGAAAAGGAACGAGAAATCCAGCTTTCTACAGATACTAGATTGCGTGTCGATGAAAAGTCGCATTCCCGATTTAAGTTGCGAGGAATATTTTTCAAAGGATCTCGCGATGGCGTGGATCTCAATGTCGATCGTACTACTCAGAAACTACAGGATATTGATGATGATGCCAAGAATACTAAAGATGCAGATCACCGACGTAAGCAAAGTAGCCAGAGCATGGATTCGCTATCATCCTCATTAAAACTACAGACGCCTTTAGGCGCAAAGATATCAGAGCTTACAAGTATGTCAATTAGTGTTTTTTGAATAGTATAGTATTTTGGATATATACTCACCGCGGTTTTGTTATTACGTAGCACTTGATTTCTTTAACCCTGCCGAGATTCTTCAAGGATGGCTCAAGGTTCCAAAAGGCGGCAAGGTTAAAAAAGGATGGAAACTGCAATATGCGGTTGTTCGAAATTTGAAAATATTTATGTATGAACGCGATCAAGATGTAGATGTACTTCCTGGAATAGAACTAATAGATATAACGTAAGTTTGAGTTTAATACAACTATTCTACTCATTTTTTTAAGAAAATAGGTTGTTTACTGATAGCACTTGCATAATACACGCTTTTGGAATAGTTCGGACATCTTTCTTGCCAAAGCCGTGTCTCAAAATGAAGTGATTCATGCAAATGGGCGAGATATAGATCTGATTTTCAAGATACAAGCTTGGTCTTCAGATGGATCTACAAACCCAGAAACGGTTAGTGCCAATTATGCTTGTTTAATGGCTTTGAATTTGATTTACATTAGTAAAGTCCCAGTATTGTAGCGTATTTGATTAAACCAACCATTTTATTTTTGCCAATAGGAAACCTTTGAAATACAGCATCGTATTCAAAAAATACAAATCGATATTCAACTTGAAGAGAAAATGCAACAGGCTGCCGAAAAAATTCTTAGTGTTACCACAGATGCCCAAAAAGTCACAGTTATTAGTCAAATTGACTCTTCTAACAAGCGTTTAAGAGCTCTAAAAGGTGAACTGGAAAAGCTTACTCCGGCTGTAAACAAAGGTGTGGAAGTCATCAGTGAAAGCATGTCGTCGTCAAAAGAGGTATTTCACTTGTTTATTTTTCACTCAACCCACATTTTCTTTGCGGTACAATTTTTCACCAACAAATATTTGAAAAGTCTTTGGAAAATGCATCAATTGTTTCAGAGTATGGTAATCAGAAGCAATCGGACGAATTGTTTGCTCTCCGAAAGGAGTTTGAAGCACAACTGGAGGATGAGACCAAGAAAAGAGACGCTCTTCATAAATTGGCCCAGGTTGATCCACGCAAAAAGCAAAAGGAATCCAAGGATGTCGAGGTTGAGCTAGTAACAACGGATCGTATTATTGCAAAAATTAAAGGTGCATTTTCTGGTTTAATTATCAAGCGGGTCTTCATTATGATTTGGTACAATCAACTAACTTTAATTATAGAGGGATTGGAGATTCTAAATTCAGGAGATCGCGACAAAATGGACGCCTTATTGCAAAAAATGCGCAAGATAAACAAAATAGCAGATTCAATGGGTCACTTTTTCACAAATAGGCAATATTATAAACCTACGGATTGCTCCATCTGTCATGAAGCACTTTGGGATACTAAAAATCATGGAATGGAGTGTACTGGTATGAAGGTGTTTTGATGATGTATGTTTATTGCTTTCTTACTAACTGTTTGAACTAGCTTGCAAAATGATTTGCCACAAAACATGCCGGCCTCAAGTTGACACTTCTTGTCAGGACATTATCAAGCTTCAAACAGTAGCGCCAAGAGTAGGTTTTTTGAGAGAAGAGTTGGTGATCAAACTTGTGACAAATGGTTAGAATGTCCACCAATATTTACCTCGGTTTATTTTATTGTTACTAGTACTTTTTGGCAAAAGATTTGCAGGATCGTGCTCGTTGGTTGGTCGGTTTGGCATATTTACGAAAAGAATTTGAGAAAAATCAACGTAATTCAGATGGAATCTCTGGTACTCCCGATAAACGCATGTCAAGTTATGTTGAGCAGCCTAGCTCCAAAAGAATGTCAGGGATATTTTCGCTGCAAGGCAATGTCATCCCAAGAAAACCCACTATAAACGAAAAAAACTAATCTATTTAGTTGAAATTTCAATCACCAGCAACCAAATTGGCACTGTTTTTCTTTATTTTGGAGTGAAATACCTTTGCAATGAATCTCTTATTTCAGTCAAAATGCTGCTATTTTTTTAAACATATTGCACTAGATATAATATCTTGAAATGCTTCGTCAATTTCCCGCTGAAGTCGTTTTCTGTATGGATTGTCTTCTAATGTAGATAGTAGCCGAGGCGCTATGGTAAAAGGCGTCAAGTGGGGAATAAACGGTTTTTCAGAGTCAATGCTCTTAAAGCATGAAAACTTTAATCTTAAATTGGTGCGTCGAGATAGTTCTCGCTGCTTTAAAGCTGGTGCATTATTAGAAAACAGATTTACATTAGCTTTGCTGCAGTCAGATTTGGTAGATAAATTCGTTATTTTAGACGCGAGATAAAAAGCCTTTGGTGGATCTTTTGTTAGCTTGACCTTTTTGTCTTTCAGCGTCTGTAGGTATTTTATATATTAAAATAAACTAGTTTTATCAACACATGCACTTGATATAATAGTCTACAATCCTTGATTTAGCAGACATCATATTACTTGACTATTGTACCTCTAATATATGAGTTTTACTCTGTGACTGAGAAACTGGCGCATTCTGCATTTTGATCCTAAGTATCATTCGTCGAATCTGGCATATTTTATCGAGTGAAGATGAAGTCTCTTGTATCGTTTGTCTTTGGTTTGAATTATCCATCAATAAAGTTAAAAATGTTCAATTGTGATATAATAATTGTCAAGATTTGGAATGGCAAAAAAGTTGAACAATAATTCAATCCGGTACATTTTATAAATGGAAGCTAATTTGATCCAGCCATCTATTGTAAATTTCTCGAGTCAACTCCAAATTGTGTAGAGTCGAGATATTGATATCAGCATTGTGAATTTGATGGCAGATTGTTTGATTACACCAACTGACAATGAAAACCACAACCGTACATGCTAATTTTACAAGATACAAGCCTAATTTTACAAGACATCAAACCACTCAGTATAAGTGGACAGAATTATCACCATCAGGATTGTCTTGAATTCACCGAGTATTAAAGAAACCACTAGTAAAAAGAGTATAATCGAGACTGACACCGTTGTAGGTTAAACCAGTCGATTGAGTGATGCATTTTGACCCATATCATAATAGTACTTGTTGATATAGCCAAATCTGATGGTTTTTATTGCTCTATACTTGACTAATTCATGCAAATCAACTGTCACTAATCAACGTGACAATAATTTTATCAAGAAATCGCATCAACACTTTATCTGGAACAAGTGTATTGCATTAAACCCAAAAAACCATCAGTGTTACTATGCCTGCATACATTACATTAGCAACATGTTCACTGAACCAGTGGGCTCTTGATTTTTCAGGAAACTATACTAGAATTCAAGAAAGCATTGATCAGGCCAAAGCCGCTGGTGCCTGTTATCGTCTTGGTCCCGAACTCGAGATTCCTGGCTATGGATGCAACGATCACTTTCTTGAAGGTGGGATTATACATGTACATGAATGCAGTTGATTACTGTAACTTTAGCTATTATATGGCACTTGATTGTCGCCAAATCACTCCACTTTATAAATGCATCATGTTTGTCTTGGAATCATTCAACACTGATATCTTGTCAATTAAATAAACGATTCAACTTGATAGCTGATACACACCAGCACTCATGGGAGGTGCTTGCTAAATTATTGGAAAACCCACAGAATGTTGGAATTACTTGTGATGTTGGCATGTGAGTAGATTTTATTCCTATTGCATAGGATCTGGAGTACAATATATCTTTGTGTTGGTGATGCTCATGAAACTAATGATGAAAATATAATTGGGTTTTAAACTATATTGACTGTTGTTAATATTCGTGCTGCGCCATTATATATATGATTCAAATGAATCTTTAATTGGCACATATAGGCCAGTAATGCAGCGAGGTATTCTATACAATTGCAGGGTTATATTTCGTGACCACACTATTGTGATGATCCGTCCAAAGATGTTCATGGCAAATGACGGCAACTACCGAGAAATACGATGGTTCACGCCATGGTCTGAATATAAAAAACTTGATCAACTGTGCCTTCCCAAGATCATTTCAAAACTCAACGGACAAACGAGTGCTCCATTTGGAGATGGAGTTGTGGCATTTTCAGAGTTTGTATTTTTTGCACTAGTTTAAACCGAGATTGATACATTCGCCATGTATTTGTTGCTGACACTCCATTTACTGGCCTATTTTACACGTAACATTGCAATCTAGTGCAGTAATTGGCACAGAGATATGCGAGGAACTGTTTACACCGCATAGGTAGGTCTACTGAGTTATAATGCAGTACAATATTTTGTGACAAGACATTTAATCTAAACAGTGGTGCTGATCATGCACTTTGACACAGTCCACATGTGCAAATGTCTTTGGATGGTGTTGAAATATTTACAAACGGCAGTGCAAGTCATCATGAGTTTTGTAAACTTGAACAACGTGTACAGCTCATCAAAAGTGCTACTGAAAAGTGCGGGGGTATCTATCTGTACTCAAATCAGAAAGGATGCGATGGAGAGCGTGTATACTATGATGGATGTCCTTTGATTGTGCTGAACGGCGATGTTGTTGCACAAGGTGCTCAATTTTCATTGGCGGAAGTGGTGCGTAGCTGTATGGCGTTGTAGAATAGTTGCATGTTGAAATTAAAAGTTCTGGTTTTAATTGGTTATTAGGAGGTGATCACAGCAACGGTGGATCTTGATGATGTGCGTGCATACAGATCTGGGCTGGTTAGCCGCTCTTTGCAAGCTGCATCGATCAAGGAGCACTTTCCAGTCGTTCATCTAGACGTGTGTCTGACAAGCGAGTCGATTTTTAATGGAAAGTCGCTTGCTCAACCATGCTCTGTAAAATATCATAGCCCGTCTGAAGAAATCCGGCTTGGTCCTGCGTGTTGGCTTTGGGACTATTTGCGTCGAACACAGTCAGGCGGCTATTTTCTTCCACTTAGTGGTGGTATTGATAGCTGCTCGTCTGCTTTGATAGTGTTTTCCATGTGCGAGCTTGTTCATGCACGTCTTGATTGTTCAGGTATGTTTTGATAGTCAATGGTGTTGTTAGCCACATATGGCCAGATATTTTGAAATAATACCATGATTTAGATAAAAAGGTGATTCAAGATCTTGAAGCCATTGTGGGTGCCAGTATTGATACAAGCAGCATGTCGCCATCCAAGATCTGTGGGTATGTAAACATGCCATATTGACTGTTGATATTGGCCAGCAATGAACGCTATAATGTTAACTGGTTTTGAATTGCATCCAGATTACTGTTGCACACATGCTATATGGGAACGATCAATTCAAGTAATGCTACACGAGACCGGGCTGCTATTTTAGCCAAGCGTATTGGCAGGTATTCCAACAAATTTGTTGTATTGTGCAGATGGTGCTGGATAATTGTATTAACAATCTATTCAAAATACCATGGGCACGTATAAGTTGGCATCTGTCCATCAATATTGATGCAGGTGTGGATGCTATTATGGGCATATTTCAACTAGCAACAGGCACATCACCCAAGTTTCATGTACATGGAGGTTCAGTGCGAGAAAACATTGCTCTTCAAAACATCCAGGCTCGTTTGAGAATGGTGATAGCGTATCTATTTGCACAGTTGCTTCCATGGACTCGTGATCGTCGGTCATCTCTACTTGTTCTTGGCAGTGCTAATGTGGATGAAATGTAGGCATCAAACTTTTATTTTCCAATGCAATTTAATCGGTGGATGTCGATGGTACATCGATCCAAGCGTTTGATAACTTACTTTGGAGTGTGGATACAGGCTAAGGGGCTATTTGACCAAATATGATTGCTCGAGCGCGGATTTGAATCCACTTGGTGGTATCAGTAAAGTCGATCTTGTCGAGTTTGTCAAGCACATGGCAGAATCAGTGCCTGAATTGGATATTTTGAGCGAATTTGTCAGTGCACCTCCTACTGCAGAGCTTGAACCCATTACTTTGCAACACGTTCAAACAGATGAGGTATGTTTTCATTGATGGATGGAATACATTCGTGTAGGCTATATTTGGTGCTTGCATTTCCTGTATGCATCGTCGGCTAAAGTGTGCTGACGCTTTTTTGTTGAATCTTGCAGGATGATATGGGAATGTCATACAAAGATCTGTCAGTATTTGGTACGCTTCGCAAAATATCAAAAATGGGACCTGTTTCAATGTTCCAGCGACTTCTTCACGATTGGGGTAGCATGTTTTCTCCAACAGAGGTATACAGCATATACCAGTTGATTGATATCTGAAAGGCGTTTAGAAAAGCTAATGCACATTTCAATATTTATATTTGCCAACACTAAATATCCCAAATGATGTCAATTCAATATCAATCTCGTCGAGTAGATTGCTGCAAAAGTCAAGCGCATGTTTTTTTTCTACTCCATCAACCGGCACAAGGCAACCATTATGCCACCAGCCTATCACATGTCCAGCTATTCTGCAGATGATAACCGTTTCGATATGCGTCCATTCCTGTACAATGCTTCATGGAAGTGGCAGTTTGAGAAAATAGATGACAAGGCAAAGTATGCACAAGAGTGAATACAAAATAGTTCATTCTGTGATATTCGTTTGCTGCTACATTAAACAATGTTTCTCAACACCAGAATAACTATCAAGATTTTCAAAGTACAAATAATAAAATATGAGTACTAGAATATGGCATTATATGGATAAATAGACTCGTGTTTTGAAACGACCGACAGACGTTGGTCAAATTCAGTATATACCTGAATCTCCTCGTAAAAACATTTTGGAAATGAAACGATCCTTGTTCACTGGCTTTGCCTTTTTGATTCCTTTTCCGGTTTGTGGAGTTTCTATTCGATAAATACACCTGTTAGCAAATATATGCCATGCAACTGTATAACAATGTCCATTGAGAATTGCTCATCTAAAATATATACCTGTCCACATCTATATTCAATACAGTAGAATTAGTTTGGGTAATCTCTACATATTCGTATCTGATACATTAAATCAACATTGTGATGAGTATACACTGACCTCCTTCACATTCTCCAACACCATATTACAATGCCGATCGCTGTTATCCAAGTAGAATCAATGTTAGTTGGACATGAAAACATGGACTCAGTCTACTGAAACAACCAAGTATATATGTGTATAATAGATGCATATTATGCCAAGACGGGCACTTACAAAGCTTTGACTCGGGCCAATAGCTTGCGATTGTTTCTAATCATAACACAATTACATGAGTATCACATCCATCTGACAAACATATCAATGCTACCATCCGACAGCTTTGGTGTATTGACTACAAATACATCAGCACAGAAAACACAATGGCAAGTTGTTATCCACAATATGATCATACCGACAGACCACCAGCACTTGCGAGCTATTCTTGACTGCCTAGATTCCATTATAACCCATTAAGCCATGTGAGTAGGCCAGACTGATTCAATCATATATCATGTAGTTGCATATCATCTGAAAATATATGCTTATAAATAATCCAGTAGATATATCAGAAAGCGAATCGTTAAGCAATGGCCATTTCCAACCTGTGTGAGGATTGAAAGTGGGCCAGTCTGGAACTCGGCCTCTTCCAAGGCCTGCAGTTCTATCTCGCTCATCTCGCTTTTTGATTTTTGAGTTGTGGTAGCCATCTCTAGCGTATATGGATGTATCAATGCTAGGCTAGATCCTAATAACTGATCAAATCACTCCGACAGTTTTTAAAAGTTGAAAATCAAATACAAATTGCTTTAAATTCACCAATTCAAGTTTGCAAAATAACCAACAAGAATTCTGCAATCGAGTAACAAGACTTTGACATGAATAAACTGTCCATAATACAGTCAATTTATTAGTGTCAAATAGTATTCAACTGTAAAGTCTCGAGTTTATTTTTGAATTCAAAATTGTAAATCTGACAATTCAAGACCAACACAAACAAAACCCTAATTACTATTTCAGATCTTTACCAACTCATCCACGTTGCATGCCATTGACTCGAAAACAAATGTGTATTCAACCAACTGGTAATATCTCGACGTGTGTCATGATTATTTCAATTATACTATTGGTCATGCACATACCAGTTTAGTATTTTCTATTCATCCAGCCAGTCAAAAATAAATCAATCGCATCAGTGGTTACATTTAGAAAACACAACACATAGTGGATTCACACTTTATTCTGCCTCATCTGTATCATAATACAGCATACATCTCGACAAATCTTGAAACAGCAACTCATCACATTCTTCACAACCTGACAAAATATTCAGTACAACAGCCATCACTGAGATCCTTGTGGTGAGGTTGCTTGTACAGCTACAATATACGGCGTGGCCTGTTGTGCACTCGGCGATGTTGGTGGTAGCTGCGTATTCTGCGGATCTTGTATACCATATTGAACATAGGGTGATTGCATATACATCTGAGGTGCGTGGCCTTGCATCATCATCTGATGCTGCTCATATGTAGGATACTCTACACTACCCGAACTGGGTCCACCACCTGTCGTGTTCGGTACACCTGCCATGTCTGACGGCATTGTACCGCCAACTATCATGACTGGCGCGCCATACTGCACTGCTTCGCCAGGACTCGAAACCCAGCCCATAGGCGGCATTGGTGGCTGATGAGAATATCCCATCACTGCTCCTGAAAGTTTATCAAATCATTGTATTAGTCAACACGCTAACCAGCGCTCGTGGTCACTTCAAACATTAACCATTCACCACAAACTGTTCATATCACTGATATCAACTTACCGGCTGGGTGCATTCCTGGCATAAACCCATATTGAGGATGCATTCCATACATCATTGCTGGTGCTGGCATTCCTGGATGAACCATTGATGGATTATACATGACACCATGTGGCATATACTGGTATCCAATCACAAAGTCATCCCAAATAACATTTCAAATGTGCGATGCCATTCAAACAATCAACACAAATATCAGTATACTTGAATCTCAAACAATCAACACCATACAAAATAGCACTGACCATTGGATCATACTGAGGCTGTGGTGGATATGGACCTGCTCCAGAATAAAACTCACCACCTATCTGATGAGCATCATAATGCCCAGCTAATAATACAGCCAAATAGCATCAGAATATATACACTTTACATTCCAATTCAAATCACTCAACATACATGGAGCATATTTCTGATATGGCTTTCCTTGATATGGCTTGGTATGCATCCGTGCATTGGGTGTCCCGTTTGACTTTCCGCCACGTCTGTTGGGATAATTAAAATTCTGATTCCATCAGACTCGCCATGTCAGTAACGTGCTATATGCATTCAGATAGACAAATGTCCCATTACGTTCCGACACGCTTACCTTTGGATCTGATGTTGGTTTTACACCAGACACTGCTGGTGGCTTTGCATTAGATACTGTTGTTGGCGTAAATTCAGAGGCCGATACATTAAACTTGAATGTAGATTTGGATGTCGACGTCATACTGGTGCCATTGGACGGAGTCTCTGACACTGTTGATACTTTGTCGCTTATATCTTCATCCTTGGACAATCGTGCATTCTCAGACACTGATTCTTGTGATATTGATTGCTTTCTTGGCAAACCCGTTTCACTCTTTGGTTCCTTTGTTGATGCACTGGTCTGTGTGGATTGTGGTTTTAAACTGGCTGACACGACTGTTTTTGGAGTTGGCGTGTGACTGTTGGCACAACTTGACAGTGGTTGCTTTGGAACCTTTACATTCGATTGTGCTGATGCAGTCACATCAGGCTTGGCTGATCCAGTGACGCATGCAGTAGGGTGTGTATTGAGCTTGGTTTCAGCATTTGTCTTGCAAGTCGTGGCTAATGATGCACTTGGATTACTTTGACTATCGTGTGGTGTATTCGACGTGGTATCTGATACGACAGGATTAGGTTCTGATTTGGATACTGCCAAATGCTTGACAGATTCTACATTTGCCTTGACATCTGCTGTGTTTTTCTGAGACACCAATGCATTTTGTGTCGATGGATTCTTTTTGATGTCATTTGATGGCGTACCTGATGTTGCATTTTTAGTATGTGCATCCGACGCAGCATTACGATTGTTGGTTTTACAACTGGCACGGTCACTGCTGGTTTCCGGTTTGTCTGATTTGTTTGATTTGTCTTGCAAGAGTTGCGACTGTTCTATGTTGTTCGACTCTTTCTTGGCATCCATATGTAGAATGCATTTGATATCTTCAGGCATTGGTGTTTGCAGTTTGAAACTGTTTCCAAACTTTTTAAGATCGTCCAAAAGCCCGCCTTGTTTGGTTCGATGAATTTGCTCTCTTCGAACCTGCCATTGTTTTCGCTCACCTCCAGCAAACTCTGAAAATAGTTTTTGTACTGTCACTGTAGGATCTGGCGTAGATTGTGGTGCATGACTATGTCGTGCATTCTTTTCAACAATACTGGCAAATGTAGTTCCAGTTCCAGCTGTAGACTGTGGTGCATTCTTTTCAGCAATACTGGCAAATGTGGCTCCGACTGTAGACTGTTTGTGTGTTGATGCTGGTGCGACAGTTGACCGCCACGATGTATTTGTAGGTTTCCTATTGCCTTGGGTTACATTTCTCAAAACAGATGAATACCTATATCGGTGCAGTTGATATTAGCTGATCTGTATGCATAACCAACAGTACACTTGATGTATTTGTGTACTAATATTGATTGACACACCTGTCTTCTTCATCCATTGTGCTATCAGTTGGACAAAATCCGCGTTCTTCTGCCACATGTAGATTACGAGTTGGTGCCTACAAACAGTTGAACAACAAGTCAAACAAGTCAATTTCAATGACAATTTACCAGAACATTGAACTCAACAACAACAACATTATTCAACATTGAACCCAACAACAACATTATCCAACAACAACAACAAAATATGCCACGCGTAATCAAAGCGATTCATAGTTCCGACTCGTCCACTTACTCGTTCAATCTCGGCTGCAATACGTGCTGCTTCGGCCTCTCGCTTAGAAAATCCTGGCAAACTCTTGTCTACTACCGTGGTATACATGTGTTCATCAAAATCAGTGGTTACACCAAACAGTCGTTTATTCGTAGCAAACTGGTCCCAAGTTCCTGACTTTGGCACATCTACCAATTAACAGTCAGTTCATTACCAAACATTGTCAACCAATACAACTGATCGATATCCATCACTGACTCATCTCACCTTCTAAACCTGTCATGCTTTGTTCATTGGCATTATCTGATGTCCATTTGGTCAGATTACGGTAGCGATGCTCACCTGCTCCACCCGATATCGCCGTATCTGTTTTAAAGTGATGAGACACTTTGGTCCGTGGTGGACGAGCTGTCTCAAACGAGGCTGCTGTAATCGATACCACATCTGCTCCACGAATGTTGAGTTGTGCAATGGCTCGACCTGTTCCTTTGCTATGAAGCACCCGTTTTCTCGCTTGTCGTAGACTGACTGACAAATCAACTGGATCTACAGTGTGGCAGATACCCTCAACCTCACTTCCATCTAATGTGGTCACCAGAGTCTTTACGCCCTGTTCATTGCAGATTCAATCAGTAAATATTCACATATCTCTGCAGTTCCACTCTCGACAAACACCATTGGACACTATCGTCACTTACCACAAGTTGCAGCACTGCGTTGAGTGCTCGTTCTTTTGCGCTCATTTTGGCGGATGGACTTTTCTGTGTCGAGTTTGTGCGAGATCCATTTGTCTTTGCTGCTGCAACTGATACTGCAGGCGTCATTGAGTCTGACACTGCCATCACTGGAGGTCCTGCACTCCATGCATTTGCTTTGGTTGCTTTCCTAATCCAATACATGCCAATTAAAATCAATATTGTTTGACAAGATTCAGTGACAATCTGGTCGCTTCGTGTACTTGACATTCTACTGCATAGTGTATACTTGATCGTATATAGATAGTCTACCATAAAACAATCACTTACGGTATTTGTGGAGTTGGGCCCGACACATTTGAAGAAGGTCGAGTTTGGGTCTGAGGTTGTGAACGCATTGCATTCGATGTCGGAGTCTGTGATTTGTGTTGAGTGGTTCCCATTGGTGTCGATATCGAACCACTAAAAGGACCTGTTGTTTTTGTCGGAGAAGGTTTACGACCCATTGTTGGAATTTATCAAATATATATAACTGATAGTAAGATTGCAGTAGCAACGGCCTTGATAGATTCGATCTGCACGACGATATGAAATGGATTCACCATGACGATATGAGTAGGTTCGTCATGACAATATGTGTAGGTTCGTCATGACAATATTTGTAGGTTTGTCATGACAATATTCGTAAATTCGCCATGACAATCCAAAGCCAGTCGATTGATATACAATAAAAAGGATTAGAATCATCAAAACCATGACTGTTTTACAGCAGTATTCTAATCAACTGCCCACTATGGTTTATATAGCAGTCCATATTGTATTTGGACAAAGTCATCCATTGATATCATACCAAACAACCGACGTGGATTGTATCCATATGGGATGATCTTATTGGGACTCAACCCGACACAGTCTAGGGTTTGCATGTCGTCTGTTACGTTGGTTACGGATAACAAATAACTGTATGCTAATAATTGCTAGATCGGTAAATGATATACACAAACACTTCTTAATGCTCATTGCATCACCATATATACTGATTTTTCAATACCAAACTGCAAGATTCTATCAAATAAAAACACCAATCTATTGTCCAAACCAAGGAATTCGATTCAATCAGGTCATATATAACGGATACTACAATATATTACCTTCTATATAGCAGAATACAGTTCCTTGAGCTTTCCTGCAGTGGAAGATGGTGCGGCTATTGCCCAGAATATAACGTTGATATCAATATAGTTTCTGCACGTTTGAAGGCGCAGAAATTTAAAATCAACCCAACGCGCCGAGTCACGTGGATATGGATGTCATTTGCATTGCGTGTTATTGCTCACGAACAAGTCAAATGTAATGTCTTGGTAATAAACTGTTTCACTTGGATTGATTATATCACACATGTCACTTGTATTGACTGCATTGACTGTATTATCACTTGTGTAACTTGTATCACTTGTCTCGTGTTCAAATCTTGTCCATGTTGTTGATGTGATCATCTCGATTGTATCAAGTGTCCATTTGGTGTTGTTTACTTTCAACTCTATCGTGTGGATATGGATCTGGTGTTGTTTTATTACCGTTTATTTTCAACTCAATCGTGTAGATATCATCATGGTAGTACCATTTCAAAGTATGCGATCCCATCACTGATTTTCAAACTATAGGCCACTGATCTAGTATTTAATATGCATTGACATGACAAGTGGTTGCATCATGCAATCCATACCACTTTATTCATATATTGCTGATGGATCATGTACGTTGTTCAGATCTGATTGGTTGAAGGATATGCCATGACTCAGTTGACTAGATTTAAGCAAGTCGTGATACAGCCTTGGTTGATTACAGGATGTGTTCAAACAGCATTACTTGTTCAAGTATCAATATGGGTTGATGGATTTAGCTGTTATCAGTATCAGCTCTGCAAGTCAAACGTGGTTACTGTTTTTGAATTGATAATCTTGTCGAGTATTTCAATTGGGTCAAAGGGTTTATTTTAATAAAGCAGTTCAATGCTACATTCGCAGACAATCTAAACTATTGATACTGCGGGTGTTGATGACTGAGCAAACTACAAACACTGCAGTGCACCTGCCAACAATTTGACACTAAACTATAGTTTAGTCCAGGATCAGTTTATTAAAATTGAAACTGTTCGAGTTTCTGGCATTTAAGTTTCTTGAGCGTATCAATCGACTTTTTTGTTGCCAAATTACAGCAGTGAGTTATAATTACATGAATGTTGTATTGAGTTTGATGCTTGCAACAATATTTTGATTGTTGGATTTGGTAATCAGCGTAGTTTTATCAAGTTTTGATTTTTTAAATGCTATAGCCATATTCGCGTAAATTGAATCACTTGTATCTTGCTTTGAAATGAATAATAATCAACCATTTGTTCCACTTTTTGTAATCATACATTGCACGACCACCAGATTTATTGATTGTAATTCATATATTGGGGTTGACTATTTTGATTTTTTCAAACTCATTTGCTGCATTTTAAAGACAGATACGTTTGCGATCTAGTCCAAGAGAACAAAGATTGAACGTATTGGGAATGCTACTATACATGACCATCACAGAGTATTTGTAAAAAAGAATTGAAGTTTGGACAAGTATCAAAGATGTGCTGAAACTGCTTTGAACATTTGCTCAGATAATATCCAGTAAATTTAGACCAATCATTTCACAAGACTGGTCGATTGTGAATTTTGGCCCTTTTCTTGGTACTTCATTTTACGTGAATACAGTTGTAATTGGATATAAATGGTTACAGACATAGCAAGTTGCTTGCCATTGTTTCCCGTTAGTCATGATTTTATTGATATTATTAATGAGCCAGCTCAGTTTAGAGAAGCTTTGAAAGTAGGACCAATTACTTTTATTCATTGTGATTTGGCTGTTTCCAACTATTAACTGCCCGGTTTATTGGCATTTTGTTGACTTTACATAGAAAGGTATCGAAACTGCCCGCAGTAGAATTGTCTTGGCCTCTCTTTATATTGGCACAACTGAGACTGATTTAGTGAGCACATATTGAACGCATGCCTGAGTTTATTCAACTGCATTCAATTATTCTCTTGACTTGAACTCTGATGCTGACTAATCTTGTTTTTAAATATCATGAATCTTGTGGAATTATTCAAGATTGAAGAATTACGCATGGCTTTACAATCCAATTCTCAGCTTCGTTTGATTGTATTGGTTGACTATTTTCGAGGAAGCCGAATAGAAGGTAATGGCAAGAGCACAGTTAATTTACTCGAGCCATTGCGCGATCTCTATCCTAATCAAGTACAGATCTCCTTGTACAAGTCACCTGCAGCAAAACGGAAATGGATGGGGATTGTACCACAACGATTCAATGAGATTTTTGGTTTACAACACATCAAGGCATATGTATTTGATGACGATGTTTTGATTAGTGGGTAAGTTGAATCAATTTACAAATGTGTATTGTTTAGACACATCACAATTAGTACTACATTTTAAACAAAAGATTACAAATTCAATTTAATTGTTGTAATAATGCACCAATATGCTATATCTACACACTATTTTTGAAAACCGCCTGTGATACTTTGAATATACAGATTCCTAACCCTATTAAATCAATAGTGCCAATATTAGTAAGGACTACTTTACAAATCGACAGGATAGATATGTTTTGTTTCGAAAGGCTGGAGACATGGCATTATATTTTACCGAGCTTATCCAAACTCTCGCTAATTTAAGTGAAGCTTCTTTAAAAATCTCCGAATCCCGCAAGGAGTATCTTGATCGAGTTCACAACACTCTCGAGTCTTTTTCAGCAGTCTGGCTAAAAAAAACCCAGATTTTTAGAAATCAGTTTAATACTATTTTCAAAGACAATTTGACGGATTCAGATGGTTGTACTTTTGCTGCCCCAGCACTACAACTTGGATGTGTTGGAATTCGATACGACCAAAAGGCGATGCTATGTGCTTTAAGCCTTGCGCGTGAGGCTCCAGACTATCATATATCGATTGCAAGTGGTTATCTTAATTTTCCCAGTGTATATCGCGATGTTTTATACCAATCCAAGTCTGATATTGAAGTACTATGCTCTTCACCTCAAGTATGTATTTATTCCAAATGTTTTATGTTTGAAAATTGACTATACTATCATCAATCTTGCTTACATGCATTTTATCCAGGCAAATGGATTCTTTAATTCTCGAGGCATTTCAAAATTTGTTCCGGCTGCATATAGCTATCTCGAGTGGCTTTTTGGTCAGGAGTTTTCCAAACGCAACAAATGGGCTTTGGTACGAATTTTTGAATTTTACCGAGCAGATTGGACTTGGCACGCAAAAGGCTTGTGGATGTATCAACATGCAGATCCACAAAGTCCGTATGTTACTACCATTGGTTCATCAAATATGAACCAGCGATCTCTAGAGCTTGATATGGAAGCTCAAGTCTATCTTTTTACAAGAAACAGTCTTGTACGCACACGTTTCAATCAGGTAGGCAATGTTGATTGCTTTATTTTTAAGCACCTATATGATATCTTGGCATTTAACTCGTTATTTTTAGAATTTTGCACATTTACAATCCTATACAAAAAATGTGCAACTTGAGACAATACGGAATAGACGTGTTCCTACACTTGTTAAATTTTGTGCAAGAATGCTACGAACAATGTTTTAGATATACAAAACGTGTGGAGTGTTTATTGAAGATTATCCAAATTGGACTTTTCCTGAGTGTGTTTAAACTGGCTATTCTGTATATCACTTTGTTGGGGAGCTGTTACTGGTGGGTGGGATGAAAGCTGTACTGGAAAATGAATATTCGTCGATGTGTTGTTGTTTTTAAGATTTCCAGAAGATGCAGAGTTTATATGTGTATTGGACGAAGAGCCAGCGTTTATATAAGGTCGTACATGGTATCCATGTAATGGTTGCGCAACACGGCCAGGTTCATAGAATGCTCCATTTACCTCGGTGTTAATGGGGTATGTCGTAGAAGCCAACATGGGTCCATGATTGACATAATATACAGAGCCATCAGTAGATGTGGATTGAATTCCAGAATAATCATTATAGTAAGGGTACTGAATGCTGGGGGTTCCGTTCGCTGGATATCTAAGATAGCGTTGATCAGCTGGGATTGGCTGAGGCATATGCTGAACACGTTGGTGCGGAGGTAACTGCTGGTTCTGAAAAGAAATAGGGTTACTATGATGAGGTGGTCGGTACATTGGCATTACAGGAACAGTGGGGCCAAAATATGGCCCTAGTAATATTGGATGGGGCGGTGTCCATGCTGGGCGAATCTGTATATGGCGTGGAGGTCGCGGATTGAACTGGCGTTCCTGGTACTTTGGGGTTGGCCGTGATTGGGATGTGTCACTGGTTGTCGCTTCTAAATCACTTGATTCTGTTTCGTCAAAAATTCTAGCTCGAGCCTCTTGATATAATGCTTCACGTTCTTTAATTGATAATGCTTCAGCCTTTGCAAATGGAAAGGATGTTTGCTTTGAGTCGTCATTAGTTTCTTCATGTGAATGCGGATTGATTGATTTTCGAACTTGCTTTGATTCTGGCTTCTTTTGGAGTGTTCGAATATTTGAATGGCGCGGTATGATCTGAATCGATGGGTTAGATTGCTCGCCAGTATCCCCATGATCTTGTACTTGCTCGTAAGAAATATCCCGTAGTCGAATACTTGGACTGTAGAAAAAATAAAAGTTATTTAAAGCCATTTATAAGCAACATCAAAAATTCAAAAGTACATCTCATAATTGTAAAAATGCCTTACAGTTTTGTGTCAGCAGTTAGAGAAAGAATAATAGCTTGGCGACGAGTATCAACGTATCTTTCAAGTCCGAATAGTTCTCCAACACGATGAACAATCAGTCGACGGAACGAGTTTAAACTAGGATACTCCATTGTTCTTGACATATCAGAGCTGTATTTAATAAGATTCAATAATTAGACAAAGTTTATAAAATGAGGCTTGCACGAGAATGGTCTTGGCTCTCAATAATATCAATTATCTATAGTCCAGCCAGTTCAAACCTGACAATATATTTGGGCTATACAATAAGCCGATATTTACAAAAAACTTGCCTGGATGAAGACACAAAGTTTTCACAATCTAATTCAAGCTTCAACATAAATAACCGCTGTTTTGGATCATGTAACGCATTATAAAGTACTCTGTCGATCCCAATCTCATCGGCAGCAGCAGCAAAAGGGTCGACATCAAAAAGTTCATTGTCTGAATTATTGCTTGTGACTGCAGAGGAGCAGAGATTCAAGGCAGATGCTGCAAATGTTTCTGCATTGTCGATTTGAGCATTCCCAGCGAGTTTTTGTATAGAGGGTTCTTCCAATGAGATGGACTGTAATTGATCCGACAATAGTGGTGAGATGGGCGAGTTTTTGGCACTGTCTAATTATTCCAAAATATATCAAACCCACCAATTACATAGTTATCAGTATATTTTGTATATCCATTTTACAGTATAGTCAAGCATGCATAGTAGATGAAAGGAAACCCAGCGTAAACGCTGGTAGATAATAGAAATGGCTGACAAGATCTACATTGCCAGATAATCCATGAATAAAACATAGCTGTAAGAGGGATTTAGTACAGGCATGTACCAGTTATTTGAGGTACCTTGATCAATAGTCTCCATATTGACGGAGTCCGGTTGAGCAATTTCAAGTTGTTTTTGAACCGATTAAACAGCAATTTCAACTATTTGAAAAATGTCACGTGCAATTTTACCAACACTGAAGTTCCGTACTAGTCTAGCCAGTCTAGGTTTCGTCACGTTCAACCCTTTTGTGCAACTTCATTTTCAAAATGAAAAGCATAGCAATAGAATTGGCTGATATAGAGTCTATATCAGTCCCTTTAAAAACACCTTCAGAGTTTATCAGAGAATATCTACCTAACCCCCAAAATAATCCAGTACAGATTATCGACCATGCCCATACAAGTTCTATTGTAGAATTGGTTTGGGATAAAGAGTCTGTTGTTCGTAGCACTGATATTCCATTTGACCGTCCTCTGTTTCGTCCCGAGCCCTCAAATATTACACTTCAAAATTATCTGCCATTTAAAACTTATGAATTGGTGATTAATTTTAGAAACTTGGACAAGGTATGAACTTGATGCTTTAGGTATTCTTACACATGCATTATTCTACTATGAATTATTTGTTGAGGTGTGTTTTGCACCATATATTGTTGAGCAATGTATCTTGTTACTCGAGATACATCGCGCTCCATGTGCAACTACGCGTAATCTACTCGAAGATTTACAAACTCGACTATCAAAGAAGCGCCTTATTAAAGATGCCAGGGTGTGTCTACCACAAAGAATACAAACTAAAACGAGTGGATTTAAATCAAATTATATACTTTATAGTGTGCACGAAGGATCAGTATTGAGCCTACAAACAGTCCCCATTTCTCAGTGCATGGCTGGAAAAATAACTCACTTTGCTCAGGAAAAGTTGCACCGGGAATGGATGTTTCATTTATTGTCAAATTCAAACCAGAGGAAAATGTGGACTATGCATATTCTCTTGTTTGTATTACCGAGCGAGAGAAATTTTTACTTCCAATCAAGACAATTGGTGCTCGAGGTGCGTTTTTTGGTTTAAGCATTCAGGGGAATCTGTCGAATTTGAAAGTTTTGTTAATATAAAAAGCTAATTGGATACTCTTGATCTAGGTGTTCTTGATCTTCCAGATGACGTTATTTTTGGCGATTGTCCTGTAAACTACTCGTCAGTCAAAACGCTTTTGGTTAGAAACATTGGAAATGCTTTGGCAAAGTTTGATGTAAAGGTTGATGGGCCATTTTCCATTACGCCTAATACGGGCTGTATAGAAATTGGACAAACAATGCAGATGGACGCCAGCTTTTTGTCAAAGGTATACAGTTTTTCATCATTTAGCAAATTACGTCGAGGTTAAATAACTAATCTTGTGTTTATGTAATTCTAGAAAAGCGGTAGTTTTGAATCATCTCTGACCATCACGTTCCACACAGGAGAAACTGTTGCTATCCGGCTAACAGGAACTGCTGAAAACATCAGTGTAAAACTCGAAAAAAACCTACTTCGAATGGAAAATACATCTATTACTCTTGCATCTTCAAAACTGATTAGAATATTTAACAAATCAGATACAATGGTAAATTTTTTGCTGCTTTGGAATCCAACAAAATGTCCACATTTATTTCAATTAAAACTAAACTGTCAATCTTGATTCGTTTATATTGAAACAGGTAAGCTATATCTGGAAAAGACTTGCAAATGAGAATGAAGATCAACATGAACGAAAACGACAGCTTTTATATTCATTAAATGATCAAAGAAAAGAATGCGATCTGTATGCAGCAACAAAAGATGATGGACCGAAAACAGACATGGTTGATATATCTCTTCTTGCTCAAAAATACAATGCAAGTACTATTATATTTAAATTAGTGCTGAAACTGTATTTTGGTGATATTAACACTGCATCATTGAATTTTAGACCTGTGCCCGCATTATCCAGAACCAATCGTTTTCGTTCCAAAACACAGTGTTTCAAATAGAACCACTTTCTGGGATTATTTGGCCAGGTGCATATTCTGAAGTAAAGGTGCAGTTTTCACCCCTAATAGCTGGAATTCACGAAGCTGTTGCATATTGCCAAGTGGAAGGCCGCGAAACCCGACTTCCTTTGCAGCTCAAGGTGATTTCTTTATTTCTTGTTCAAGTACTTTGTCAATGCATTGACGATTTTCCAATATTTTTGATTAGGGAGAGGCACTTGGCCCAGTTGCAAGGTTTTCCTACGATTTACTTGATCTTGACAACATTTTCATCAACACATCGCATACTTACGAGGTAACGTTGAAAATATAAACCACATTATTAAAGTATTTATTTTTAGTAAAGATATAAATCAAGCACTCATTCAACTGCCTTTTGTAGGTGATCTTGGAGAACAAAGGTGAAATTCCTACCCATTTCTGCTTGGAAGACGTCAAGACTATTTTTGGTTCTAAATTTAGCTTTACACCAAACAAGGGCAGTATTGGTGTTGGAGAAAAATGCGTAATTTCTATACTATTCTGTTCCAATATTCTTGGCAATTTTTTGGAAGAGTTTTGTTGGAGTTTAGAGGTTTGTTTGATATTTAGTTGAAACTGATCTTTTCGATTCTGTATACTGTAGTTGATTTGATAGTAAATGATTTGTGATTTTGTGAAAATACAAATTTTTAGGGTACATCCGCTTCTTTAATATTGTCCTTCAAAGGCACTGTGATTGGACCTACTTTTCATTTTGAACCTTCAGTTTTAGACTTTGGTAGCATTTCATACGGATTCTCTGAAAATCGAGCATTGCGCCTGTTTAACACGTCTGATATCCCCATGTCATTTCATCTACGACTTATAATACCCGATGAGGACTTGAATGCGATCAACTGTCAATTAGATCCAAGCAGTGCCTTGATAGAGCCGCTATCAAGCATTGATATATCTGTAAATATAGACTCTCGATCTTTAAAATCTGCGCCATTTGAAGTGCTTGTTGATATCGAAAACGTTGGAGTAGATATGATGCGCCTGCCCGTTTTTTATGAATGCGTTGTGCCAGAAGTATGCATTAAATCCAACTATCATCTTGCTTTTAATTGGTTTATGTATTTGGTATATTATTAACAGTCAAACCTATCATTTTCGTTAAATTGATTCATTTTTGTTTAAAATTAGGTCAACATTGTAGATACTTTTATGGACTTGGGAGATTGCTATCTTTGTCATGGCTATGATCAGAGTATCAAGCTTGTAAACAGTTCAAATTTTTCAGCTTCTTTTCAGCTTGTCAATCAAGAAAAAGATGCACAGAGCATATACACATATACGTCAGATACCATTTTTGGTGTGATTCAACCCAATTCATCATTGTATGTCTCTATCAAAATTTTGATAAAGCAGCTGGGCCAAATTAGCTTTCCAGTGGGATTCCATATACAAGGAAGGGAAAGCTCTCCTTTGGTGGTGAACATCACGGCAAACGGAATTGGACCCAACATTGAACTTTCAAACAATGAGTTAAATTGGGGGAAAATTCAGGTTTTGAAAAAAGAACCTTTACTCCTTTGCCTGCATAACAAATCTCCTATTTTTGCAGATTTTCGATGCACGATACACTCTGATTCTTTTGTATTCACTGTCCATCCACAAAGCGGAACCATTTCACCTGGTCAGAAATTTGAAATTTCTATAACCGCACATCTAGACGATGTTGTCAAATTCACAGATATTCTCAAAATCAATGTACAGTTTAATGGCATCCATGAAGTGAAACTGGTTGCTCGAGGTCAAGGAACAACCATAGTAATGGACGAAGGACTCCGTAATGTAGATTTTTCAAACGTGTTCAGTAATTGTGAATGCTCTGCGCAGTTTACGGTTACCAACAAAGGACGTCGAACACAAACAATTCACTGGACTAGGGAAGAAAATCATACTCAAGCATTTAGAAATCAGGATGTGATGTCTAGTCAGGTATTTGAAATTATTCCTCCACGGTTTGTGCTGAAACCGGGAACTCAGCAGACAGTGTATTTGAGAGGATATTTCAACAAGGAAGCCAGAATCACTGAAAAGTTAATTTGCCAAGCCATGCTGCCAAAAGATCCTTCTCGAAAAATTATTTTTGAATCAAGTGTGACTGCAAACTTTGTTAGTCCGCTCATTGAGATGACTCCAAATGTGCTAAAGTTTTTGTCCGTTTACACCACCAACGAAAGATTCACATCCATTGAAAAAAAGCTTGCTCTTAAAAACACCTCAGCTTTATCATTACATATGTCGTTCAAATGTCCCCAACCTTTTTACATGGAAAACAAATCACTGGCATTATTTTTAAAGCCACAAGAGTCTGCAATAGTGTCTGTTTTCTACGACTCTCTTTTTAATCTAAACCGGATATCCTCTAAAGAAAACGCAAAGCTACAAATTTCATATCGCGAGCATCCTCAAAAGGATGCAATTGAACTTCAGAGTGACATTTCTTTTCCTAATCTCACCTTTTCTGCAAACTCACTAAAGTTTGGCTGTGTGGGTATTGGAAAGGAACACAGAGAAACAGTTTGGATGGTAAACACATCCACACTACCGGTGCACTATCAATGGTATTTTGTCGATCCTTCTAGTCAAAATTTACCAACTGCAATTTCTCAGGTGTTTGACATTCAACCGCTTCTTGGATTGCTTTATCCTGGAGAAAAACAAGAAGTCGAAGTTTATTTTTACAGTCAATCTACAGATAAATTTAACATCAAGGCGCTGTGTGATGTAGAGGGTGGACCAAAGTATGAGCTGGCCCTACAAGGAGAAGCTTCTGCCATCACATTTTCATTTGACAAGACTTGTCTTGCATATGGAACACAGTCTTATCAAAGTATATCAGAACAAGAAATTGTACTGACCAACACTGGCTTGGTGCAATTTGATTATACTGTAACTGTTTTTTCAGACACCCAATTTTCATCAAAGATTATGGTTTCTCCTGCTCAAGGAACCATTATTCCCCGAGGAAAGCAAAAGATACTAGTGAGATATTGTCCATGTGTACCAGAAGTTTCAACCGGCTGTTTTTATATACAAATTGCCCATTTTGAACCGATCGAGATTCAGGTGACGGGTGTAGGTAGCTTTCCGAGACTCAGCATTGACGCGCCGCGCGCTACAGAGCATCGATTTGACGAGATTGCTTCAAAAATTCGATCAAAGTCTGCAAACAATTTGGCTTTGGATGTCGAAGCAGAAACAGAATTATTGCTTCTTATTGAAAAAACTTGGGATCTGATTGATAAACTCTCGTCTGAAGCGCATCAAAAAATGCCCTACTTGAAAAACCAAGGCTCACGATTTGTTGGATCAATCTTACTTTTCAACAAATGGCTTCAATTAAAAATATCAAAAAAGTTTAAGGCCATTACTATGGTAGAATTTTCACATGTTAAGCTGGCAAAGTATGTGTGCGACTATGGCATTATTATCCGCAATACAACCTCACAGAAATCGGTTCGTATTTTCAACAATGGAAATCAGACAGCAATTCTGGAAATTGATAAATCAGTACTTTTTGGTACTGGGTTTTCATTTGAGCCTGAAAAGGTAAAGGCTTTATCTCCTGGCGAAGGGGTCGAGCTTTTGATCCAATTTCATGCAAAGCAGCACATTTCGGATTTGATCGAGATTGAGCTTCCTATTACTATTTCTGGTGGAGCAACAGTTTTAATTCTTCTTCGAGCTACTATCACTACTCCAGAGCTTCAGCTATCACAAGACTGTATTGATTTTGGAGAAGTTGTGTGTGGCTACCGTAAAACTGTAACCATCCAGTTTACAAATCCAGGTTCTGTAAGCTGTGATTGGAGCTATATGTCTGCTACCAATGACGCTTGCACCAAAAAGCAGTACAAGCACGTTTCAAATTCTTTGGTAAGCAATTTTGAAATGTTTCCTTCCAAGGGAAGTATATCTCCTCAAGATAAGATTCACGTTAAAGTCTGTTTTTCGCCAAGAGATAAAGGTGGCTTTACCATGTCATTTCCAATAAAAATAAACATGAACAGCAAATCAGTATTGCTTCGATTGAGCGGAACAGGAGTCCGTCCAATAATCACATTTGAGCCTGAAACTATTTCTGTAGGTCCCGCACAACCTTTCTCGGATGGAGTTTATTCACGCTTTTCTATCTGCAATAGAATCAAGTATCCAATAGAAATTGTTGCTATCGACTTTGATCAGCAGTTTCAAGAGGAAGAGGATATTTTACGCCAAGTACACCGTGATACTGCTGCTCCAATCTTTCTGGCAGCTCGCGAACTTGGAGCTAGTCTACCAGAGATACTTTATGAAATGCCACTTCCAAGTCCTACGGAAGGAAAGGCTATGCAAGATTTTTTCCCGCCTTCCAATGCTGGACATGCCCCAACCAGTGTTTTTCAATCCCACCAGCAACTACAAAGCCAAGGGCACCAAACCCAGTTTTTGACTCAGCCCTCGTTACAAGCATCTCCTAACCATACATTTTCAATAACTACACAATCTTCTCAACAGCGCAGAGAGCAAAATGACGATCCTATAGATGCTGCTTCAGTTCTGCGACGCGGAAATACGTCAGATCATGAGTCATTGACAGATGCTACGGCACGATCTCACAAATCTAATTCAAATGGGTTTGCTATCTTGACCAATCAAGGGCCTATTAGTAATCATTTATCTACTATGCCAGAGTCCTCTGGTCCTACAATGACTGATCCCATTTACAGTGTTATTGTTCATGGACCACCATTTAGCGGTCGTACTTGTCAAGCAAAGCGTATTGCAAATACTTATGGAAAGCACTATATTAATATTGATGAAGAATTGGAGCTAAGATTTCCCTTACTCCATAGTAACTTTACTAATATAGATACTGCCAATGTGCGTAAGGAAGGAACATCTGGACGTAATTTTGAAGACGATGATCACAGTTCTATGGTTCAATTACGTGACCGAACTAATCTTCACAGCAAGGATGGAAAGGACGAGGATACTGACTCAAAGCTGCTTGAGCCGGTAGATGACAGCTATCTGGCAGTTTCTGAAGAAACGATACTTGATATTTTAAAGCACAAGATTCACCCTCATGGGGTTGTTATTGATGGTCTAGAGTCCAAATTTGTTGGATGCATCTCACTCTTGAAGACACTTTTGCGCTATTTGACTGAAAACGGCAGACGATTGGTTGTTTTCAATTTTGGACTGGATGTGTCCAAAATTAGACAAAGAGAGGTTGTTGTACAGCGTATGTTTGCTGAAAAAGAATTGGAGTCCCTACAGATTAAAGAGCTATCCGAGGATGAGTATGATTTGCTAGGAGATCAAGAGCGTACTTGTTATGATTTAGCAATGCGAATCTACAAAAAACGTGCCAAAGAAATCGAAGATCGGCATCGAGTTGAAAGATGCCATCTTGAAGATGCCATCTGCAAGCCTGGTGATAGGAAAACAGAAGATAGCAGACTAAAAGGCCGAAAAAAAAGCAAAACTCCAACAGGTCGGGCATTTGCGCCTGAAAAGCATGAACGAACAGCCCATCCAGGAAAGCTTGATACGAGAATTGTCAAAACCAACAAGGTTCCACCTTCTCCAAAAGGACCTCGAAAGACACTTGGAGAGCGATTTGAACGTGTTAACGAAAAGGAAGTAAAGGCTAGCGAAAAGGCAGATCGAGCAAATGCCAGTTCTACGGAAAAAGAAGCTGGAGAAGATGCCATGAGCCGTTTTGGTATCACTGAAGATACGTTTCTTTCAGATATTACCTTTCGACGAACCGAATCCTATTTTGCTACTTTAGAGACATTTTATGGAATCATGAAAGATAGTGACAAATCTGTTACCGCTATTAAAAATTATCCTTTAACTGTCATGGGAGTAGCCGACAAAAAGATGAAGCCAGGAAAAACAATTGGCGTAGCTGAACAGCTAGCTAGTCCGTTGCCTCAATCTATCTCGTTAATTGGTACAGATATGGATCAACATATATTGGAAGATCCTTCAGTTAATTTTCATGATATCAATGTCAATTCCATAGATGAAGATTCTGTTTTCAAAACCGCTTCAGAGTACATTCATCCACAAAACGACGAGAATGGTTACAAGGAAGCATTTGATCAACCTCACTCATCAGTATTGGAGCAGGTGTATTATTTACCACAAGATCGACTTATTCCTCAGTCTAATCGAATCTTTACACTTTTACCCTCAAGTATGATTTTTGACGATGGTGATCAGCCTATATTTGATCCGACAACTGCAAATACTGTTTTAAGTTCAACCACCGCTCCCACAAATACAATCATCTTGCCAGCTAGTTCAACCAAATCCGAGCCGTTGAATAGATCACAGACATACGAGTCTCAAAAGCAAGACTCACGTCGAACCCGATCAATTCTTAAACCGTCAGATGAGATCAAACAGACGGTTTCTGAGCAAGATGAAGATATTGAAAGGGAGACTATTCCCAAATTTCGATGGATTCTTAATCCAGGGGAAAGTAGGGAACTTTGCGTCAAATTTTCACCCACAGAGATTGGAAAATTCGAACAAAGCCTTAATTTTGAATCAGTGGGTGCGAGAGGCCATTTTTCAGTTCAATGTGCTGGATTTTGTCAATACCCACACATCAATACTGATTTTAAAAAAATGTTTTCTAAATGGAGAAGACACAAGGACGAAAAAATCGCCATTCATGGAGAGTATATATCTAGTATAGGCCAATATGAGTTTGGTCCGCTCCTGATTTCAAAATCAAGGGAAAAATACCAAGAGCGATTTCCAGAAAACAAGACAATATTCAACATTATCAATTCTAGCAGTTTTGAAGCCAAAGTTTCCTTTGCACTGCGAAATGACTCCAAGGGCGAGGTTTTTTTCTTTGAACCAGCAGTAATGGATCTGGCACCACTACAGGCCCAGTCAGTGTCGGTATGGGCATATCCCAAGACAAATAACCACTTTGAAGATATATTTATCATTTGTGTCAAAGACAATCCAGAACCTTATTCCTTCAAAGTATCGTGTATTGGAGTTAAACCAGAATTAGAGGTTGACAAAAAAACACTGAGCTTTGATAAGCTATTGCTTAGCCGGAGCGAGCGACGCGAAATCAAGCTTCGAAATCCTACTCATATGCCTGTAGTCTGGAAGCTCGCAGGTATAGATGCCCTTGGTGACGAGTTTACTATTTCTCCAGTTGAAGGTACAGTGGAAAGTTTTCAAGAAATCGCTATTACTGCAGAGTTTCGTGGCATCAAGCCTATTGTCATCAAAAGGGTGATTCACCTTGAGGTGTATGATGTAGAAAAGATTGGCGGTACTTTTCAAGATGTGCCAATTGTTGTCACCGCAGAAGCCTATGACATTTCCATGGATCTTCATTTTTCAAAAGGATTTGAAGGAGGTCTTGATTTTGGTGTTTTAAAGGTGCTTGAAGAAGGAAAGCATTTATGCACACTCAAAAACAAAGGAAAATACGAAGTTGGATTTCGATTTTTATTTGAAGGTGTTGAATTTGGCGACTTTTTTGTGCTATCTCCAATGCAAGGGATAATACAGCCATCAGATAAGCCGTTCTTTGTACAAATTGTCTTTAAAGCAAATACCGAGCTGCATATTAAGGATAGCTCAGCCCTTCGATGCATTGTATTTGAGCCAACCACGGGCGAAATCACAGCCTCCATTCCAATTAAAATCAATGCCCGTGCGGTTTTTAGCAAATTCTCAGTACTTCCAATGCGTGATCTCAATTTTGGAGCGCTTGTTCACGGCAGCAAAGCTTCTCGACAGTTTATCATTGAAAACCAAGGAGAGTTTGATTTTAAATATTCAATATATAAACTAGTCGCTCGTGCTATTGAGCCAAAGATTGGAACAAAAAACAAGTCACATGTACGTCTTGGAAAATTAGCTCGAGCTGCTTCGCCACCGCCAGCTACCAAAAGCATTTCCAATCGGAAAGAGGTTTTTAAACCTACTGATACACTCAATTCTGGAGCATTTACTCTTTTTCCTACTAGTGGCATAGTTGCAGCTGGCACAAAGCAGTCAATTACTGTCGAGTTTCATTCCGATAATCCAGGACATTTTGATGAAACTATTGGTGTAGATGTATCAGATCGTTCACCGGAAGAAGGTTCTGATGCAATGGAATATCGATTGGTTGGAGAAAGTTGCATTCCAGGTATTAATACCACTGACTTTTCTTCAATTTTTGAAGAGCAAAGTGTTTGTAAACGTCTTGAGCTATTCACTACTCAAAACAATGTTTATGCCGAAGATGATCGTATATTTCATTTTGGAGCTTATCTTGTAGGGCAGCAAGTCACTGTCAATTTTAAAATATCCAACCCATTTAAAGTGCCATGTGATATCTCTCTTTCTACAAAACCCCGCGGAAAATCCAGAACAGACAGCTCAGATTTTGCATTTGACGTGGAAACTAAAAAGCTTACGATACCAAGTCACGAGTACCGCTATGTTTCAGTCATATTTCATCCAGCTTCTATTCAACCATATGCTGGAATATTTGAAGCAACAGTTGAGAATGTACAAGACGGACGAAACAAAACCCTTTCATTCGAATTGCGCGGAGAAGGCACGCTGCCGCGTATTGTTGTTGACTGGCCAATATTGAAATCGAAAGCGGGACTTCCATTGCTAAAATTTAAAAAATTGCTCCTCAACACACAGCAAACACTTCCAATTGTTTTGCGAAACGATGGGATAATTCCAGCCAGGTTCAAACTGGAGTGGACGTATAAGGATACAGAGGATTTTGAATGCCCGATGTTGTATGATACCCACCACCTTAAACCACAAGAGCAACGAACTGTTGAGGTCAAGTGCCGACCAATGTCAGTTAAAAAGTTTGAAGGCGAACTACGACTTAAAATTATGGACAACACTTTTGAAGATTCGTCGCTGCAGCTTGTTGGAGAAGGATATTTGGATGATTTGACATTTGAAGGCTTATCTGACGATTCTGAAAACGAGATTATATTTGGCGATTGTTTTATTGATGAATGCAAGCAAAAGTCGTTTAAGCTTCGCAATCATTCATCTGAATGGGTCCGCATTTTTATCAGCGAATCTTCTGATTTTGTATTTAATCCAACCATCTTGCACATCAAGCCGCGTGGTGATCGTGATGTCTGCGTCACGTTTTCACCTAAACAAACACAAGAAATTCAACATGCTCCCATTACTGTAAAGTCGGGAAAACTTCGGTTTCAATCACCTCCTGATCTGGAATGGGACAGTGGAATGAAAGTTGTTCGATGGATTGGTTCTGATGGTCAAAATTCAAAATTGAGTTTGCCCCGAAAAGTACTTGAGCAATATGTAGAACCTACATATGAAGCAATCTCGCCACTCAGCGAATATACACTATTGTTGTCAGCATTTTCTGACTACTCCATGTATGAATGTGATCAAAACCATATCAACTTTAAAAGCACACTAATGTATCAAAGCAGAGTTCATCGCTTTTCACTCCGAAATTCTGGAAAAGTGATTTTGAAATTTGCCTTTGTGATTTGTTTAGAAGATGGTACAACAGTCGACTCTAGCGATTTGTGTCCATTTAGTATCAATCCTGCGTCTGGAACCATTCCTTTAAATGAGTCATTGATGATTACCGTTCGGTTTTCTCCCATTGATGTTGGAGACTATTGCAATAGTATAGTATGCAGTATTCCCAATCTTGGTAAGGATGCAAAACCGTTGTCACTTACTGTGAGAGGAACATCTTTGCGACCACTTTGTCATTTTGAGCTTGAAGATAGCGATTATCTCACGAGTGAAAGGCGTAATCCCGATTGCGACTTGAACAATACTGTTCCTGCAATACTGGATCCAAATATTAGGGTTATTGAATTTAGCTCCTGTGGTGTTCGCGGAAAAAATATTCGTCGGTTCTATATTGTGAATCCCACTGCAATGAGCTATGAGTTTATGTGGCATCCGGAAGTCCAAGGGCATACAAAATTTTTCAAATGTTTGAATTCTCGAGGAATCGTAGCCTCTAACAAGAAAAGTGAAATAGTGTTTGAATTTACTCCAGAGTCTACTGAAATCAAGGTCAGTTTTTATTCAGGGTTAGAATTTTTAAATATCAACATAACGCCAAACCATATAGCTCTACGGCCAATATACTAATTTGCAATTTTTAAATACTCAGGAGTCTTTATGGATATTCACCATTCCAGAACATCAAATTCAGGTACAATTTTTACTTGTAGGTCAAGCAGTGGAACCCAAAGTGTATGTGGACCACACTGGTATCAATTTCAAGTCAGTTCTTGTTGGACGCCAAGTTAAAGAAATTGCAAACCTTATAAATAGGGAAAACGTTTCGTTTTCCTACTCATTCAGCGATATATCGGACGAGATAGGCCATCAAGGCACTCCAATTCTGCACGTTCTTCCAAATTCTGGCATAATTCCTGCTTGCAGCCAGGTTCCAATTCAGATCACATTTGCACCACCGTCAGAAAAAAGCTTCAATTTCAACCTGCAGTGTAATATTCGTAAAAAATCCCTACCCGTTACTATAAATGTCAAGGGTGAAGGCTACGAAATACATGATTCACTACATTTAGAAACAGTATATGGATCTTCACTAGAACTAGCATCATCCACAACAATAGATAACATTGTTGATTTTGGGCAGGTGCAAATCAATGAGAAACGAGTAAAGCGAATTTGCATAGTCAACTCGGGAATATTCAATTTTGACTTTTCTTGGAAGCTGACTTTAAAAAGCGCAGGGCTTGTGACGATCAAACCAGAAGTCGGCACAGTGTTGAAAGGCGATAGGATGTGGTGTGAGATTGCATTCATACCCACTACAACCGTGGAGATCAAAGGAGTTCGAGCTGTATGTAGTGTTGTTAATGGACACACATATCCTCTTACCATCCAAGGAACAGGAGTTAAACCGCTTTTGAAATTTTCAGAATCCAGCGTGGATTTTGGATCTCATTTTGTTTTTGGATCTGGAATGACGGCTGCCGTGGCTCCGATTCAAATCACAAACGTAGATATTTATGACATCACGTTTGATATTGTTACATCTGATTTACAGTGGTTAGAAATCCAACGAGGAGTTTTGACACTAGCTCCGGGAGAATCCACACAATATACTTTTTCGTTTGTTCCAAGACAATCGGGGTATTTTAGTGGAGTAATCAAGTTTGAAATTAACGGGTTATCATATATTGATTTTCCTGTCAAGGGAGAAGCTATTGAACATCGAATTGAAACAGATTCACGACAGCTAAGCTTTGGTGCACTTCGTATTGGCCAAACATCTACTAGATCTGTCAAGATTTTTAACAAAAGCAAGCTTCCTACTTTATTCAGTATTGGTCCTAGTTCTGTTGTCGAAAACCTTTTAAACTATGGTATTCATATTTCACAAGTAAACAATATTTTGTTGAAACCAAAGTCCAGCATAGGAATGGATCTAAAGTTTGTACCCCATCATCGTATTCCCGCTTTTACAGAGGAACTGCGCGTTGAAGCTCCAGGTGTCGCATATCCACTTTTTGCAATTACGGGAGCTTGCCAAGGAATTGATGTCAGACTTGAAAATGATATTGTGACCCTTGGAGCAGTCGTTCAACAGAGCAGTATAACGCGGCGCATTCAACTGCAGAACATAGGAGAAATTGGTACAAAGTTCCATTGGAACTCTAAAAAGTTTTTGCCAGACTTTTCCATTTCCCCAAGCGAAGGGTATATTTCGCCAGGCATGGAAATTCCTTTGGAAATCACATTCCATCCAATTGAGATCAATCCTGATGTTCGTTATGAAAACATTTCTTGTGAGATTGAAGGCTCGGCGAATCTTTATCTTACTCTCACGGGAATGTGTATTCCTCAGCCTGTACAAAATGATGCAATCAAATTTTCTACTCCTGTACGCTCACCCGATACAAAAAGCATACCAATTTCCAACAAGACATCCAATGTCTGGCACATTCGACCAATCATTGATAACGAATACTGGAGCGGCGCAGAAGTGATTGCTGTTGAGCCAGGACAGTCCAAAATGTTTGACATTACTTTTAATCCATTGGAAACCATTGGCTCTGGCGAAGGGGGCCGACACGAAGGATCGGTATTTTTCCCACTTCCAGATGGTAGTGGCATACTACACAAGCTTTATGGAACAGTGGACAAACCTTTATCTGCTGGAAATATCAATCGAGAAATACCGTCCAAAACTTCATTTACCGAAGTGTTGAATGTTGGCAATTGGCTGAAACGTCCACAACGATTGCGAGCAATTATTGAAGTTTTAAAGCCAGATCCTAGTATTGTTATCAAAGGAAACGACTTTGTTGATTTATCACCGCTATTATCCAAAGATTACAAGCTGACATTTTATGCGTATAAAGAAGGAGTAACCAATATCAAAATAATATTTAAAAACGAGACTTCACAGGAATATATATCGTATAGTCTAACTTACAAGAGTACTGCACCAGGAGTGATTGCATGCTACGACATGACAACAGCGGTGCGCCAAACTAGCACTCATGATATTACTATATCTAACCCACTATCAACGCCAGCTCTCTTTAGCGGATCAAGCAATAATCTCGATGTTATTGCCCCCCATTCATTTACAATTCAGCCAAAGTACGTATTAATCTTCCATGTGTTTTTAATGTCATATTTACTAATGATTTTGAATAATGCATATCCATGGATCATCAACTTTTAGATCAGAAGGCATTTGCACTATAGAATTTTTACCCTTGATCCCAAAAGAGGCATCAGCACGAATAACATTGTCTTCGGTGGATCTTGGGCTATATCAATACGATTTAAGACTTATTTCTCTGGCTGCTCAACCCGAGCGGACACTTCAATTTAAAGTTGGTTTTGGCAGCAGTCAAGTACAAACATTTCGATTTACGAGTTTTTCAAAAGTTCGAACAGACTTTACATGTAAAATTGATAACACCGAGTTTACTGTTGAAAAAAGCGTATCGGTTGCTGCAGGTATCGCGTTGTTATAGACACTAGTAATGTGGTTCAGTGACTTACAACTTTTTTGATTTTAGCTACCATTGGCGGGGTAGAAGTTTCTGTAGATGTCATCTACGAGCCGTCAAAGCTAGGGGACACTCGTACCCAACTGATCATATCTTCTCCTCTGGGCGGCGACTACATTTGTCCATTAAATGGCCATTGTGCTGCTCCTCGACCACAAGGCCCGATTTTGATCAAATCTGGATCACCATCCATCTTGTCATTTAAGAATGTATTGAGTACATCGGCTACATTCAATTTTGTAGTGGTAAGTATTTTAAAAGTAGATCAAAATTTATTGCAGTATTCAATGAATTATAGAGCTGATGATTAGACTGTTTAATATACAGGACAATCCCATATTTGTAGTCAAAGCAGCAGAAACTGTTGCCTCGAAAAAGTTGATTCAACTATCAATCGGGTTTAAACCACCAGCAACAGGAACTACCTCTACCAGTGCTGCTTTTGGAGCAGCTATAATGCAAAACCAATTAGGAAACTCTGTAACCAGCAAGTCAAGTACCCACAAAGTAGGAAAGCTGACAATCACTCACACGATGAGCAATATGACGTGGGTTTACTACTTGCGTTATGTGTCGTAGTTTCGAAAGACTAGTTGATCCAGCCAATAAAAATTATGATTGGTAAAGGGGAAGCATGTTTTTTGTATTTGATAAAGGAATGAGCCTAGTGCAGCTTGAGTGAAAATGGAGCAGCACTCGACACGATAACGAGAGTAAAGCGCGAGGTAAAATTACAGCCGTATTCATGTAAAATGAAGCTTTTCTGTATTTATCTTACAGTCGGAGCCTCTATTCTGTTCCGGAATAAACAATGGTTAAATATTCGTTCCGCTTGCTATTAGAAATTGATTGCTTTTTCCGTGAAAACTCTGCTGTATCTTAATATCAGATAGTTCGCGTTCAAGTTCAAGATAACAAAGATTGCAGTTTCAGGAATAAATGCTGTTTCCTTGAAGGTCACTCAATGTTTAAAGAGCTGTAGATTGAAATGATGCCAAGGATGTGGAATATATTGAAATAGCAATGTGAATATTCACTCTGTATTTTGTACAAGAATGAGCATGAAGGCCAGTAAACTAAAACAGTTGATAAAGCAATGTTCAGCAAATTTAATGAAAACTGGTACCAATCAAACATGACGGTTTATCATATATTGACATTTAATATTTCATTTTACTCGAATATGGCTGTAATGCATTAGCAAGAAACTCAATATCGAGTTCAAGCACGTGATTTTAAATTGATTCTTCAAATCATTGCTGAAATTTTTCTAATTTTCTGTTTCGAATCGTTGGCTAAAGATTACAATGGACGATATCATTCAAGAAAATCAGTGGATCATAATCAAACTGCCTTCCGGAAACCATAAAGTATTTACTTTAAAAGCTAATGAAAAAGTGGATCTTGGAAAGTTTGGTAGTTTCCAAAGCAATGACTTGATTGGAAAGTATCAACTTGTCCCTTATGAGATTTATGGAGATAATAAAATCCGACGAGTTAAAAATCTTGATTCATTGCAAGAATTTGGTAAGCTGGCTCATGTTGACTGGCCCATTAAATATATTTGTGGCTACTTCATCATTAATTCTCGTATTGCTTGCTGATGGCGTTTATTACAAACTTTGACAATCTCCGTTTTAATTTTAATGGTTTCTGTTAGATCTTGGCCAAAATATGGAATTAGCATCAAACCAAATGATTATGGACGATCCAGCATCTCAAAAACTGTCACAAAAAGAGATTGAAGAGCTTAAAGTAAAGAGTCTTCAAGGAACTGTAGACCATGATGTAAGTGATAGGGTTTGAACAACCTCAAATCAAGTTAATGTACACCAAGCCTGTTTATTTTCAATCTTGAATTCTGACTGTTTTTTTGAAAATGCTGATTAGTCTTTGATCAGAAGTTTGGTGGAAAACAATAGTGCTTTTGATAAAAAAACAGAGTTTTCCAAGGTAAAATACATTAAAAAAAAGCAACGAAAGTATGTATCTATGACAATGCAATTTAGTTCAAGTATCTTTCGAGCATGCCAATTAATGAATTTTATTTATTGTTTGCAGATTTTCAAAAGTGTTTACTCCAATTAAGCCCACCGCAAGAGTATTTTGCGATATATATCTCGAAAAAAATCCCGAAAAAACTAGGTAACTTCTTCCGTGTCACTGACTGCTATCCATTCACCTATTTTTAAATAGCATTTCAGCTCTGCATCAACTGATCATGCTTTGCGATTCTCTTGTGTATGGTTAGAGAAATACGAATAGACACTCTTTCACAAATGCTTACACTTGCCAATGTAAAAGCCGGGTCCAGTTTCTTGGTTGTAGATGATATGTCTGGCTTGCTTGTAGGAGCTATGCTTGAGAAAATGCAAGGTTAGCAGAGGCACATTTTTAAATCACCAATTTTATACCCATCAAATAGGACTGATCTAATATGTTTGAACAATGCATTTGAATGGTTTGTTTTCATACAGGACATGGAAAAATAACAGTACTGCACGACAAAGACTCGGCAGTGCTAAATCTTGTTAACATGATGAACTTTCCTTCCGAGGTTTCCAACACTGTCTATACACTCCCATGGTTTCATCTTGACGCTCTTCCAGAATATACTAGTAATACCACTTTTGCTGCAATGAAATCAAACACTGAGATTTGGTACGAGCTTTACTTATTGAATTAATCATGTACTATAGAGCCTTTGAATCCAGAAGCTGTTTTGCGCTCCACAGAAAAACGTAGTCAAGTCGAAAATGTATTTGAATGCATCCACCGCGGTGGATTTGATGGGTAAACTCGTCTATTTAAATTGATGCAATCTGCGTATAACTTTTGGTCTCTCATTCACTGCTTTGATATTTAGCTTGCTGGTTGCTTCTCGTTTTGATGCCCACGAAATTGTCAAGAAATTGGAAGGGTATTTAGCTCCTTCCAAGCCAATGGTGGTATATTCCCCATACAAGGAGGTATGTCTTTGCATTAACTGATTGGCATAATTTATTGCTTGTATCAAGAAGCCATGTAGATCTTTTCAAGATTGCCAACATATAATCTTTGCACTGTCGTTAGTCTCTACTTAATGCGTACAATTACGTTCGTCTATCCCGTCGGTTCGTTAATACACAGCTGACCGAAAGCTGGCTTCGTGAATACCAAGTACCCTCCAATTCTGGAACACATCCAATGATGACCACCTCTGGCAGTGGAGGATATTTATTCAACTCAACAGTTGTGACCGACGATGGTGTCAAGCTAAACAAAACTGGAGTCAGTCGATCTGGCACAGGAGACTTGGCAGGAGCTCAAAAGCGTCATAAACCCAACAATCCCACTCCTGAAAATGAATAAGATAAACTTTCATGTAGTTTCACCTCGAGTCTACTGGTTTTGTAAATATATATAAAGCATACCAACATATTTTCAAAATTTGGTGAGTTTATGCCAATTTCATTGACCATCTATTCAACAGCTGCTCGGCGATAGATCCTCTGTACTCTCGCGGGCTCCAACCAAAAGAAATTGAATAATCTACAATTGGAATTGTCTTGGGTTTTGCCAATTTAGGAGTTACAGTTCTGGCAGTATCTAACGGCTTGACTTTTATAAGCTCAGATTCAATTGGCGCACAACCATGATTGTCAATTGGTTGATCTAAAGAAATAATCAGTAATGTTGGTTTACCAAAATATGTATAACATTTTCCAACTGTAGCATGAAGTTACCTAAAACCTCAAAGCGCAAAGGTGATTCACGCATAATACTTTTCTTATTTGACTGAGAAAACGATAAAGGTAATTCTACGCGAGACAATGGTGCAACAGTAAAAGCTGTGATCATCGTATTAACTAGTGGTGGCTCAAACTCATCCTCAAAAGCAACGCTGATTATAGTAAAATCGAGTTGGTTTTTAAATTAAGCAACAATAAATTCATACTGAAAACGCAACACACGGCACAGATGGTGGTATATTAAGATGTAAGTTATTACCTTTTACCTAGAGTTCTATATGCTATCTCAGCTTGAGAAGCTACCAATAAACTTTCTTTACATTGCCGTGTTACTTCAGTTGATCGATCAATAAAATCTGTTGATTCGACTATTGACGCTTTCGACTTTCTCCCTTCATCAAAATCCCACTCAAGAGACTCGGCATCGCTGCTTTCTGGTATTGGCAAAGAGTTTTCCGAATTCAAAGTAGATTGATTTTTGGAATCTGAAGTATGTATTAATGGAAGCAGAGGGCTAATAGACGGCTGGTTTGTAAAGAACTCGTGACTCAAAAGAGCTTCTGCTGTTGGTCGCTTTGTAAGATTTTAAAAAAACAAGTTAACATCAGAGTAGTCAAGTATGATGCATATTTAGAAATGTACAGATATTGGTGATAGAGGAATATTTACATCTTTAGGTCTTGCCGTCAAGCATGCCGCCATAAAGCTTTTGAATGGTTGGGAGAATTTATCATCTAGCACAGGTGGATTGTTTTTTGGAATCATAAACAAAACACGCATGGGATGAATATTGGCGTAAGGTGGAAGGCCACTTAAATTGCATATCCAATATTATTGATTAGTAACTAGACAAGATCATTATTAAGAGCTACATATTCGTGGTAAATAAAGAAAACTTACTGTGCAAGTTCCCATGCAGTGATGCCTAGCGACCAGATGTCTGCCTAAATAATTGAACAAATGGCATTCCAGGTTTGAAAACAGTTATAAAACGTCATTTATCACATATATTAACAATAAATAACAACTTTTTAAGCCCATCAATCCTACCTTTGCATTGTATGCAGACCTTAAAATAACCTCTGGTGCCATCCAATAGGGAGTACCAACAAACGTATTTTTCTTTGTGATCGTTGCAGTAATCTAGCTCATTTATATAGTTGTGAGTTTTAGGGCAGCACTCGAAAACAAAAAGTGGGAAGAATGGTTTACCTGACCCGATACACCAAAATCGGCCAATTTTACTCCACCATTGTCCATTAGCAAAACATTGGCAGCCTTGATATCACGGTGAATCTTTCCAAGTGAATGCAAATAAACTAGTCCATGCAACAGTTCCTTTACAATAAATGCAACTTGGGTTTCATCAAACACACCATACTTGCTCAACTTTATATAATCAAACCCATTCATTTATCAATGTTAGTGGTCGAAATTCGATCATTTACATGACTAAATCATTACAGCAGTGGAAGCGTCGTGGTCGTTATAAATCACATACCATATCACGACATGAACCTCCAGAGCAATACTCCATGATAATCCACATGCATGAACCTTTGATGAATGAGCCATGATACCTTGTTACCCATGGAGAATGCAGATCTGAAAGTACCGCTATTTCATTCCGTATTTCATCTATATCATCTCCACACTCTGGCATTCAATGAAACAAAAAGGATGAGCCATGTTAAACCTTGTATCTGAATGCAACCCAATACAATTGTTCACGATTAAGTAAAATACTGTAATCGCCAATATTAAAACATATAGTACCTTCAATATCTATTATTTTGATGGCCACTAGCTCTTTAGTAACTTTGTGAATGCCAAGATAAACCTAGATGAAAGCTTTTAGTATTGATATTGAACTGTAGAACCCAACATTCCCTGGTCAAAGTCGTATAATCTTGCTGCACAAACCCCTTACTTTTCCATATGAGCCTTCGCCAATACGTGACTGAAGCTCATATACATCTGTAGGATGAGCTTTAGATGGAATTGATGAGTCCATTTTACAGTTGTATTCACGCAAAGTGAAGCACTTGTATTAGTCTTGCAGATTGCTTTGTGATAAACAATGGTTGAATATTCCTTGTGCTTATTGGAGATTAATCTGAATCGACACTCAATCCAATAAGCACAACGTTCACTATGACACGATTAAACTATACTTTTGGACTGATTGTCCTCATTTGATAGTCATACACTGCACGACCACCAGATTCATTCATTCCAGTCCAAATATTGAACTATTCTGATGCTGTCAATACAACTTTGTATAAACTCTTCATTGTTGTATTCTAAAAACATACACTTGCGATCTAGTTTAACAATGATCGCACATACTACGAGTGCAACTATACATGTCAATCACTCAGTGTTTAAGTTGCGGATTAAACAGATATAAACATCTCCAATTCTCATCTAATATTCCATTTGACATGAATACGGTTGTAACAGTAAGAATTCCCATCAAGACTGGCCAATGTTTTCTTCACTTTCTTCATGATTTCCATTCGTCCAGCTACCGTCGATGATCTGCTGTCTATACAAAACTGCAACCTGATGAACCTTCCAGAGAACTATCAGATGAAGTATTATATCTATCATGCTATCTCCTGGCCACAACTCTCTCAGGTTGCTGTTGACCATTCGGGCCGTATCGTGGGTTATGTCCTGGCCAAAATGGAGGAAGACCCCACTGAAGAACCACAGGGCCATATCACTTCTCTCTCTGTCATGCGCAACTGGAGGAGACTAGGAATTGCTGAGAAACTAATGATTCAAGCTCGTATGTATCCTTTGTAACTTCTCTATCTAGTTCATTCACTCACTTTTAAACCTAATTAGAGAAAGCCATGGCTGAAAACTTTAAAGCTAAGCAAGTATCACTGCATGTCCGTAAGAGCAACAGAGCTGCATTGCAATTATACAGAGATAATCTCAAGTTCAGGTAACAGCTATCACGTATTGGATTGATTCGTCTATTTATTTTTTCGATTGTTGCGCTGAGTTCCATTCATCTCTTTATGTTCTCTTTTACAGTGTAAAGGAAGTTGAAAAAGGCTACTATGCAGACGGAGAGGTTAGTATATACAACTGTTGAATATTTTTAATCTGACTTTGTACTAATACCAGTAATTGATCTGACACTCATCCGGACATCTGGATTTTTGAATTTGAAATCACTACGATCTGATTTACAGGATGCATATGCTATGCGCAAGATATTGAGTTGAAAATAAACGGTAATAAAACAACACCAGATCCATATCCACACGATAGAGTTGAAAGTAAACAACACCAAATGGACACTTGATACAATCGAGATGATCACATCAACAACATGGACAAGATTTGAACACGAGACAAGTGATACAAGTTACACAAGTGATAATACAGTCAATGCAGTCAATACAAGTGACATGTGTGATATAATCAATCCAAGTGAAACAGTTTATTACCAAGACATTACATTTGACTTGTTCGTGAGCAATAACACGCAATGCAAATGACATCCATATCCACGTGACTCGGCGCGTTGGGTTGATTTTAAATTTCTGCGCCTTCAAACGTGCAGAAACTATATTGATATCAACGTTATATTCTGGGCAATAGCCGCACCATCTTCCACTGCAGGAAAGCTCAAGGAACTGTATTCTGCTATATAGAAGGTAATATATTGTAGTATCCGTTATATATGACCTGATTGAATCGAATTCCTTGGTTTGGACAATAGATTGGTGTTTTTATTTGATAGAATCTTGCAGTTTGGTATTGAAAAATCAGTATATATGGTGATGCAATGAGCATTAAGAAGTGTTTGTGTATATCATTTACCGATCTAGTAATTATTAGCATACAGTTATTTGTTATCCGTAACCAACGTAACAGACGACATGCAAACCCTAGACTGTGTCGGGTTGAGTCCCAATAAGATCATCCCATATGGATACAATCCACGTCGGTTGTTTGGTATGATATCAATGGATGACTTTGTCCAAATACAATATGGACTGCTATATAAACCATAGTGGGCAGTTGATTAGAATACTGCTGTAAAACAGTCATGGTTTTGATGATTCTAATCCTTTTTATTGTATATCAATCGACTGGCTTTGGATTGTCATGGCGAATTTACGAATATTGTCATGACAAACCTACAAATATTGTCATGACGAACCTACACATATTGTCATGACGAACCTACTCATATCGTCATGGTGAATCCATTTCATATCGTCGTGCAGATCGAATCTATCAAGGCCGTTGCTACTGCAATCTTACTATCAGTTATATATATTTGATAAATTCCAACAATGGGTCGTAAACCTTCTCCGACAAAAACAACAGGTCCTTTTAGTGGTTCGATATCGACACCAATGGGAACCACTCAACACAAATCACAGACTCCGACATCGAATGCAATGCGTTCACAACCTCAGACCCAAACTCGACCTTCTTCAAATGTGTCGGGCCCAACTCCACAAATACCGTAAGTGATTGTTTTATGGTAGACTATCTATATACGATCAAGTATACACTATGCAGTAGAATGTCAAGTACACGAAGCGACCAGATTGTCACTGAATCTTGTCAAACAATATTGATTTTAATTGGCATGTATTGGATTAGGAAAGCAACCAAAGCAAATGCATGGAGTGCAGGACCTCCAGTGATGGCAGTGTCAGACTCAATGACGCCTGCAGTATCAGTTGCAGCAGCAAAGACAAATGGATCTCGCACAAACTCGACACAGAAAAGTCCATCCGCCAAAATGAGCGCAAAAGAACGAGCACTCAACGCAGTGCTGCAACTTGTGGTAAGTGACGATAGTGTCCAATGGTGTTTGTCGAGAGTGGAACTGCAGAGATATGTGAATATTTACTGATTGAATCTGCAATGAACAGGGCGTAAAGACTCTGGTGACCACATTAGATGGAAGTGAGGTTGAGGGTATCTGCCACACTGTAGATCCAGTTGATTTGTCAGTCAGTCTACGACAAGCGAGAAAACGGGTGCTTCATAGCAAAGGAACAGGTCGAGCCATTGCACAACTCAACATTCGTGGAGCAGATGTGGTATCGATTACAGCAGCCTCGTTTGAGACAGCTCGTCCACCACGGACCAAAGTGTCTCATCACTTTAAAACAGATACGGCGATATCGGGTGGAGCAGGTGAGCATCGCTACCGTAATCTGACCAAATGGACATCAGATAATGCCAATGAACAAAGCATGACAGGTTTAGAAGGTGAGATGAGTCAGTGATGGATATCGATCAGTTGTATTGGTTGACAATGTTTGGTAATGAACTGACTGTTAATTGGTAGATGTGCCAAAGTCAGGAACTTGGGACCAGTTTGCTACGAATAAACGACTGTTTGGTGTAACCACTGATTTTGATGAACACATGTATACCACGGTAGTAGACAAGAGTTTGCCAGGATTTTCTAAGCGAGAGGCCGAAGCAGCACGTATTGCAGCCGAGATTGAACGAGTAAGTGGACGAGTCGGAACTATGAATCGCTTTGATTACGCGTGGCATATTTTGTTGTTGTTGTTGGATAATGTTGTTGTTGGGTTCAATGTTGAATAATGTTGTTGTTGTTGAGTTCAATGTTCTGGTAAATTGTCATTGAAATTGACTTGTTTGACTTGTTGTTCAACTGTTTGTAGGCACCAACTCGTAATCTACATGTGGCAGAAGAACGCGGATTTTGTCCAACTGATAGCACAATGGATGAAGAAGACAGGTGTGTCAATCAATATTAGTACACAAATACATCAAGTGTACTGTTGGTTATGCATACAGATCAGCTAATATCAACTGCACCGATATAGGTATTCATCTGTTTTGAGAAATGTAACCCAAGGCAATAGGAAACCTACAAATACATCGTGGCGGTCAACTGTCGCACCAGCATCAACACACAAACAGTCTACAGTCGGAGCCACATTTGCCAGTATTGCTGAAAAGAATGCACCACAGTCTACAGCTGGAACTGGAACTACATTTGCCAGTATTGTTGAAAAGAATGCACGACATAGTCATGCACCACAATCTACGCCAGATCCTACAGTGACAGTACAAAAACTATTTTCAGAGTTTGCTGGAGGTGAGCGAAAACAATGGCAGGTTCGAAGAGAGCAAATTCATCGAACCAAACAAGGCGGGCTTTTGGACGATCTTAAAAAGTTTGGAAACAGTTTCAAACTGCAAACACCAATGCCTGAAGATATCAAATGCATTCTACATATGGATGCCAAGAAAGAGTCGAACAACATAGAACAGTCGCAACTCTTGCAAGACAAATCAAACAAATCAGACAAACCGGAAACCAGCAGTGACCGTGCCAGTTGTAAAACCAACAATCGTAATGCTGCGTCGGATGCACATACTAAAAATGCAACATCAGGTACGCCATCAAATGACATCAAAAAGAATCCATCGACACAAAATGCATTGGTGTCTCAGAAAAACACAGCAGATGTCAAGGCAAATGTAGAATCTGTCAAGCATTTGGCAGTATCCAAATCAGAACCTAATCCTGTCGTATCAGATACCACGTCGAATACACCACACGATAGTCAAAGTAATCCAAGTGCATCATTAGCCACGACTTGCAAGACAAATGCTGAAACCAAGCTCAATACACACCCTACTGCATGCGTCACTGGATCAGCCAAGCCTGATGTGACTGCATCAGCACAATCGAATGTAAAGGTTCCAAAGCAACCACTGTCAAGTTGTGCCAACAGTCACACGCCAACTCCAAAAACAGTCGTGTCAGCCAGTTTAAAACCACAATCCACACAGACCAGTGCATCAACAAAGGAACCAAAGAGTGAAACGGGTTTGCCAAGAAAGCAATCAATATCACAAGAATCAGTGTCTGAGAATGCACGATTGTCCAAGGATGAAGATATAAGCGACAAAGTATCAACAGTGTCAGAGACTCCGTCCAATGGCACCAGTATGACGTCGACATCCAAATCTACATTCAAGTTTAATGTATCGGCCTCTGAATTTACGCCAACAACAGTATCTAATGCAAAGCCACCAGCAGTGTCTGGTGTAAAACCAACATCAGATCCAAAGGTAAGCGTGTCGGAACGTAATGGGACATTTGTCTATCTGAATGCATATAGCACGTTACTGACATGGCGAGTCTGATGGAATCAGAATTTTAATTATCCCAACAGACGTGGCGGAAAGTCAAACGGGACACCCAATGCACGGATGCATACCAAGCCATATCAAGGAAAGCCATATCAGAAATATGCTCCATGTATGTTGAGTGATTTGAATTGGAATGTAAAGTGTATATATTCTGATGCTATTTGGCTGTATTATTAGCTGGGCATTATGATGCTCATCAGATAGGTGGTGAGTTTTATTCTGGAGCAGGTCCATATCCACCACAGCCTCAGTATGATCCAATGGTCAGTGCTATTTTGTATGGTGTTGATTGTTTGAGATTCAAGTATACTGATATTTGTGTTGATTGTTTGAATGGCATCGCACATTTGAAATGTTATTTGGGATGACTTTGTGATTGGATACCAGTATATGCCACATGGTGTCATGTATAATCCATCAATGGTTCATCCAGGAATGCCAGCACCAGCAATGATGTATGGAATGCATCCTCAATATGGGTTTATGCCAGGAATGCACCCAGCCGGTAAGTTGATATCAGTGATATGAACAGTTTGTGGTGAATGGTTAATGTTTGAAGTGACCACGAGCGCTGGTTAGCGTGTTGACTAATACAATGATTTGATAAACTTTCAGGAGCAGTGATGGGATATTCTCATCAGCCACCAATGCCGCCTATGGGCTGGGTTTCGAGTCCTGGCGAAGCAGTGCAGTATGGCGCGCCAGTCATGATAGTTGGCGGTACAATGCCGTCAGACATGGCAGGTGTACCGAACACGACAGGTGGTGGACCCAGTTCGGGTAGTGTAGAGTATCCTACATATGAGCAGCATCAGATGATGATGCAAGGCCACGCACCTCAGATGTATATGCAATCACCCTATGTTCAATATGGTATACAAGATCCGCAGAATACGCAGCTACCACCAACATCGCCGAGTGCACAACAGGCCACGCCGTATATTGTAGCTGTACAAGCAACCTCACCACAAGGATCTCAGTGATGGCTGTTGTACTGAATATTTTGTCAGGTTGTGAAGAATGTGATGAGTTGCTGTTTCAAGATTTGTCGAGATGTATGCTGTATTATGATACAGATGAGGCAGAATAAAGTGTGAATCCACTATGTGTTGTGTTTTCTAAATGTAACCACTGATGCGATTGATTTATTTTTGACTGGCTGGATGAATAGAAAATACTAAACTGGTATGTGCATGACCAATAGTATAATTGAAATAATCATGACACACGTCGAGATATTACCAGTTGGTTGAATACACATTTGTTTTCGAGTCAATGGCATGCAACGTGGATGAGTTGGTAAAGATCTGAAATAGTAATTAGGGTTTTGTTTGTGTTGGTCTTGAATTGTCAGATTTACAATTTTGAATTCAAAAATAAACTCGAGACTTTACAGTTGAATACTATTTGACACTAATAAATTGACTGTATTATGGACAGTTTATTCATGTCAAAGTCTTGTTACTCGATTGCAGAATTCTTGTTGGTTATTTTGCAAACTTGAATTGGTGAATTTAAAGCAATTTGTATTTGATTTTCAACTTTTAAAAACTGTCGGAGTGATTTGATCAGTTATTAGGATCTAGCCTAGCATTGATACATCCATATACGCTAGAGATGGCTACCACAACTCAAAAATCAAAAAGCGAGATGAGCGAGATAGAACTGCAGGCCTTGGAAGAGGCCGAGTTCCAGACTGGCCCACTTTCAATCCTCACACAGGTTGGAAATGGCCATTGCTTAACGATTCGCTTTCTGATATATCTACTGGATTATTTATAAGCATATATTTTCAGATGATATGCAACTACATGATATATGATTGAATCAGTCTGGCCTACTCACATGGCTTAATGGGTTATAATGGAATCTAGGCAGTCAAGAATAGCTCGCAAGTGCTGGTGGTCTGTCGGTATGATCATATTGTGGATAACAACTTGCCATTGTGTTTTCTGTGCTGATGTATTTGTAGTCAATACACCAAAGCTGTCGGATGGTAGCATTGATATGTTTGTCAGATGGATGTGATACTCATGTAATTGTGTTATGATTAGAAACAATCGCAAGCTATTGGCCCGAGTCAAAGCTTTGTAAGTGCCCGTCTTGGCATAATATGCATCTATTATACACATATATACTTGGTTGTTTCAGTAGACTGAGTCCATGTTTTCATGTCCAACTAACATTGATTCTACTTGGATAACAGCGATCGGCATTGTAATATGGTGTTGGAGAATGTGAAGGAGGTCAGTGTATACTCATCACAATGTTGATTTAATGTATCAGATACGAATATGTAGAGATTACCCAAACTAATTCTACTGTATTGAATATAGATGTGGACAGGTATATATTTTAGATGAGCAATTCTCAATGGACATTGTTATACAGTTGCATGGCATATATTTGCTAACAGGTGTATTTATCGAATAGAAACTCCACAAACCGGAAAAGGAATCAAAAAGGCAAAGCCAGTGAACAAGGATCGTTTCATTTCCAAAATGTTTTTACGAGGAGATTCAGGTATATACTGAATTTGACCAACGTCTGTCGGTCGTTTCAAAACACGAGTCTATTTATCCATATAATGCCATATTCTAGTACTCATATTTTATTATTTGTACTTTGAAAATCTTGATAGTTATTCTGGTGTTGAGAAACATTGTTTAATGTAGCAGCAAACGAATATCACAGAATGAACTATTTTGTATTCACTCTTGTGCATACTTTGCCTTGTCATCTATTTTCTCAAACTGCCACTTCCATGAAGCATTGTACAGGAATGGACGCATATCGAAACGGTTATCATCTGCAGAATAGCTGGACATGTGATAGGCTGGTGGCATAATGGTTGCCTTGTGCCGGTTGATGGAGTAGAAAAAAAACATGCGCTTGACTTTTGCAGCAATCTACTCGACGAGATTGATATTGAATTGACATCATTTGGGATATTTAGTGTTGGCAAATATAAATATTGAAATGTGCATTAGCTTTTTTAAACGCCTTTCAGATATCAATCAACTGGTATATGCTGTATACCTCTGTTGGAGAAAACATGCTACCCCAATCGTGAAGAAGTCGCTGGAACATTGAAACAGGTCCCATTTTTGATATTTTGCGAAGCGTACCAAATACTGACAGATCTTTGTATGACATTCCCATATCATCCTGCAAGATTCAACAAAAAAGCGTCAGCACACTTTAGCCGACGATGCATACAGGAAATGCAAGCACCAAATATAGCCTACACGAATGTATTCCATCCATCAATGAAAACATACCTCATCTGTTTGAACGTGTTGCAAAGTAATGGGTTCAAGCTCTGCAGTAGGAGGTGCACTGACAAATTCGCTCAAAATATCCAATTCAGGCACTGATTCTGCCATGTGCTTGACAAACTCGACAAGATCGACTTTACTGATACCACCAAGTGGATTCAAATCCGCGCTCGAGCAATCATATTTGGTCAAATAGCCCCTTAGCCTGTATCCACACTCCAAAGTAAGTTATCAAACGCTTGGATCGATGTACCATCGACATCCACCGATTAAATTGCATTGGAAAATAAAAGTTTGATGCCTACATTTCATCCACATTAGCACTGCCAAGAACAAGTAGAGATGACCGACGATCACGAGTCCATGGAAGCAACTGTGCAAATAGATACGCTATCACCATTCTCAAACGAGCCTGGATGTTTTGAAGAGCAATGTTTTCTCGCACTGAACCTCCATGTACATGAAACTTGGGTGATGTGCCTGTTGCTAGTTGAAATATGCCCATAATAGCATCCACACCTGCATCAATATTGATGGACAGATGCCAACTTATACGTGCCCATGGTATTTTGAATAGATTGTTAATACAATTATCCAGCATCATCTGCACAATACAACAAATTTGTTGGAATACCTGCCAATACGCTTGGCTAAAATAGCAGCCCGGTCTCGTGTAGCATTACTTGAATTGATCGTTCCCATATAGCATGTGTGCAACAGTAATCTGGATGCAATTCAAAACCAGTTAACATTATAGCGTTCATTGCTGGCCAATATCAACAGTCAATATGGCATGTTTACATACCCACAGATCTTGGATGGCGACATGCTGCTTGTATCAATACTGGCACCCACAATGGCTTCAAGATCTTGAATCACCTTTTTATCTAAATCATGGTATTATTTCAAAATATCTGGCCATATGTGGCTAACAACACCATTGACTATCAAAACATACCTGAACAATCAAGACGTGCATGAACAAGCTCGCACATGGAAAACACTATCAAAGCAGACGAGCAGCTATCAATACCACCACTAAGTGGAAGAAAATAGCCGCCTGACTGTGTTCGACGCAAATAGTCCCAAAGCCAACACGCAGGACCAAGCCGGATTTCTTCAGACGGGCTATGATATTTTACAGAGCATGGTTGAGCAAGCGACTTTCCATTAAAAATCGACTCGCTTGTCAGACACACGTCTAGATGAACGACTGGAAAGTGCTCCTTGATCGATGCAGCTTGCAAAGAGCGGCTAACCAGCCCAGATCTGTATGCACGCACATCATCAAGATCCACCGTTGCTGTGATCACCTCCTAATAACCAATTAAAACCAGAACTTTTAATTTCAACATGCAACTATTCTACAACGCCATACAGCTACGCACCACTTCCGCCAATGAAAATTGAGCACCTTGTGCAACAACATCGCCGTTCAGCACAATCAAAGGACATCCATCATAGTATACACGCTCTCCATCGCATCCTTTCTGATTTGAGTACAGATAGATACCCCCGCACTTTTCAGTAGCACTTTTGATGAGCTGTACACGTTGTTCAAGTTTACAAAACTCATGATGACTTGCACTGCCGTTTGTAAATATTTCAACACCATCCAAAGACATTTGCACATGTGGACTGTGTCAAAGTGCATGATCAGCACCACTGTTTAGATTAAATGTCTTGTCACAAAATATTGTACTGCATTATAACTCAGTAGACCTACCTATGCGGTGTAAACAGTTCCTCGCATATCTCTGTGCCAATTACTGCACTAGATTGCAATGTTACGTGTAAAATAGGCCAGTAAATGGAGTGTCAGCAACAAATACATGGCGAATGTATCAATCTCGGTTTAAACTAGTGCAAAAAATACAAACTCTGAAAATGCCACAACTCCATCTCCAAATGGAGCACTCGTTTGTCCGTTGAGTTTTGAAATGATCTTGGGAAGGCACAGTTGATCAAGTTTTTTATATTCAGACCATGGCGTGAACCATCGTATTTCTCGGTAGTTGCCGTCATTTGCCATGAACATCTTTGGACGGATCATCACAATAGTGTGGTCACGAAATATAACCCTGCAATTGTATAGAATACCTCGCTGCATTACTGGCCTATATGTGCCAATTAAAGATTCATTTGAATCATATATATAATGGCGCAGCACGAATATTAACAACAGTCAATATAGTTTAAAACCCAATTATATTTTCATCATTAGTTTCATGAGCATCACCAACACAAAGATATATTGTACTCCAGATCCTATGCAATAGGAATAAAATCTACTCACATGCCAACATCACAAGTAATTCCAACATTCTGTGGGTTTTCCAATAATTTAGCAAGCACCTCCCATGAGTGCTGGTGTGTATCAGCTATCAAGTTGAATCGTTTATTTAATTGACAAGATATCAGTGTTGAATGATTCCAAGACAAACATGATGCATTTATAAAGTGGAGTGATTTGGCGACAATCAAGTGCCATATAATAGCTAAAGTTACAGTAATCAACTGCATTCATGTACATGTATAATCCCACCTTCAAGAAAGTGATCGTTGCATCCATAGCCAGGAATCTCGAGTTCGGGACCAAGACGATAACAGGCACCAGCGGCTTTGGCCTGATCAATGCTTTCTTGAATTCTAGTATAGTTTCCTGAAAAATCAAGAGCCCACTGGTTCAGTGAACATGTTGCTAATGTAATGTATGCAGGCATAGTAACACTGATGGTTTTTTGGGTTTAATGCAATACACTTGTTCCAGATAAAGTGTTGATGCGATTTCTTGATAAAATTATTGTCACGTTGATTAGTGACAGTTGATTTGCATGAATTAGTCGAAAGTATAGAGCAATAAAAACCATCAGATTTGGCTATATCAACAAGTACTATTATGATATGGGTCAAAATGCATCACTCAATCGACTGGTTTGACCTACAACGGTGTCAGTCTCGATTATACTCTTGTTACTAGTGGTTTATTTAATACTCGGTGAATTCAAGACAATCCTGATGGTGATAATCCTGTCCACTTATACTGAGTGGTTTGATGTCTTGTAAAATTAGGCTTGTATCTTGTAAAATTAGCATGTACGGTTGTGGTTTTCATTGTCAGTTGGTGCAATCAAACAATCTGCCATCAAATTCACAATGCTGATATCAATATCTCGACTCTACACAATTTGGAGTTGACTCGAGAAATTTACAATAGATGGCTGGATCAAATTAGCTTCCATTTATAAAATGTACCGGATTGAATTATTGTTCAACTTTTTTGCCATTCCAAATCTTGACAATTATTATATCATAATTGAACATTTTTAACTTTATTGATGGATAATTCAAACCAAAGACAAGCGATACAAGAGACTTCATCTTCACTCGATAAAATATGCCAGATTCGACGAATGATACTTAGGATCAAAATGCAGAATGCGCCAGTTTCTCAGTCACAGAGTAAAACTCATATACTAGAGGTACAATAGTCAAGTAATATGATGTCTGCTAAATCAAGGATTGTAGACTATTATATCAAGTGCATGTGTTGATAAAACTAGTTTATTTTAATAGTCTAATCAGCACAATCCTTGATACTCCAATTGTAATGACTCCTTGTTTGAAAAGCCCAGCTTTTATCGCCGTATTCACGTAAATAAAACATTAAATAATGGAATTAAAATACATAATAAAAGTCTGAAATAATTGGCGTCAAAGTTACTAGATATTGCATCTCTTGAGAAAGTGTCTGATGGACATACTCCATTCAAATAAAAAACATTGGACGATGTTCACATTATAGCTCCAGTAAATTCCACATTACTTTGATCTTTAACCCTTTTCGTATAAACCGAATATTATGGCATTGAGTGATCATCATGGAAACAACGGTTGTATTACTGAAATGTACGATCGTTGTAGTCTTGGACTAGAGCGCCAACGTATCCAAGTTTCTAGGATACAAGAAACAACCAATCTCTAATATGAAGGCTTACCAAATATTTAACCATTGTTTATTCCAAAGTTTGACTGCAAGATAAATACAAATACTCCATTTTATATGAATACGGTTGTAAATGGGCCCACATTTGTTTTACTATTATAAATATGCTATATTTTACCTTGAATTCCAACAATTTTGCTTTAAAATTACAAACACTTGATCAAGTATTATTACAGCCGCATTCACTTCAATACTAATTCTGACGAGCAATACTCAAAATCGGGAAAATGATGAACGCATGCCAACAAATTAATTATTCGTATGCTCATAACCTCGACTGCAGTGGCTTAGCAGCGTGTAATGTGGCGTTGATCGGAGTTTGGCTTATAACCGTATTCGAGTAAAATGAAATATTAAATGTCAATATATGATAAACCGTCATGTTTGATTGGTACCAGTTTTCATTAAATTTGCTGAACATTGCTTTATCAACTGTGTTAGTTTACTGACCTTCATGCTCATTCTTGTACAAAATACAGAGTGAATATTCACATTGCTATTTCAATATATTCCACATCCTTGGCATCATTTCAATCTACAGCTCTTTAAACATTGAGTGACCTTCAAGGAAGCAGCATTTATTCCTGAAACTGCAATCTTTGTTATCTTGAACTTGAACGCGAACTATCTGATATTAAGATACAGCAGAGTTTTCACGGAAAAAGCAATCAATTTCTAATAGCAAGCGGAACGAATATTTAACCATTGTTTATTCCGAAACAGAATAGAGGCTCCGACTGTAAGATAAATATAGAAAAGCTTCATTTTACATGAATACGGCTTAATTAGAGTTGAATTTATTTCAAAGTGTAGCATTCGTTTATTGAATCATCAAAAACTCTTTGCAGTGTAATCATCTTGAACCGCTGATATCTTTATCCACTACCACTTAATCATATACAGGTTTTAGTTGAATATTATAACTATTTTTAAATACATGTTTGAATCAAAATGCATTGTCCCTGTTACTATTTTATACCTGACATGCATTATACTCACAAGAGCGATAGTCATCGGTAGTTCACGTAAGTCCATGCCTTTCTGACCTTAAATTCATATGCTCCGACATTCAAAAATTTAAAAAATCCACAACTCACATTCGGTTGTAAATATGAATGTGCCAAGTATTACCGAGTAGAACCCTTAAAGCACCATCAACCCATTTGCCCGTTCCTGGTGTTCCGGATATTCTTCCCGACGATCTTCAAAGTATCATTGATCTTCTTGGAGATTACACCAACTATGGCCAACCCAATTTCGATTCGTTTGATTCTAATCAAGGTCCATTGACTAAAACCCTGATATCTAACACAGAGATTGAACCATCTCAAAATGCAATGTTACCAGAAAGCACCACTCAGCCATCAGATAAGGTATTTAATCAACATCACGATACCCTCTCGGTGCATACCTTATCTCCTGGCATGACCGTAATCAAAACTATTGCGGAAATTTCTGGCAAGAACGATCAAGACGGAATTTTGCACAAGTCGGATGCAGCAACTCCACCACAGCCAGCTTCCCATAAATCTATTCTACGTGATAAAACTCTGCTGTTTGGCGTAATTTCTGCAATGGGGATCATTGCTACAGTAGTGCTAGTTGTTGCTGGGTCGGTAATGGCAAAGTTTCAGTGGAGGCATTGGGTTTCTGTCAATCGTATCAACACGAACCCTGACAAGTCAAAGCTTAGGCATACTCAGGAGTCCGGAGTTGCATACCCATCAGGTTTAACGTACGATTGGAGTGATGATGAAGTAGATTTAGGAGATCTGGGGGAAAAAAGAAGAGTGTCGTCAATCACTCATGGCAAGAGTAGACGAGATTTGATTAATGATGATGAGTGGTGTACTCAGCAACTTTACACATCTGACCTAAAAGTAGCTCGTGTAGATTGGCACACGGTTAAAGCGACATATCCAAATATCATTGACGAGGATGAGAGTGTTGGATCTGCATTAGGCAGTTTGATGGATAATATAATTGACCCTTGGGATGGAGTCCAAAAACAATACTGATGGACATACTCCATTCAAATAAAAAACATTGGACGATGTTCACATTATAGCTCCAGTAAATTCCACATTACTTTGATCTTTAACCCTTTTCGTATAAACCGAATATTATGGCATTGAGTGATCATCATGGAAACAACGGTTGTATTACTGAAATGTACGATCGTTGTAGTCTTGGACTAGAGCGCCAACGTATCCAAGTTTCTAGGATACAAGAAACAACCAATCTCTAATATGAAGGCTTACCAAATATTTAACCATTGTTTATTCCAAAGTTTGACTGCAAGATAAATACAAATGCTCCATTTTATATGAATACGGTTGTAAATTTTCTTAAAGCGATAAAAAATGGTACGCAAAAAAACGGTCAAGTACTGGCAAAGAAAAAGTACGAGGCTAAACGGAATGTCTGCAATAAATCTGGTGTAGGATTGTTGATGATGGTCGGGACAGCTTTACACGGTGGCAATAATCTCATCTGCCTTTTTGAGAGCGGTGATCATCTTTTTGCATTCTACTCGTCTCTGAACTGTGAACTCACTTTCTTTAAGAGACTCGTCAAACTCTTCTCTCTTATAAAGCTCTGAAAGTAGTTCACGCTGAAGCTCATCCTTGGAGAGCTGGACCAGATTCAGCATGATAGCCTTGGGGACAAGGTCTGCTGCGGTGCGCTTAACAATATTAAAGTATGACATCAACAAAAGTTCTAAAACAAGCGGATTTACAAAAATCATAAGTAATCTAGAGCTGTGCAGCATATAAAGTAAAAACAAAGCTGTTGACTTACTAATAACTTCAGTCTCAATTTGTTCACGCTCGGATAAATTACCAGACGCTTTTAGGACTGCAGGGGGCTAGATTCAAAAATGAAAATGCAGTAGGGGTTAGTGAAACATTGTAGAAAAGGAAAAATGATAATAGTTGATGCATAAAGACCAATAGATCTGCAAAACTGTATAGTACAAACCTGTTCAAGAACACCAGGCTTCGTTTTTTGCTTAAAAAAGCTACCAAAAAAGTTTTGCCCACTCTGATTTATCACATCTGCATTGGGATCTCTCTGGGGAAGTGCTGCAGCAAGAGTAGCAGGAGGTGGAGGCTTTCGCTCATTAGGGTTTTTCCCTTGAATCTGATCCATAATAGGTGGTGGATTCTTCAACTGATTGATGCGATCAACTACAATGGCCATGGCCTATAAACAAATTTAAATTGCAAATTAGAAAGTTGCCATCAATCTGCTAGTATGTACTAGAATACTTTTCCAGTAATGTGTCATTTAGTAACAAAAACAAATGCACATTCAACAAATCAGCTTACACGGTGGCCAGTAATAAATTCAGGGTGGCCAGTGTTAATGTAGCATGCCTCTGCATTAATCAGATCAGTTACCAACTTGTTGGTTGGATTCATGCATCGCTGGAAAAAGTTGATCACAACATTGTAAAACTTGTCCTTGAGGGCTGGGAAGCGCTTAAAAATAGGACGCTGTAAAAGGCGGTTCAGGATACGAACAAGCTCATCATAGATCATTGTGCAACACTTGAGAGAAGGATCTTCAAGACGTCTAATCTGCTGCTTTACCAAAATTTCAAATGCAGCCGTTCCAACAAACAGAGCAGGAGATGAGCCCTAGGAGTATCAAATGATAAAATTATGCAAAGTTAGTACGCGCGAGTCAATGAAAACAAAACTTGATTGGTGATTCAAACCACGGCATATTAAAAGGCGTATATAGTTTACCGAAGAATTGTACAAGATTGTGCGAATGTCAACCTCCTTGACCTGATCAAATGGATCCATGGAACGAATAGCCGCAGCATAAATTTCGTGAAACACAAAACTGATACGAGCACCACCACTAAGCTCATCGCTGGATAAATCATTCGACGTGCCCGCAATGACAGTGCGATACTCGCTAGTAAATTCAGTAATGACATTAAGAATAATGTTGGACTGGAAATAAACCAAAAGTTAGTTTCTGATGAGCCAAACGCCCATAAACTAAAATAATAAAAACAATCAAGAACACTCAACCATGTTTGCAGAGTCTTCTCCAAGTGGATCGCCAAGAGTAACAAGCTCTTGTTGAAATTTGGTGAGACCAGACTGAATCTTGGCTTTAATTTCAGGGAGAGTATTTTTGATATGATGCATCAGAATCTAGCATTTCAAATATAAAGACAAAAAAGAGAAATGTCAGCAAATCCACGACTACAAGTGATACAAAATTGCATTCTTCAAAAGTTGGACACACCATGTTAAGCTTGCGAGCCAGAAAAGGCGTACCGCAGTACTGAGCTTTGCTTCTATACGAGGCGTGATTCTCAAAGTAGTTTTTTTCGGCTTCAAGGGCAAGAGAGATTTTCTTTTTGTTCTCAATATCACGTTGGCCACGGTTAACAACCGGAACATAACCCAAACGCAATGGAATAACTCGACCAGCAAGAATATCAATAACATCGGTGCCTTGATCCATGAGATCAATTTTTGTAAGAACACCGATTGTACGCACACCTTCTGGATCCACCTCACGAGCAAGCTTTAGGCCGTCGGAATTGGCCAAATCAGTGTTGGCAGAGGTAACAGCAAGGATAATTGCGTTGCTTTTGCTGATGTATTTGAGAATCATATCTTTGATAAGTTTCTCAATGTCTTTTGGTTGATCTCCAACAGGCACCTTAGTAAGACCGGGCAAATCCACTAGTGTCAGTGTGAGCACATTGGGCGAGTAAATGCGCAGATTGATGGGGTTGGACGACACTCCAGCATTTTTTCCAGTAGTTTTTTCAGTTTCACGATCAATCTCATCACGGATTTCGTTAAAGTCTGTAAAACGCTTTCCTGGGATGTGTAAAAACTCTCCCCATTCATCACCTTCTTCGACAGTGACGGCTGCATTAGAAGTAGTGGCTGATTTTGCTCCAGGAGTAGAAGGGGAACTAGGCGGTTTATCAGTTCCTGCAGCAATACCACCAATCTCACCCTTTGAATTGGGACGATTGATCAGCTGTAAAACTAGAGGTCGGCGAGTTACAATGCCAGATCCTGTTAATTGTTTACAATGGACAGACCCATTGAACAGTGATAATGTTAAAACGGATCTTCCAGTAAACGGTACTTTCAACTTGACAAATCCTCAGTATTAAACAGATCATAAAAAAGCTATTACCTCGAGGCAAAAAGTCTTTTCCAACAATATTCTCCAATACAGAACTCTTTCCGCTGCTCTGACTTCCAACCACGGCAATCTAATTAAACACCATAGCGACACGATCAAAACAATGTAAGAGACGATCAAATCAAGAGTGGAAATAGCAAGCACGATTAATTTTTTGCAGAAACTAGTGTTACAGATATAAAAGCAACATACCTGTGGCAAATCGATGGGATTGGCCACACCAACACTGGTGAACGCATCCTGAAGATGATTGACTAGTATTAAAACCACATGCAGTTAGCACATTGGATTAGATTAAGAGTTCAAATGAATAGGCTGACGATGCAGTTGTATCTAGTCAATAAACCAACTAGAAGATTGAACAGCAGATATGGCTGATTCCAAGTCGCGCCATTGTGATAGTGGTTTATGATGGACGTTGATGCCCTGCATGCCGTTACATTGATAGAAATTTGAAGGAATAAAAGTAGAATAGTCGAGACAGACAGAAACACAAGGCAGATTGTCCATCAAACTAGATGGAAGGATAGCGTCTGATGACAAGAGGTTGACACTGAAAGACACTGAAAGACAGTAGCCAAGTGACGATGGTTGGCATGCTGCCCAACAGACTGCAGTCTGTTGGACTGTAAGCAAGAGACTAGACAGATTCAAGAGTACAACTGTAGTCTAGAAGCCCTAGCACTATAGTGAGACCATCGATATAGTACTCAAGTGCATTCAGCCAGGGCCTTGTCTAAAACCACAGTTCCATCCATACAGCCAAACCAGAAACTAAAAGAATCCCAGCAGGTCAATAGCATATAACCCACCAGTCTTGATGAGTTGTGAGTCCATTATAACAGTCCACTTGAAGGTCGCGGGATGGAAAGTGAATTCAAGCAATAATCCGATCTTGTTACAATCAATTGAAATGCTGAATCGTTTATTAAAATAAGTTTTAGCCTTCCAACTTGGTGTAATTTGGAGGATTGATTCTCCATTGAACTGCCTTGTACACATAAAGTGGTAAACTACTGACTGCTGTAATCAACGCTACTTTCCATACAAACGTTGTTGTCGCTATGAAATGCACATCTATTAAAATCGCAGTGTGAGTGTTGATCGCGACTCAAATCTTGGTCTCAAAACTTCACTCACCAAAATATGCTGGAAGAAGCCACATCGATCCAATATAGATCGCCGCAGTTCCAAGCTGAGAATATATCATATATGGATGCCTAGAGTAAGTTTCACTCAAGTGTTCAGTATCATCACTCGTTAAAAACACTACTGGAAAGCCTAATCTCACCATGTGGTAATCTCTAGTGCTACCATGAGTAACTCATTAAATACAAGTGCTGTAAATGAAATCGATACTACTCGTACAAATTCGTTTTCAAATAACCATATTGCTAGCATCATGATGGCTCCTCCTTGGTATACACTGATAAGTAACCAAATAAAGAATGTTTTATACGATAATGCTCGTCCCTACATAATTCAAATCATTACATCTTTTTTAAAAATCTCAACGGTTATGCTATTCTCTAAAACCACTGTACTTGCCTTGACCAATTCCTTGTATAGCTCAGGATACATAAGCGCAGTATCTTCACTGATATCTTTATCTAAAACAAGTGAAAATACCGGTGCCATGGTATAGAACGTGGCATATCCAACCAGCAGCATCCCCTATTATATATTTAAAATGAAAAGTGACATGAACACCAATAATAATAAATTGTGCATTAGCATCTCAAAGACAATCATGCATACTACCATCACTAACATACCTGGTAAAGCGCAATGGGTGCAAAATAAAATAGTGATGAAAACACTGCCTGCATAATAGAAATAATCAAACCACGATGAATAACAAATTGACTGAGTTTGGCTGATCGCTTATAACTGTTTCGTCCATGCCACAATAGCAATCGAGCAATATGGCTAAATTGAGTCACTGAAAAATCAGCTGCCAATGATGCTTGCATTCCTTCTTTGCCAACAATCCCTATGCCTACATGTGCGGCTTGGATCATGGAAACATCATTACCACCATCCCCAATGGCACATGTCCGTGATTTGGTGCTTTCTTTGATCAGGCGGGCAACATCTGCCTTTTGGGTCGGTGAACAGCGACAACAAACTACCACCGATAAACAAAGAGCAAGCTCCATAAAAATCTCGGGACAAAAATCTAAACAGGTTTGAAGTGATTCGCCATCAATCACAAGAGCACAGTCTGTTTTTGAGCGAATAGTCTCCAGCTCTTCTTGAATAGTCGTCGGGTCCGTCACTAAACGTGTGATGTATATCAAAGCAAATGCCCGCCCAATATATCAGCACCATAGCAACCAGAAACCAACACATGAGATCTAACCACTACAACTTAAATAACCTTTTGCAATAGTATGAATAAATTGATTCCTCGACACCAACTTGGATGAAATGGCAATACACGTGGCAGTTTCTATTTTATCGCCTGTCAGCATCCATATTCGCAGCCCTGCATTTCTAAGTAGCTCGAGCGTCAATTTTACATCATCCTACAAACAATAATACAATGTACAGTATGCATGTGTTAAAACTAGTACAAAGAATATTTGACTATATGCAAGTATAGTCTATTCTTTACCTGAAGTTTATCTTCGACGCCTGTTAGTCCGAGCAACTCTAAATCCTTTTCGAGATATTGTGAAACAACACCCTGCATTACGTTCTTTCGATTTTGCAAACAAATTTTGGCTTCCTGATATCTAGTGTATTATCAGTATAGCTGTAGGTTAACACAGTCATATACTAGAAACCGCCATCATTTCCAAATATAAACAATCATAACCATGCATACATCTTACTTTTGTTGAAACTCATTATAATAATCTTCAGATATACGTTTCCTTCCAATGACCAAGGTACGAAGTCCCTCCCGTGCCATATTACCACATTCTTCATCAAGCCAATCATTGTATGCGACAATCCGTGTCATCACGGCATCTGCTCCCTTTTGATAGAATGTAATCTCTCCTGTGGCCTTCTCACGAAGAATAATCCCCATTCGTTTTGTATCCGATGTAAATGAAAACACGTCTAGAATATCATATTCCAATAATGTTCCGTGCATAGTGCGCAAACGAATAATCGACATGTCGCGAAAATAGAGTGTCAGGCCAATAGACTCTGTCCATTTTACAATGGCAACTTCATCTGGAGACGAGGCTTGATAGCTGAGCTCTCCCTCGCCATCAATAACTGGTGTGACCTGGTTTAAAATTGAATTTGTTAAAGCATCCGACGCAGTAAGGAGTGCAAACCCCATACTAGCACAACTAAAAATCATCACTTACATTATGGCAAAGAGCAAGAGCTACAGTGATATCCTTGAGTCTTGTATTAATACCTTTGGTTCGTTTGGTACCAAATGAAGTATCCTGAGCTACCAACCAGCCAGAATTAATTAAACGTGAAAAATCATTACATACAACACTAGTAATACCTTGAGCTTGCTCAAATGCTGATCGAATATAGCCAGCCACTTCCTCCATCGACTCGCTTCCATACGATATGGTTCCCATGTGTAATTTTCTTAGCTCCATATCTGTAAATGTAAAAATAATATTAACCCTATTTCCAGGTAAAGCGCAGACACGACACTCTTGCATCTGTACTACCGTTTTTAGTCAACGTTCCAGTCTTGTCTGTTAACAAATAGTCAATACGCCCAAGTTCTTCTGGGATAGTGGATGTTCGAACAATTGTTGAAGGAATCTTTTGATCTGACATGATCAAGTATGAAAAAACCGTTTTTCCCATATCAAGATTGACTCGCAGACTTGTCGTTACAAAATTATTTTACCAGCCCATATCAAAATGAAATGTTAAGAGATACAAAATGCTTGGATTGTTAGTAACAAAGTGGCAAAATAAAAAGCACTTTTTACAAATATGAAATAAAGAGCAAACCTAATGGGGATAATGGATGAAAACAGAATAAGAAATCGAAAGATGTAGATAAACCAAAGCCCGCGAAATCCATCCATCATAACCATTGTCAAAGACAATTGCAACGTAACCAGTGCCAAGATCTAAGTGGTGCAGACATTAGCACACATTTTAGCATGGCAATACGCAGTCATACCACGTGGTAAATAGAACGCTCACTTATAATCACAATGATTCAATTTTAAATCTTGCCTTGGAAAGTCTATTAATATCCAAATCCAATAGTCCGATTTTTGTACTAGGAAAGCTGGTGTTCATAACAGCACGTGTGTCGCGACCAGTATAGACAATTAAACAGAGAGCAGCACTAGATGCCAAAACAGTGTTCATCCACAAAGTATTATCTACTGTAAGTGGATCAATTTGGGTATCCTGTGGTTTTGAGTAAAGATTGAGATTAATACAACAAATTTTAAATCATTGATTTTCTTTGAATCAAAGAGACTTGCCCTGTCTTGAACCCAGGTTATATTTCCAATAAAACTATGAATATCCATATGCGGCTTTTCGGCTATATTTACAAGAATGATTTTAAAGGAAAAGTTAGTATTTGACTTGTCACATCACAAACCCACCTATTTTTGATAGAATGAACATACCATAAACAGATGCATTTGTTTGAAAAATAGCCATATCATTTGGCAGTTTTTGAGAATGTGAAACAGCAACGCGAAGTTTCCAGTCTGTTTCTCCATCAAGCTGATCTGTTCGGATAAAACATGCTCCACTGGGCTCTGGTGTTCGTAACAAAATACAATCGGCAGGAACTCTCTGATTCTTATGAATTACTACTAGATCCCCAACACACAGCTCTGAAGAAGGAACTTCTGCAGGGCCTGCTACACTTAGACGGGTATATGTTTGCGAATTAGCCACCTATCGAGTGAATTTATACAAGAGCACAATGTGTCAGCGAGTAAGCCCTATATAAATCAATCCAAAATTCAACAACGCTACAAAATCCACACCTTATCTCTCTGGAGCCTTCTATAGTCATCCAAAGCCTCCTTCCCAATTGTGATGACAAGAACAAATGAAAGTGGGCCAAAGTATGTAAACAGGTATCCTATTATGTCGATTGCATTGTAAAATAGTAAGCAAACTCTATTCAACATTGCAACCTGAGTACATAATAGCTCAAATTTTTCAAATATTACCAATCTGAAGGGACTTTACAAGTTGTGAAAGCGCTACTAAAAGAAAATACATGTTGAAAAACAATTTAAACTTTAAATAATAATTAGCATCCATAAGTGAATGGCAATAAATTAAACCTGGACTCATCAAACCGAAAACTAGGTACATTAAGTGAGTTTACCTGCTCAAATAATACAACTGGAACAAATGTCAAAAAATTATATTTTTGGTTCCGTACTATGTTGGGCTCAAATCCTTTCCCTATAGTTATTGCAATACGCCACGAGTGAAAGATGTTTAAATAATCAGCGAATGTCAAAGCACAAGTCAAGCCGCACCCGCCTGTATACTTTCAACTATACCTTGAAATCCAAGCTCGATCGTTCTAGACTTTCCTGTTTTAGGATTCCTTTTAAAAAACTGTAGTAAACAGTTTGAAACACGATGCAAAATCGGCAACGAGACTGTATGTAGAGGCAAGATCTACGAGATTGTATAAATGCCAGTTAGAGTTTAATTCAAAAGTGATAGTGATCATTTCTATGCAAATCACTTTTAATGTTCATACATTATTAGGGTCCATCATGCCAGCTTCTTCGGAATCAATATCCGATAAATTATACTTGCGAGATGCTCCATCTAAACGTCCAGACATAGAATGCAATGGAATAGCATCTTCATCCTTTGGCCTGGAATTATAGCTGCTGCTATTTCGACCAGCATTATTAGAATGGTTCCAAATGGATTGTGACGGTCCTCCAGGATCTGCTACTGAGCCTCTCCATAATACACCATTATCACTACTTGCTTCAACATGGTCATCTGCCATACTGGAAGTGCTGTCCTGTCTGCGAATAGCCGAGTATGGATTACGACTGACTGGCATTCTTCGTGCAGCACTAGATTGAAATGGCATTGCAGTGATTGAGATGGGTCTAAACTTGGCGCTTTGTAATAGCAACGATGTACAAGTGCCTCTTGATGAATTATTTAGCAGGAATATGTATATCTGCTTATTGAAAGCCCTGTCAGTACTATGTGAACTAGGCAATTCTCAAAATATAGTAAACTCGAGAATCTTTGAATATTGCAGTTATTCTCCAGATTAGCACTGTCATCTAGGACAGCGACTCGACTCTTTGCGTCTCGTTACATCCGAGATGCAACAGCCAGCTCGTAATGGGCAAGTATTCACCTGTAGATTCACACTAACCCGATGTAGATTTGAACATAATTTTCAATGATTGAATGCAATTTGGATCATGACTACAGCTCAATCATACAGCACTGACTATCTTAAAATAAAACAACGCTGTTTCTATAAAGATCCTTTAACTTGTCATTGAAATAGTCTTGTATAATAAATTTGGATCCATTCGCCAACTGAACCTCACTTCAAGAATGACGCGAAACCAAACCTCTATAATGCTTACTGATACGTGAGTGTAGCAGCTTGAACCAGTGCTAAATAAGTTGTATTACAAAATATAGGATGCAAGGCACTAATTATACATTGATTCACTATTCAGTCAGCAGCATGCTCTCTTTGTGAAACGGACAGTATCCATGACAGGTATAGTGTCACTTTATTGTCTTTAAATTAGACATCTGCCCTTGCCATCAATGCAATCCCGACTGATAGTACGTATATAAACACTACTTTTATTGATACTTTACAGAAAAGGGTTTTGATATTCTACAGAAAACTATTGAAGGATGCGTGCGGGGAAATGAGCGTATGTATTTTGTTGGAGGTCGTAAATGAAACAAGATCTGCAATGTCCATGTTGTAACTCTAAAATATACAATGCACATGGTCAGGAATATGCAAAAAATCACTTAAACTTGCATCCGTATTGGCAATCATGGCAGAGAACGAAGCACATACAACGTCTATGATGCTCGAATCGCTATCGAGAATCATCAAAGAGCAAGAATTGGCTAGACAGAGCTTAAATGCACGTATCGAGAGTCTGGCGATTGGACCACTCAGGTTGTATGGGGTAAGTGATTTGAATTATATGCAGTAGTCAAATGAACAGTATAACTCGTAAACTCACTCGAGCGACATGGCTTTAATTCATGGTAGCCAATTTGCAACAAAATCAACACATACGCCAAAATGCAAAGAGCAGCTTTGGACAACGAACGTAAAAAGCGAGAGCTACTAGATAATGCTATCCTTAAAGACGGTGGTGACCAAGAAACTCGAGTGAGAATTGTAAGTTTGACTCTGGTCATGGTCTAGATCCTTGATACATTATCTAGACTAAATGTCAATATTCTAACCATCTGAAATCAACGCAGAATCAAAGCCAGATGGACTTGGCAGGGGCATCACGAGCAGCGATGAATAGCACAACTACTCTTCATGACTCTGTTCTGACTTTTGAGCAACGTCGACGAAACGACCTCAAGGTAATACTGTTCAGTTTGACGTGAATACTGATTAAATGGAAAGCTAATCTAAGCGTTTTTGATAAAATTTTGTTTATCCACGGACCTGTCTAGAATGTGCTCAGTGAGATTGTGTGGAGCGAGATGCAGTTTCATGCCAAGTCATTAGAGCTTCTGACAGAGGCACACCAAGTCATACATGCAACAAGCTTTGACAAGGATATTCAAGTAGGTGATATAATATTTGCTTTACTGAATTAAAGTACAACTTTGTACAGTAAAAGAGTATCCACAACGTAGACACTAAACACAATCACACATGTTCTGTCATTAAACAATGCAACTGGCAGAAAATTAAAGAATTGCTTGCAAAACTGGAGTAAGGTGAGCGCTACATGACAGGATATCGAATTGGTGGCAGCAGGCAGTCTGTCACAAAAAATAAGATGAACTATGCACATCAACTTTCAACCCAACCAAAAAGCTTAAATATAAATATGGTACTAGACAAAGTGCTGTATTTTTCTCAATAAATTCAGAAATTAAAGAGTCAATTCCTATAGTACAGTAATAGTTAGTATCCTCAATCTACAAAAACAAGACTGAGATCTGACTATAAATTAAGCTGCCTACCATGATGGCGTTAACAATGTCGTTGCTGTTGGCCTTGAGAGCATGAACAGCCTTGGCTCTAGATACACCAGCCTGCTGAATAACAAGTTCGATGTCTTTGGCGTCAAGACCAGTCTCATCTACCTCCTCGTCTTCAGCGACGGGGGGAGCGTTGGCACGAGCAGCAGCAGCCTCCTCCATAACCTTGTTGATGTCTACTGACCCTTGGTGTTGAGCAGCAGCAGCCTGAGCAGCCTGGGCGTATTGATCTTCACCCTTGACCTCGCCAAAGACAATATAAGCTACAAGATTGAACAATGCGTCAATGAATTAGCAAATACTGTAGATAAGCCTACTATCAGCGCTTGTTAAATTAGATCCGAAAACACATACTGTCACTGGATCCAGATTTGTAAACATCGGGCTTGGCAACAACAAGAAGAACCTATAATAATAGAATGTTGAGCATCATTTATGCAATGAATCACAAATGGCAGCAAAAATGCCTGGATGCAATAAAAAATTAGATGATCTTGAGCCAATGTTACATACGTTGCGAGGACGGCGAAGAACCACACGATTGATATCTTTAAGATGCTTCAAGCCGAGCTTGGCAAGAGCCTTGCGAGCCTTCTTCTCTCCACGACTGATGCTTTTGTCGGCAAAAGAGTTTTCGACATCGGACTCCTCCTCAACTGCCTCGACTTCTTCAACAATGTCTTCCTTGATAATCTCAGGCATGATTACTATGTTCTGTTATAAATGCAATATAATCAGGTTCAGTCACAATGATCTACATGAAAATAGATATTATGCAACGATCGAGTCTTTAAAGCAACTAGTGCCAGTCAATAGCCATATTTTTCAAAACCATGCGGTTCAAGACAATCCCGAATCCAGTACAGAAACAGCAGTCATTGACTGTTGATAAACGTTCCGACTGCAAGCTGAGATAGTAACAGTCCAAGTTGACATGAAGCCATGCATCCATTGCATCCATTGCATTCATCCATCAATGCATCCATGCATCAAATAAACAGTTGGCTGCATACGTTTGACTGGCCAGAAACACTGTCACCATCAACACAAGCAATCTCTTCAACTCACCTCCTGATCAAAATGTAAGTGATGGCTCTCTGACATCCATCAACTTGCAATTCCATAGGCATGTGTTCCTGTGGATGTGTTTCTTTCAAAAACTTTGAATTTTAAACCGTCATCGAAACACGCCTTTCTTGCACGCCAGCTTTATCTTCCAACCCAACATCAACTCCGTTCTTAACTACAACCTTCCATTGAAGCGGGAGAATGGCTACAAGAAGCAGAACTCTTCTCTTTCTCAACTTCAGAAACTCATTTTCTCGCAATAACCAGCAGTTTTCCAAGCATGACTATGACGGCTCGGAACATGTTGGTCTAATCGCTGGTGAGATGAGCAACTATTCTGAAGTTGCTATTGAAATGTCTGTGCTGCCGCCGCGATGGTGAGTACATTGCATGTCTCTAGCTTGCATTACTTTCCATGTTAACTTTGGCTTTTTGGATTCTAAACTTGATAGGATAGACATTGTAGACGAGGTAAGTTTAAATACACTAACAATAAATATCGTACACGTTAAAAATGCATCAAAAGTCAAATACAACAAGATTTCGTTCCAGCCAGAGTAATATTACGGAATCATCCGTTCAATATCTTATTTAAATGCTTGAACTCGAACTGGAATTTAGTGTTGAATTGCCAATTTACTTGCTATAACCCTAATCTACTTGTAACGAATATACATCAGGTTGAAGAGGATATTGGCATACTTAAAGAAAAAAGTATATTACGCTTGCTTAATTTATATATCATCGTCAAGCATCAATTCATCATGACATCTAGTTGTACTTTGGCTTATAATAACCATCTGATAATACTGCTTAATCTTTGCCAATACCACAGTCATTTTGCTGGAAAGCGCATATAAAAAACATCTTTTACCAGGATTTGACGATCGCATTGGTGACGAACAGTCTATAGAACGACTTACTGAAGATGTCACAAAGGTATTTAGTCAAGAGACAGATTTACTTGGATTAATCAAATCTTTATTACTTTTTGCGCCATCATTCAATAATACTAAACAGCTTTACAAACGAAACCTACTCTATTACGCATGTTAGATTTTTCAGCAAGTTCAAGTAAAAGTAAAACGAGTACATATGGAGAGCCGTGTTGCCAGTAAAACCGATACCTCGTCGCTTAGCAAAAATATTCAAACGTCATTGGCCACAAAATTGCAAGATCTTTCTCAAAGTTTTCGCAAAACCCAGTCAAATTACCTTCGCAGTATGTGTTAGATTGCTAGTATTGATTGAAGACATCTAGATAGCATAAATTTTGGTAGAATGGCAAAGTGCAGTACTAATTTTTATTTAATTGATGTTTTTTACACCAGAACTTCGTGGTCGAGAAGCTGCAGTGAATCCCAATAAATATGGTGCAATAGAACAAGATCCTGGTAATGAAGATCTTGACGAGGTAGGTAGCATACGTGGCTTGCTTTTATATTGTTTCAAACATGCTTTCACTAACGTCATTTAACCATCAATTCTAGGTATTCACTGATGCTCAGTTGGCAGTTGTAGTGAATAATGAGAGAGCTATATCTGAAAGAGAGCGTGAGATCAACGAGATTGCCAAGTCAATTCTAGGACTAGCTGAAATATTTAAAGACTTGCAAACAATGGTGATTGATCAGGGAACAGTGCTAGATCGGATTGACTATAACGTCGAGCAAACTAACGTGTCATTAGAAGACGCCCACAAAGAGTTGATCAAGGTGAGTAATGAATCTAGTTCAAAAGAGATGATAGTAGTTACTAATTCACTAAACAATTTAATGTTTCAACTTATAAAATTCATGGCACAAGGCTTCTCAAATGCAAAATACTTCACTTGCCAAGTATTGCATTATCGTTCTTCTTGTATTGGTAGTCATTATGATTATCGTACTATGGTGGAAACTGAGTCGCCCCAAAAAAATAAATTGATTCTGTATACGTCCAGCAATTATAGATGGTAAATGTGCAACGTTATTACTAATACATTTCAACCTATTCGTTGACACTCATTTTACTAAAACCCAAATATTCCAATGCCTGCTGAGAAAAAGTCGTTTGACAATTTACTCTCGAGCTGTATCTAAATGAGTTGCATCGATTTAAATATGAGTTGTTCATCTTGGCTAATTCAATCAATTGAAATTCACAACAAAGCTGAATATTGTATACACTGACAGCTGTTGTGCTTTGGATGGATAATTATTGGTTATAATGTCACAGCTACATATAACTTTTGAAATAATAATTACTGTCAAGATACACAATCAGTAATTCATGAAAGCTATGCTTCATTTTTGAAATAATCACTCGAGAGATTTAAAATAAGACAATTTGATATCAAAAAATCAGACCTTGTTGTATCCAAATCTAACTAGTGCATCAGTCATCTACCATGGGATTCTGATGCTCATCGAATACCGAGCTGGCCATAGTTAATGAGGAAGTGGCCATTTTCTTGGATGCCTTACGTTTGTTGCCAATAGCAGGAGAGTACGGCTCTGTTAATTTTTTTGAAGAAGGTAGAATCTGTACACTATTAAAGTGTCGAATGGGTTGCGCACGGTGAGTTTGTCTCTGTCGCAATTGTCGAATCTCTTGCTGATCCCGTTTCTAAAAGTAAAAAGTTATAAAAATGCATCAGTAGGACTGAGCGTGGCAAGTGTTCAATTACAATAAAAACTGGCCAATATCCTTACTTTGCGAAGCGTATCTTGTTGAGCCAATACTTGGGCCTCCTCTTGTTCGCGCTGGCGTCTCTGATCCTCGTATGCGCCTCGTTCTTCTGCGCGTATATCGGTATGAAGTACAATTTCCTGAATCTCGGTGAGTGGCAGACTACTCTTTTTTGGTACAAAGGGGTGCAGGTCAGGAACAGGATTGGCATGAAATTGACGCTGGCGCTCCTCCTCTTCAGCACTTTGTGCAAGTTGCTTCTCTAGATCTCGTCTGTGTAAAGCCCCTCGAGTATCTGTATGCAAAGCAAATGGGCGGGGCTGAGTAAGTTGTGGAGGAGAAATATATGGAAGAGACTAAAAATGTACTGCAGTGTTAAATACCATCAAATAAAAGTACAGTCGATGCATTTGCTTAAAAAAATATTGAAACATGAATAGCAGTCAATGATTCTTACATGAGTCTTATCAGAAAGGATTGGCTGTGCATGAAATTGACGAGATGAATGCAATTGAGCATTCTCTTGTTCAACAGCTTCTATAAATTCTTGGTGCTTGCGTTTACTAATAGGATCACCAGGAAGTGAAAAATTTACGGGCTCGATCTTGCGGTGTTCTAGACTAGGTACAAATGGATTGTCAAGATCGGGTATAGGATTAGCTTTGATGATCTTTGCAGGAGATCGCTTTCGCGTCCGAGTCGGCCGAGGCTTGGTGATTGCTGGAGACATTGGGACTGTAAGTGGCAGTTTTTGTGCAGCAGGAACTCCCAATGGCTGTTTTGCCGCTAGAATCTACTCAAAAGTAGTGATTGTGACAGTACAAGTCGTCAGTATTGAGAAGCAGTATCAACGCAAGCATAACACGCATGCCCACTATTGTTTTCATTTCCAGTTAAAATATTGCATGCTGCCAACAGTACTCACCCTAGGATTGATTGGTTTTGCTTTAAACTTTTCACAATTTGCAAGTTGCTCTTCCTCGATTTGTTCTTGAGTTGAAATGCTATGAGAATGAAGTAAGATATGTTGGTCAATCGAAAAGTGATGGAATAGCAAGTTTACATCACGACAAAGAATTACTTTTTAAAAGGTTTTGCTCTTATTCTGGTGGTTAAAAATGGCGACTTGGGCTGAGTAAGCTTTGAATAATCACGATTTCTTGCAGGAAGCTAATAAAGTGCAAACCTGTAGGTTTAGAGCGACACGTGTTGCAATTGACAAAAGTTTAAAAGAAATGGTTACCTTGACTGCTTTGGTTCTAAATCTGTCTGGGGTTTTGCTCTGAAACTTTTGCACTTTGACTGCAAGTGAAACATACGGAGATGCAGGGGAAGCAGAAGATCTAGCCGTTTGAGTAACACGACTATGCAGACTAAATGGTTTGGGGATAGTAAGATCTCGGGGATTTTTTTTTGCCACTTTTTTCTAATAATATGAAAATAGAGTCAGCTATACACATAAGCCGAGACAAAGTATGGTTTCATGCAAATGTTACCGTCACACAGGCAGACTTGATATTGGTTTTACGAAGAGCATTGCTTTTTGTGTTATGCAAATAGCCAGGCTCTTTAGATTTTATAGTCGAACCATTGATACGAGTATTTACAGTGCAGTTAAAATCCTTGGCGTTCCTAAGCTTCATTCTATACTGGTTAGATTCCGATACGTTGTCTTGAGTGCAAACTCGTGGTTTCAGCCATCCAGATGCTGCAGACGACGACAATGAGCTGGAAAAGCTTGAGCGGCCAAGGGATGATCTAGTACGACGAGCTATGGGAGATTTGGGAGTAGTTTCCTCTAAACCCATCGGCTTTTTGTCAACCGTATCGTTTTTTTCAGGACTAGACATAAATGACGAATGTGTAACAAAATCCTCGTCTTTATCCAATGGATTGGGACACTGTTGCACAATTGAAGTTTCAAGCTCTACCGATTTAGCCGCCAAGAGATCGCTATCTGGAATTAACTCATTGATATTCGCATGCGGCTCAAGTACAAGATTGGTAGCTTCAGACTCGGACAAAAAGTGTGCACTTTTTTCAGACAACTGAATGGGAGGTTCAGGCGATAATGCAGCAGGAGAAATAGTCTGCTCGGATAGTTTTTGAACCACAGCAGTTTGTTCATGCTTTGATTCTAAACTGACAGTTGAAGTAGGGTTCTGATGGACTTCAGAAAGAGTAGTGGAGACTTTTGTAGCAAAATCATTCCCATCAAGGAAATGGGGAATATCGTCAGTATCGCTGTCGTTGTTGTCAACTCCTATGGATGTTTCGCGCACATCTGCATGAGCCATACCAATTAGACAATAAAGAATTAGTATGGTCAAACCATGATATTTTTTGATAGAATATGACCAATGCATTTTCTTGAAGCGTAAAAACAATAGATACACTAGCATCATACCAAACCACTTGTCAGCCTCATCATTATTGTCCAAGTCAGGAGTAGCAGTAAAGTCATGAAACTTTGGAGCATTGAATTCATACAAGTCGTCATTGCTCTTATCTAAGAACACTTCACAATTGTTTTGCTGTTCTAGAGTCGAGTTGAATACATTGTCGCCTTCAGCAAGCTCAACACAGTCGGATTCCACACTGTTATTCACTTCAACCTTGCAGCTGTCGGATGGAATATTGAGCTCTTTAGTAGTAGACTCTGAAATATCTTCATCCACAATAGGACAATTGTCTGTGCAGAGCATGACAGCAGTACAGATCCAATAGTAAATTCAAATCTCATTTATTTGAATGTCCGACAAGCCATTTTGCTGCAACTCATTATACAGTCTGGACCCTATATTTACTGCAGCCATCAATTCATCTGCTGGACTCGAATTTGTTGCATAGAATTAAAGTTGATCCACTGCATCTACTCAATACAGCCCATATAGCCACAAGAAACATGGATTTGGCAAACTCTTCCGCTCCTCCAAACAGTGTTGCTTCGTTTGGCTCTTGGTCTGCTGAGATGCAGCAATCTACTGCTTCTCCTACTATTACGCAGTCTTATTTGTTTCCAAAGCATCGCTTGAAAAGAGTTATGCAAGGTATTCTACTACCACACCTCATCTTGTTTGCGCTTTGAATTGTTTGATTAGAAATGCAAGTCTTGCATATGACTGTTGGGCATTATTTTATAATTTATCGACTGGATTTAAACTCATCCTTATTTGCACTTGGCCATTCTGTTGGTTATGACTAATCGATGATCTCGGATTGCACTTTGTTTTTCAGATCCTGTCAAAGAACCGCTTGTTATTGTTGCTTGTGGAAGTTTCTCTCCCGTAACTTACCTGCATTTACGCATGTTTGAAATGGCCCATGACTATATCCTTGATAGTGATAGATTTGAAGCACTTGGTGGTTACTTTTCACCCGTCTCGGATGGCTATGCAAAACCTGGGCTTGCTCATTGGCAACATCGTGTTAGTATGTGTGAACTAGCTGCAAGTGATTCTTCTTGGCTTATGGTCGATCCCTGGGAGCCTAGTCAACCAAAATATATTCGTACTGCATTGGTGCTTGATCATTTTGAACAGGAGCTCAATAGCGGTGCGGATGGCGGAGTATTGATGTCAGATGGTATGTCGTTACTTTTGATTTTTAATGGTCCAATAATCTTGATTTGCTATTTGACGATCCCTTATGTAGGCTCAAGACGACGTATTCGAATTATGCTTCTTGCTGGAGGCGATTTGATTCAATCATTTGCTGTTCCGAATCTATGGAAAGAAACAGATGTACGTTGTTTAATCCCAGTTTGTATGGTTCATTTATTCTTGATACATATACTTTGTGCCATCGGATCATTTGAATCTGACTTGGTTTCAACCCCGTCTGGATAGTTGTCGCATATCTTGGGTGACTTTGGGTGCTTAATTATTGAAAGAACGGGTGCCAACGTATATGATTTCTTACTCACCAACGATGCTTTGCACGCTCATCGTGTAAGTTGTCACCATCCAATTAATACAAATATTTTCAAGACACTGCAATTGTTGGAAATTATTTATTATACCCACCATGTAAGCCTAATTGGACTGACTGATGCATCTATTCTATTTAGAAAAACGTATTTGTTGTAAAACAATACATTCACAATGATATCAGCTCAACTAAAATTCGGCAAGTTTGATTGTCTATTAAGTGTTTGATGCATACTTTTTTTTATTTTAAAAGCATTCTCTCATCCATTATATACTACCAAATATTTAGATTGTTTGTTTGTCGTGGGATGTCCATCAAGTACCTTGTACCAGATTTGGTGATCGCATATATCCAAGCACAATCTTTGTATAATGAAGCTTCTACGAGAAAGACTTGAAGAAGCCTTGAATAACTATGTTGCATTTAGCTTGTGGATAAATTTTGGTGTAGGCATTTTAGCCAGAATATGATTATTGCTACCCAGTTGGATGCATATACAAATTCAATCTTTTTGGTTGTTGATCTCCAATGATTTGATCTCTGTTATCCAACAGAATAATTTCCAGCAATACCAGAAACAATATTCTGCCTTTTAATAGTTTCGATGGATTAACCTCGATTGGGTTTTCTAGTCTAAACATGGAATCTGGAACATCATCTAACACAACCGCTTCTTCATTTCCAACGTAATTATACGCTACTTTCAACAGCGAATTATTGACACGCTTTTCAACAACTTGATAGATATGATTATTTCTTGGATCGAGATAAATGGTGTCCATTAGTAAATTGTTGATGTACTTTGATCTCGGATTTGAGCAAGGTAAATTCAACATATTGTTTAAATCTAGTCTAGAAAATAAAAGATGCAATATTCAGTCACAGCCACTATCATAGATAGTTGATAAGTTTAATCCAAGATAAAATTGAATATTTAATTTCTTTTAAAACGATAAACAAGTTCATCAGAAATGTCAAACATATTGGAAGAAACCCAAATTTATTTGAATGGAAATGTTGTGTTGACTAAAGGAAATGACAGCACAGTTGGTCTGTACAAGGTTCTTTTTGAAGTAAATGGTATCGAGAGATATCGATTTGCTATTAAATACAAGACGAAAGAGAAAACTAGTACAAACAATTGATTAGTTCAATTACAAATCTGGATGTCGGACGGGCTAGAAAGGTTAAACTAAGATTCAAAAGCACACTCAAGGGATCTTCAGTGGAATGGACGATGCTAAAGCCTATCACCAACTTTTACAGTTACAAAACAAACAGAAAGAGAGCTGGACAAGAACAACGGTCGTTTTCACAATATCATATCAAGAAATATTCGTTCTGACCAAAATCAAAACCAATTCATTGGTCGAGACACTTGTTTACAAATTTAGATGAATTGAAGTTTACCATCAAAGAGAATCACAAAAAGCAAGCATTAAGATACTGGTTCGATATTCAATTCGGATATGTGCTGAGGAACATTGAAACTGATGATAGAGTTCAGTTTTATCCCTCTGATAATACCTGCTTTAATATCAATGATTCACCACTAGTTAATTCCACTATTGATACGGTACTAAACCAATTGGATGGTGATGATATACTGGAAAAATTGAAGTGTTCAAACTCCAAATGGAGTATTGAAAATATCTACGAGTATGTACTTTTAACAACACCCATTCCAGAGGTATCAATAGGCGCATCTGTAATTCTACCTGATTTCATCAAGAATAGCAAAAGTATTGTTTCATTCCAGTATGTCACAAATAACCTTTGTTTTTGGTAGTTTTGCTCGTTATAAGTATCCAGAAATCAGATTAGACAGATTATCAAAGAAAGCAAAAGATCTTTACAAGGATTATTACAAAACCAATGTAAAGAAGTGTTATCCCAAACTTGATATTCAAGAATTGAAAGAGATTGAAAGCCATTTCTTTGTAAATGTCAACATATACCGATTCAATGGAAAGAAAGCGGTTATGGAACGACATTCAGGTAAAGAATACAGGAGGTTATTAATTTGAATATATACTCTGATATAAGCCATAAATTCCATCATTTCTCCTCCATTATTAACTTGTCTCAGTTAACCAGTGTTTCAATGTCCAGATGCCATTCATCCTTTAGTGAATTCAAAAAGATAAAACGACACTCGATTGTTTGTGCAAAACCAAAGATAATATTTGAAAATGGAAATTATCAACCAAAGTTGAATGTATTTGAGCATCTTGAATTGAATGGAATTAATATACCGAAAGAAATGAGATTTTATCCATATTTCATCTACTTTGATTTTGAAACTTGGTTGAAATCAGTCAAATCTACGACCAACTTGAAGCTCATTCATTGAAACACACAAACTTTTGAGCACAAGTTTCATTGGAAGTGAAGAAAACAAGGCTCAATTCATCCCAGTTGAAGGTACAACTAAAGAAGTTTTGGATATAGTGATGACAAATGGATCAAATACGACACAAATATCTGCAATTGTTGTATTCAAAGTATTCTCGGTTTTTTGGAATGATGGCCAATTTGGACGATGCAAAGGTTCAGAAACGATTAAGATTACAATTACTAGAATGTTTTGATGTTCTTCCTATTTATGGCTTCAGTAGCTCATCATATGACATCGACATCATCAAGAAATACCCTCCACAAGTCTTGAAACACTCTAAAAAACATGGAAATGTATCCAAATGCGAAAAGCCTTGGATTAATTCAATTCAAGGAGAATTAGATCGTAATATTGAACAAAGCGAAAAGATTGAACGATACAATGTTGATGGCTACGATGAAGAATCAAACACAATCTATGACTTTCTGGGATACTTTTTCCACTGATGTAGAAAGTGTCACAAATCAGAAGATATCAATCCTTTAACTGGAGATACGATGAACATATTGTATGAAAAGACAGCAAATAAGGAATCAGCTCTCAAACAATGGGATATACCACAAGATCAATTTGGGGTTGTGAGTTTCATTCACCTGAAAACGGTCAAGTGAATGACATTATTAAATGTAACAAATACCGAATGATATCAAATGGATCGTTTGCTTTTAACGACATTCTTGCTTTTCAACCACCAAATACTTTATTTGACAAGTTCTTGAAAATGTTTGACACAATCACAAAAGGGAATATTTCCACATAAAGTAACTCGGAATTTATCGAAATACATTGATGAACATCCAGAGTTGACACAATATTCCAATAATGTCATTCAAGTTCTTAGAAATTCACATATTCCATCCAAAAAGTGGTTTTACAACAATCTAAAGGGAGAATCAGTTTCATCCAACATTCAATTCACATCGACGACCTACAATGTATCATTTGTTTTGAATCCTTGTTTTAATCAAATCTCCAAGTTTATCTAGAATAAGAGTTTCCAAGTCCAGTTATAATCAAAATATAATTTAATCGGTGCCTTCGGTTGTTTGCCAGGGCTGAGGTTCCAATATCCAAGCAGATGGTGGGGTAATTTGCTGGTCCATATACTCCTGGTTTTGGACGAGCCTTGTGGCGATGGAATACTGCTCTTCGTCTTCTATATCCACTTCGAATTGCACTTCTCCCTCCGATTCTGTATCCAATGCAGCATAGTCTTTTGGGTAGGTTCTGACGATATGACCGTCTGATAGCGATGGGGCGATTTCTGCCATCTTTGTTTGGGAAAGAAAAAAGGTTTCACGACATTCCAAAACATCCCAGTGGTGTCCGAGTATAAAAATCGCGAAAGCCTCTTATTCCCTTCTTTCATCAACTTCTAATGTGTGACTACAACCGATTTGCTAACTGGGTCAAGAAGCAGCGAAAATGTCCTAATGCAATTTTGGAGGCAACAATCACAAATTGACATCAAATTTGTGCTCTATAATGAAGGGGATTGACCAGTTCAATGAGAACGCCAGCAACGACTAAGAAAACAGACTCTGAAAAGGCTAAATCATTCTTATTGAAATGCTACATGACAACATCAATGTATCGTTGTATCTACTTGTTAATAATAAAACACTTTGATTGTTTCTAATTCTGTTCTGAATGTGGATCTTCATTCTCTTTACTCTCTCTTTCTCGGAACCTGATTTAATAATAGTATTCTATAGTGTTACTTTTTATCAAATTTAAACATCAATTCCAATTAATTATTTTCAATTATTAATGTATAACCATTTATGACTGAAATTGATGTTACCTTTCGAATGAACAGTGAAAACACAACTTGTCCAATATGCTATCCAACTATTACCACACCATTAATTCAGTGTTTCAATGCGCTACATTTTGTTTGTTTGATGTGCTTTAAGAAATGTGACAGAAAAGGTTACTGTCCCCAGTGTCAAACTAGCAGAATATTTCATAACAAGTTTTTAGAGAAAACTGTCAAAAATCAGATGAAAGACTGTTGTCATCCGGGATGTACGTTATTGTTATTTCCTTGGGACGATGAACACGAAAATGATTGTCGTTTTAAACTATCAGTGTCGATTTTGCGATGAGAAGGTATCGAAAACCTCAATCAAAGAGCATTTTAAAGAAGAATGTCAAATACCTTGGGTGACAGAAGGTGAACCAAATAATGGTTCATCAACTATGTCAGAATACTGCCGCAATTCAAGCAAAGGCTTTCAAATACAAATGGATGCGATGAAAAAGTCATTTGTTGTTCTACGAAACGACCAGGTGATAATATTCGAAAGGAGTGGGAGTAATTATGAAATTGAAATATTCCAATTGAATAAAGATTCCACACACACAGATATTATTTACTGGATGCCAAATGAAAGTAATTGCTTTGACAAATACACAACTATATCAATGAAACCAAATGATTCTGAAGGGTTGAAGTCTACTATACCTATTGAATCCATCGACTTGCTTATTTGTTCAAGAACTAATTCTGAGGATAGAGAGCAGGATGGAGTGGATAGATTTTTTGAACTACTGGATACAAGAGTCATTGATGTTGAAGATGAATAGTTTACAGGAACTTCTTATCCAATGAATTATAAGATAATCTCTTTCGTGAGTAGTATATATTGGGCACCGAATGATGCCAGTTTTTTTAACCGAAAGTTACAGCCAAATTATGTTCAAAGTTGCCCAAAACGTTAAATTATCGGAGATTTGCGAGTGTGTCAAAAACCATAGAGCAGAGTACTAGTAGATTTATCTGGTTGAGATTTCAGGAGCTTTCTGTGCCAGACTCAAACTCATTACTTTTAAATGATGATGAAAAAATTATTTATCGATTGACGACTAGGGCGGTAGTAAATGTAGAGTTAGTTTATTGGAGAACTAATTTCCCTAAAGCAGGAAAATCGGAAATCAATTCGTCAAACAAAATAATAGAATCCTTCAGAATAGGCCCGGTATTTATCCCAACGCAACATTTAGGTACAATCCAATACAATTCCATTGGGGTTTGTTAGCATTACCGAAGCAAAAATTTGCCACATCTGTGAGTTTGTCATTTTTGGATGTTCAGAAAAGGGATTGAGAACAGTTACTTGAAACCCCATCATCAGCTGTCGGTTAGAATCCCACAAAAAGAAATCAAACCTAGGATAATTGGGTGATTCAGGCACAAACAAGGTCGTAACATTCTTTTGAAAAGATGTCTTGGGCGGTAGCTTATTCCTAAGAAAATGAACCACAGACTTGATTTCAATACTCTTGCGTAAAGGCGAATCCTCTTGTAGACCAATTTTAGCAATATTCGAAACCTTTCTGAACTGAAAAGAGAAGAGCTGTGAAAGTTCCAACATAGTAGTGATGTACATTTCACTAATTTTACCCTTGATGGTGTTGGGGTAATCTTTTCCTTTCAAAATCAGTTCAGCAACAACCCCGAGTGATGTCATAAGACCTTGCCATGATATGCTAGTAACGAACGACGAGCAACTGGATTTAAAGCAGTAATGATTTTAGCGCCATGTTCATCTGAAACAATATCAAACAATTGACGGTCCATTCCAACGTTAATTTCTGGTGGGACCATTCTGAGAGCCATACGAGAGATACATTCCTTGAGATTGAGTTTCTTCTCTTCTGATAATTTATCACAAAACTTGCCATGACTCTCAGCCATCTCCTCCACTCGTTTTTCACGATACTCTAGAGTTTTTTCAACCAAAGTCATCTTGGGCTGTTTCCATAACAAGTCTAATTCATAAGGAACACCACCAGTCCAATACAACGCATCGACTGCTTGTTCAGATTCAGGGTTGACTTTTCCAATAGTTTCAAGCTCATAATGGTCACACCACACTTTGAATTCGTCGTCGTCAAACCGGTGGCTTGAAATATCATGAGTTTGCCAACCTTTCATTTCGGTAGGATACCCTTCGTTATTGGCAGATGCTGAAATCACTACTTTGATATTAGAACCACGATTAATAGCAATGTAATCAATGATGCTGAATGGAAACTTGTCAAAGATGACAGAGGGAGAAAACAGAGCATTGTGTTGGTCACAAATAACAAGCCACTGAAGATTGCTATTCTTAACATAATTGATGACTGATAACTGATTTCACCATCATCATCTTTTCCTTTTCGCTACTGGCTACAATTTCGCAGCAATCAACTATTGACTTGTTATCAACAAAATCGGTGTAAAACGTCGTTACAAGTTCCTCAAGCAAATATCCATAGGGGTCTGTTCTCCATGATTTACAGTCGTTGATATAAGTTACTCGGTAATATGGTCGGTTCAAGCGGTATTCGGAAGCCAAAAGATACAGCAAATAGCTCTTTCCAACACCAACAGGACCCCTGACATAAATACCAGAGTATTTCTTGTTGTTGAGACTAATGATTTCACTTTTCAAGAGAGGATAAGACTTTCTAATTACTACAAGGACAGAGTCATCATCAGCAACATTAAACCGCTGCTGTAACTGATGGGGTGAAATGAGAGGAAGAAACAAAGAACTGCCAGGGAAAGTAGCACCAACCAGACTTTCTTGAACAGAAACTAGGGCTTCTTGTGATTTTCCAGCAAACTCTTGAACAGCAGCAAAAGACAGACTAGGTAGAGAAGGGAATTCTGGTGTTACTTCACTGTGTGGTCTCTTTCCTAAGTTTGGTTGATGTTTGTTTGAAGACATTGCTGAAAGCATTTAAAATGAAAAAACACACCCTCTTTTCACACCAATTAATGGACATTTGATGGACATTTAATGGATATATAGTTACATTTGAGAAAAATATGTTATTGTTTACAAACTTTGTATCAATCACTTTCGTACATTGGTGGTTGGGCGAATATTATTTGACTGGTCTTTTCATCACTACCAAGTTCAAGTCTAGTCAAATCTATTCAAACTTAGAGACCCATTTGGTTAATAGTTCTAGTCAACTCTTCAATATTACCAACCACCCCAAACAAGTTTAGAATCTTTATCGCATTAACAACTCGTTTTTCTCTGATATCAAGTCTTTTGATGCTTTCAGCAACTTCATTAATATCAGCATTGTTGATGAGAATTGCTTTGCGGTTATTCTCCAAGTTTGTCTTTAGCTTTCTTAATTCTTCGTCTGTCTTGGGAAGTAGAACGAAGTTCAGCTTCTCTCTGTTACTTTTCTTTGTATTATTCAACAAGGCTTTCTGTTTAACTTTCCCTTTCTTAAGTAGTGTCCAATTTTCCAGTCATATTTGTTAATAGCCTTGAGAGTATCTAACCAAAGAAGACTTGCTTCGACTGGTGAAGGTGGTTCGTTAAAAGGGATGCCGTTTGATTCTCCGCTATATGAAGAAGAGCCTTGTTGAGACTCGCGATAGTTGAACATTTTTTAGCCTTTTAAAAACCTGACTACAATGGGTTGACACCACTCTAATTGACTTTTCCAACTGCTATTATTGACTTTTCAAAGTGCTATAATCCACTTTTGCGCTACCAATTATTGACCTTTGCGTTGACTAAAAACACAACAAAACATTCAAAAAGGCGTTAATTCTATAAGCAGTTTACTACCATGAAACATTAATCTCAATATATAAAGCTCCAAAAATAGTTTTCTAAAGTGATTTAGACTAGACAACTATTTAAAGGCCGAAATCGATTTTCAAAATCATTTGCGTCAGTCATTTCAACAGCAAAACATACACAACTTTCACAATTATGTTTATAGTATCGATTAGGATATGTTTATCTAATTTTGTAGTCATTTCATATTTTTTAGATTTTACATGTGTAAACAATTAACTATTTTTAGTTCTTTGGCTTTTTATACTTGTTTAATCGTTCTCTTTCAGTAACTGAATGTAGAGCATAATAAGTTCGGTATCTCTGTCTTTCGGATTCCTTGTTTTGAGAATAGTAATCTCTGTACCATTTCTTTAGCTGTTCTTGTTGTTCAGTAGAATAGGAATCCCAATTCTTGACGCATTGTAAATAGTCGCTGTAATTCTTGATTGAACACATTGCCATTTACTATTACTCTAGAAAATAAGTTCCTTGAAATACCTTTCGTTTCTTGCTCTCAGGTTCTTCAAGTCTTTCCAGTTCGTCTAATTCTCTCTTATTTCGACGTTGTATATTTGTCATTGGACGCTCTCTTTCAACTTGTTCTACAGTAAATGTCTCTGATGATTTAATCTTTTTGAGTTGGTAGTATTTGTAATTTTTCTTTAGTTCTTGACCATTGTTATCAACAAGTGAATATGAATACCCATTTCCATTCACTACATTGTATATGGACTGACTGTAACTTGGTTCATACCTTTGGTGAATGTTCCTTTTTCTATCAAGATGCGGACTTTGTCCCCAATTTTGATTTGAGTATTTAATGCCTTGGATTTAATTGTACCAGTTTTTGGATTTGCTTGGTATCTTGATTCAGGAGTATCATTAATACCCTTATGATGCGTATGATTGTAATTGTGTACGATATCTTCCAAGACATCAATGTACCATTTGTCTTTCTGGACTCTTGGTATTTGCTAATGAAACTTTCCAATGTCCTGTTGAACCTCTCAATTAAGCCTTGTCTGTTATGATCACCGACATTGACTGTAATTTGGCGAACAACATACTCTTTTAACAGTTGTTGGAAGCTATTGTTTAAAAATTCGGTCCCATTATCGCTTTGAACAAGAATAGGGTTTCGAGTAGCAAGTACAAATCGCATCGCTTCTGTCGTATCAGTTTTACTTTTGATGGCCACAACAAATGCTTTTCTACTGAATACATCAACTCCACAAAAGAGGTATTTGAATCCAGAATTCCATCTTGAATACTTGGAAAAGTCAATCAAATCAATCTGCCACTGGTCATTGACTGAATACACGTTGATACTCTTAAATGAAGGTACGCTTCTTGGGTTCTGATGTAGTTGATGTACTTGTTGTTTTTGAAGAAAATCCTGAATTGCTTTCATTGGCACTTGTTTGTCGAGTTTCAGATATAGTTTTTGCGCTGAAAGGAGTCCTGTCTTTGGATTGTAGTATAATTCATACAACTGTTCCATTAACTAAATACAAGATAATGATTTCTCAAAATTCAGTTGGAAATATCTCGAGTCCAACTCTGAATCCATTGTTAACAAATTCCTGAGTAGCATTACCTTTTAAAGCATCCACATACTTTTGTTTTGTGATTTCATTTTGTTCCTTGTTAATCCCTTTTGAACTGAATTTGTTTTCATCATAATAGTACATTTTACTGGCCAATGATATAATACAGTTTCCTTCATATTCCAACTTGAACAGACCCGGTGTTCTGCTGTCATACACCTTATTCTCAATGGTATCGTCTCTTTCCAACCACAGATGCCGATCCTTTTTAAATTCATCTTTTAAGCTTGGTTTTATGACTTCTAACGATTCATCAGATATAGCAATGTAAGCTGAATCAGTGTCCATCATACAGTACTGATAATCACTTTTGTCAATGGAATAATCAATAGAGTCGTAGTAAAATTGAAGCACTCGTAGTTTCGCTAATTGATACACTTGAAATCTAATATGAATAAGTAAACTTTGTTTGAACGACATCTTTTTGAAACGAAACTCGCATCCTTTGTTCATGTCTTGATGTTCAATGTAATTATTCCTTCTAATGTTTTTGATGTAGTTATCTCCAGTAACAATCTTGGCTGTCTCGTGCTTCAAGAAATCTGTGATGCATTTACCATAGGAAGACTTTCCCATCAACTTCATCATTTCTCCACGTAATTTATAACCAGGACTTGTATCTCGGACTCTTCACTCATTTGATACTTGCTCAGAAAACGACTTGAAATGTGCTTTACGTTCATATCTTACAGCAAAAGCAATATTTGAAACAACCAATCCATGCTCAAAATACCATTTCAGCAGTTTAGTAGCAAACATCATCGTCTCACCAAACATACTTTCAACTAATCTGTTACTTTTGTAATCTGGTTTGGCATGTGCCTGTGTCAAAGCTTAAATCATTGCATGTAATCTCAACATTCTTGAATATGGGAGGCATTCCAGCAAAGCATTCCTTTAAATGTTCAGGAACAGCAATATCACATTCTATCATTCCAAAGAACGTGTTATCCAAGACATCTTTCAGAATATCGGGATAAACTTGAACTACTTGGTGCTCACCACACGGCATATCTTGACTTATCGCCCACAGATATAAAGCATTGGTATCAT